GGACGGTACGGACGGACGGACGACGACGACGACGACGNGCGCGCGNGCGNGNGNGNGCGNGCGCGCGNGCGNGGCGNGNGNNGNGNGNGGGGGGGGGGCGGGCACAGCAGCGGCGTGATCAGTAGCGAGAACAGAGCCTGAGGCCAGGAACACGGCTTGCGCAACTCACAAAGCCCATCTCGAGCTCATAGTCGAGCTTCTTGCACGGCGCAAAGACGGGCTCCTCGGCTTGCGGCGGCAGGATCTGACCGCAGGGTCGGTGGAAGGGCGTCCCGGAGACTACGATCGAGCTGTCGAGGGCCGGGCACGGGCGAGCAGTTGGGAAGTCGAACGACCTTGTTAGCCGGCATGCGATCTACAGGCCAGCACAGGACCCCGTCTCGTCTGGACTTACGAAGCCCTGCCATGGTAACCGACGGGCAGCCATCTCCAGTTCTTCTGCAAGGCGTTCTCCTTTCCGCGGAAGAGGACGCCGCAGTTGGTGGCATGTTCGATGGACGAATAGAAGTCGGTGTAATCTCCGATTTCGATGGGCAGGTGAAGCTGTACAGAAGGTGCGAGGCGTGCTGCGAACAGCTGTTCCTTTTCCTCGGCAGAGGCCTTTGAGAGGGGCGACGAGGAAGAGAGGAGCGACTGGAGGAACGCGCGGAACTTGGCCCACACGCCCGGCTCGAGGGCGATCAGGGCGTTTAGCGTGGGCTGCTGCAGGATTGTCGGATCGTCGATGCCCGTATCCTTGAACCAGGTAGATTTCGAGAGCGCACATAGGTCCAGGATCAGGTCGCCGATGGCCACCCCCGCGCGCCGGTTCGGGTTCGAGGCGTTGGAGAAGATGCCGTAGGGCAGGTTCTCGAGCGAGAACGGATGGCTCGCATCGTAGGTGACGAACGATGTCAACGCGGGCATCCTTGTACTGAGTGGCTACGGTGAGCTGGCAAAAGTAGGGAGGTGTGGTGGAAGACGATGGAGGGAAGGTTCAAGGTCGAGTGTAGGCAAGGAGGGCCATGGGCAAGGCGTCGAGGCGCGGTGATTTTGCCGGCCCCACCTCGCGGCTTTCGGGGCTGAGCCGCTGGACCCCCGACGTTGTTTTGCCGTCCTCTCCCCGCCGAGTAGCCGCCAATTGCCGACGCACAGACCAGCCAGGCGCGCCTACGTTTGCTCGGCCACCGCCGCCGTTCACCTAGCTACCTCCGACTTCATTCATCGCCAGACCACGAGGAAGCAATGCATCGCTAGCTGACAGGACGTTCTCGGTCGATGCTACAGTGGTGGTGGTACAAGATCTCTGCTGTCGAGCGACTCATTCCCAGCGCAATTTCCACTCGCCATTGAGGTCGCCGCTGAGACCGGTGACGTTGAGCATCTTCTTGTCGCCGTTCCACTTGAAGCTCGAGACGTCCTTGCCGCCAAACGAGACGCGGTTCGGCTTCTGAGCGACGTCGAGGACAATGACACGCTCCAGGGGCTGCTTGACGCGGAACGCGCCCTCGAGCCTTCCGCTGACGCTCGACTTGGCCGCCTCGACGACGAGCGTCGAGTTGTCCGTCGGCGCCGGAGTCTCGCCGTCGTCGAGGTAGAAGTCCGAGTAGGCCTGGCCGGTGCTGTTGAGGTTGACGACGAGGCCAAAGGGCTTCTGGCGCGTCTCGTAGGTCGTGTAGCTCGGCTCGGCGTGGGTGAGGAGGGCGCGGCCGGGGCGCAGGTGGGCGTTGATGTGCGAGAGCGGCGCCTCGACGGTGACGTTCTTGTCGGCCTCGACGTCGAGGGCCTCGTACGTATAGACGTTGCGCCACGATCCGCCGGCCGAGGGGAAGAGGCCCTTGACGGTCGTCACGTTGGGCTCGAGGACGGGCGTGACGAGCAGGTCGGGTCCAAAGAGGAACTGGTGCGCCGAGTCCTTGGTCTGCTCAAAGACCGACTCGAACTCGTACCAGAGGGCGCGCAGCGCCGGCTGACCCGTGACGCTGGAGCGCGAGACGTGCGAGTAGAGCGTGGGCAGCAGCTCGTACCGCTTGCGCAGCGCGCGGCGCGATGCCTCGGCCACGCTGTCCCATCGGTACGGCTCCTGCGAGATGGCGCCCTGCGTATTGTGGTTGCGCATAAAGGGAGACCACGCTCCGAGCATCATCCACCGGTTGCAGAGCTCCTCGTCCGTGTTGCGGTTGAAGCCGCAGATGTCGGCGCCCACCATCGGCATGCCAAAGATCTGGAACTGCAGCATTCCGCCGATGCTCTCGGCCATGCCTGCGCCCGCCTTGTACGCCTCCTTGCCCGGCAGAATCTTCCAGATGGAGAAGTTGTCGCCGAGCCAGTGGCCCGTGTACTTGCCCGCTCCCGGGTACGTCGAACGCGAGATGAGGAAGGGACGCTGGTCCGGGTGGATCTTCTTGAGGGCGCGGTGGACGTGCATCTCCTCGAGCGTGCCGTCGAGGTTGTGGACGTCGTAGAAGGAGCGCTCGCCGTCGACGCCGACCGCATCCATCGACACCGTCTTGTGGTCGAGGTTGATGTTGAGCGGGCCCTCGCTGTAGTGGATGCCGTTGTGGATGGCGTAGGGCGGGTTGGTGCGGTAGCGCTGCGAGGCGTTGGCATAGGCAAAGTCGGGCTCGTTGGGGCCGTACTTGTCTTCGCCGCCGGCGTCCTGCCTCTTGGCTAGGGCCAGGTCCAAGTCCGCGGCCAGGCGCCGCTTCTCCGCCGGGTTGTTTTGCAGGACATCGGGCTTGAAGGTGTAGGTACCGTTGACGGTGATGTTGCCCGAGTTGCCCCAGGTCATGTTGTCGTAGCCCTGCGGCCAGCCGGGCTGCGACGTCTGGGCCGTGTAGACGGGCGTGCTGGAGAGGTTGGTCTCGGGGCCGGCGGCGTTGCCAATGATAAAGGAGCTGGGCTCGTTCATGTCGAGCCAGATGCCCGAGAAGTCGACAATCTTGCTAAAGTTGGCCATGGCCTCGGTCCACCACTGCTGGGCGTTGGGCGCCTGCTGGTCGACGAAGGTTGTATAGCCCGGCCACACGGAGCCGACGTACTGCGTGCCGTTGCGGTTATTGAGGAAGACATCGAGCTCGTCGCCGCGCGTGCCCGCAGCGTAGGTGTCGCTCTCGTTGGTGGGCGCCTTGGGGATGGCCGCGTCGATGATGGGGACGTAGTGCTGGTGCTGCGACCGGAGGTCCGAGATGAAGCCGGCCAGCTCCTCCTGCGGGAAGCGGTTCGGGTCGACGGTGAAGTCCCGGAAGGTGTCCATGTAGTCGATGTCCTGCCACTGCACCTCGAGCGGGATGTCGGCCTTGCGCATAGCCTCGTTGACCTCGCGCGTCTGCGAGACGTTATTGTAGCCCCAGCGTAGCAGGTGCATGCCAAAGCTCCAGTAGGGCTGCATCGTGGGCAGGCCGACGAAGTTGACGTACTGGGCGATGGCGGCGTTGGCGCTGTTGCCGCCACGCTCGGCATCGTCGCCCGAGAAGAAGCGGAAGTCAAGCGTGCCGCCGATGGCGCGGTACTGGATCAGGCCGCGGCGGAGGAGCACGTCCATGCCGGCCGTGTTCTGCAGGTAGACAGCGTGCGTGTTGACCTTGCCGTCGGCGCCCTGGCGGGCCTCTGTGTAGACCGGGTGGTAGCCGTACTGGTTGCTGTCGACGGGCGTGCCGGCATCGAGGGTAAAGAAGGGCTGCAGCGTCTCGTCCGGGTCGCGGCGGAAGGAGCCCACGTACTCGCCCAGGCCGTAGATGTTGGCATCCTCGGGCAGCGCCGACGAGAGCTGGAGATACTGGTTCTCGAACACGAGCGGGTGGGCCGGCATGGCAGTCGAGTTGCGCTTCGAGTCGCCCGAGACATTGTTGATGCCCTGGTCGTAGGTGGGGATGTTGTCGGGACGGGTGTCGAAGATGACGTCGCCGTTGGAGCGGCGCTCGACCCAGAAGGCCCAGGGGCCGGTCGAGTTGCCCGACTCGCCCGTGTGGTGGAAGACGAGGTCGCTGTCGTCGACGGTGGAGCTATGCTTGATCTTGGCGGGGTCATCGCCGGGGCGGTCAAAGATGAGGCCGTCGGGCAGCTGGTACTGCTGCTTGTCGGTGTCGTAGAGGTGGACGTGGAGCTGGTGCTTGTTCTCGTAGACGACGGCGAGGGTCAGGTTTTGGATGTCGACGCCGTAGGCGTGGCACGCCTCACCGGCGAGGCTGAGCCGGGCGGTGAAGCCGGCGCGGGACTTCTTTGGCTCGCCGACGAGCTGGTATCCGGGGCAGGCAGTCACGTCAAACGAGGGGCGGATGAGGCTGTCGCCGGAGGTGTCATTGGACGCCTGTCGTTGCTGGAGGGTGCTGAGCTCGAGCTGCGAGTCGCGGGTGGAGAGCGTGGCTGGCGCTGAGAGCGTCGAGCCGGTCAGAGCCGCCACCGCGAGGGCGTACAGCGGGGAGAGGGCGGGTCGCATGGTCGGTCGGGTCCACTTGTCGTCCTGCTCGCTTGCTTGCTCGATGGCTAGGTTCTCGCCGGTTGAAGAGGGCTTGCTAGAGGGCGGTGGTGGACGTGGTCGGAGTGCCAAAGGTGGACCTTATATACGACGTCGTGTCTCAAAGCGGACTGGACGTCGCTGGACGAAGCAAGGCGGTGGTCGACGGCTTAGCATCCGGGAGGGCAGGCCCACTGCTGAGGAAGCCGAGCTCGTCGGGGCGCTCGGAGAAAGGTTGCCGTGGTGAGGCGAGGCTGCACCATGCCGTACGCCGGGCTGCTCCGATGACCGTATGGAGAAGCCAGGCAAGGTGCCCTGCGGGGCTCCTCGCTCGTCTAGGCCGGCCTGCCTGCGTTGCCAGGCCTACTTGCCTTGCTTTCCCCACGGCCATGGCAGGCGGTGCGTGCGGGGGGCCGTCTCGGCTGCGGACGAATTCGAGCCTGCGGAGCCTGCGGTTGCGGAGGATTCATGGTCAATGGGCGAGCCGATGGTGGTGCGGTACGAGGGTCCACCCGCGGTGGCCGTCGGTCTCTTGAGCGGGGCGCGGCGGCAGTCGACATTCCAGCCATGCCTTGCCAGGCCTGGCCTCTCCCTGAATCCCCATTCGCAATCATTTCGCCGACGCAAGCAGGGGGCAGGATGCGGAGCACGCTCATCATGGCTCACGATACATACGCGACTCCCATCCGCCCCAGCGCGACCGAGATGGCTCCAAGCGAGCGTCGTCGTGCGCTTCGGTTGTTCGGCTTGGCTCGACGACCGACGATGGCATGGCATCCCCCCCCACCGTCATCAATCCGCCGACCGTCTCTGTGTCCGCATGCCCCAATATCAAGCATGATCGGCGTCCTGAACACCGGCCAGCCCCCGCGTCCGACATAGCGGAAGGCCTCGGTCCACTGTCGGCCTCATGGCTCTTTAGTCTGGCCTATCCCCCACAGCCGATGCTCGCTTCAAAGGCAGGGTCGGGATGGTGGAGCGAGTTGCTCCGAGCGTGTCTGTGGCATGTCGTCAAGCAGACCATAAGTGTAAAAGAGGTCTCGAAACGACTGACTCGCTGAGGACAGACGACAGTTCCACCTCTCCTGGGCAACGCCCTGCTTCTCCGTCAAGACAATCCGACAAGCGCAGGTTCTCCTGTCTCGCAGATCAGTGCGCAGACGGGGTCAGGGTGACGATGGAATGTTCGTGTGGTTGTCTGTCTGTGTCTGTTGTACAAAAGTGGTGATTTCGGTCGATGATGCGGGGGCTGCAGGCTCTGGACGACAACTGCTCGAAGCCCGGTCGGGAGAGGAGGACACGCCGACAAAAATCGGCCTACACTCTGCGCCCGGTTGTGTCGCGGAGGGCCAGTCGAGTCCATCAGAGCTCTCAGCCATGTCCCATCCATGGCGGAAAGCGTTTCGGAACGTGGGCGCCGATTCTGGACCGCTGACGCCGCAGCGGCCCCGTCCAGCCCCGTCAATGGAAGTGAGGGATCCGCAGGCTCTCCCGCTTGCTCTTGTTGACGCTCATAGGCAAGCCCTCGACGCCCTTGACGAGGTCGTGGTAGCTCCGCCGCTTCGGGTCCTTGAGCCGCTTCTTGAGGTGTTTCTGCACCTTGGCCTCGGGTCGCACCACCACGACCGGCACCGGTGAGGTCATCAGGATATCGCTGAAGTCGGCCGAGGGGTTCAAGGTTCGGCGATCAGCACGTTGCTCGAGTCGCCGGGAGCTCAGGCCGGGATCTGCGGAACTCACCGACTGACGTGGCCCATGAGCTGCTGCCCAAGCATCTTCTGGAACTTGTTGGCCGACTTGCCCCTCGTGCCGACCGTCAGGCTGTCGGGTCGGTAGGTGTATATGAGTTGGAGGATTGTCGATGTGATGCTGCCTGCGACAAACTCGACCACGATGGAGATCTGACGTCGGATACGGGCGAGCGAAGTGGCTGGTCAGCGGGCTGCACGACCTGTAGCGCCGCCGCGAGGGCTGATCGCGAACTCACCTTACGATCCTCTGCCTCCTCGTTCAGCTCGACGATGCTCGCCATCAATTCCCTGGCGTCCTCCCTTGCGGTCTCTTGGTCGATCTCTGCAAGAAGTGAGAAGGCAGAGCACAGGAGCCGGTCAGCACCGCCGCGGCTCGTCGCGAACCATACCCGCTTTCACCGCTCGCTGCCGAGTATGTTAACTCACCATCCGCCTCGCCTTCGAGGATCCGGCATGCGACCACCTCGTCGCCGTCTTCCACCAGGTTCTCCATCAGCCAGATCAGGGCGCGCTCACTGTCGGAGCAGAAGAAGGTCGAGGTCTTAGTCTCTGACGCCGCGCAGCCCAACCCTGCCCTTTAGCTGGAAGATCGACAACCCACCTGTAGACGTTGTCGTCGACGGCGCACATAAAGGTCCGCGTGTTCTTTGTCCTCTCGTAGCCGATGGACTTGACCTGGAGCGTGAAGCTGAAGAAGCCGCTGCTGGTCTCTTCTGCGTCGGGCATGGTGTCGAAGCCGACTCTCCTCTCGTAGCCGGGCTTGATGTCGCTCAGACCGCCCGAGCTGCTGGTCCGGCTCTTTGCCAGCGACGGCCCTCCCTTTCGCCCGCCATAGTTGCCATCTCCCACAATGTGGGAGCGCGATGGCGAGGAGGGTAGCGAGACGGACGACTCTGCGGTTGTGGTGAGCGACTCTCCGCGTGGCCGCCGTCGCTCGGGCTCCTCGATGGTGATCGAGGTGCGGCTGGGCTCCTTGCTGATGGCGTGCGAGCTCAGCGCCGAATTGTCCGAGCTGCCTGCAGCACGCTGTAGCGTCGTGTCGGGGCGGGAGCGAATCGGTACAGGCGAGACGAGCGCGGTCAGTAGGCCCGTTCGCCTCTAGCGCTTACACTTGTATGCGGAGCCTGCTCACCAGAATTGGCGTCGTAGGCCTCGATGGCATGGTGCTAGCCGCCTCCACGTTGAGCCGTGCGCTAGCGGAGCGGGACGAGGCAGGTGGAGAGGAAGAAGTGGAGTCGGTGCCCGTGACGAGACGGCTGTCGAGGTGGAGTCTGTGCTGCTGCTGATGGCTGACGGCAACGGGCGCAGCGTGTCTGGAAGCTCTGTAACGGGCTCAATGGCAGGCAAAATCGTGGTTGATGGTGGCTGGCCGATAAGGAGGCTGCTGCCGGCTGATCGCTGCTGCATCAAGTGGGGGACGGACGCGGGGGGAGGGGGGCGCGCACGCACCAGAGCACAGCCCTGGCTCAGCCTCGCTCACATCCGAGCCTGGGCCCTGCCCTGCCTGCCTGGTTGCCTCTTTGTCGGCTTTCGGAGCAGGCTTGGCTCAGCGATTCCACCGCCGCCAACTCTGTCCTCCTGAGTGCTTTTGCTCAACTGTGGGGCAAGCTGCAATAGGCCAGATCCAAGCTCATAGTCCATTTTTGCTCTGTTAGCTGTCAACCAATGCTATGGTACTAATACATGTGCAACCAGCTCAGCCAAGTCTGAGCGAGTTTGGCAACAATATGACTCCTCAAAAGGGCAAATGTAGAAATATCTGGTGCAAAGTGTGAAAAGCACTTGAAAAAACATTAAATATCAACATTGTGCCCACTCAAACTGCCTTCCAGTGCTCTGATCAGGCTGCAGCAAGCATCTTTGCAAGCCTGAGCATCAGGACTAGCAGATGAGCAAGGTTGCCAGGCCCTTGTCTGGGAAAATGTGCAGGATTGTTGAGCAAAGTGTAGAAAACACATTGTTGGAAGCTGCCATTCTGCCTACACATTTTGGTCTTGGATCTCAGGCAGTTTTTGGGCCTTCTGCGTCGGTGCCAGGCCAACCAAGGGCAGATGTTTGGTCCTATGTTGAGGGCTGTGTGTAGGGTGAAGGTACAGTAAGCATCTATGCTTTGCCGGCACCTGTTTTTGTCCTAGTGCAAAAAAAAAGCTTGCTGCCACGCCAATGCATGTGCTGTAAGCAAGTCCTTGACCAAGCCGTCCAATTCTTGCCATCAGATAGCACATGTCCATTTGATGAGATCTAGAGTATAAAAGACGAGCAAATAGCGCAGGAGGTGCAGGCACAGACGACTCTGAAAGCGCAGCTTCCGAGATCTCCGCCGCCTCTGTGACGGCTGTTCATTTGGCGGTTCTTACGCTTAGCGCAGCCGCCCCTGCCATGCTGACGTGCAGGATCACGCTAGGACGTCGAACGGTCGGCAACGGCCGAGGGTGAGGGCTCAATCAGAAAACCGCGATTACGAGCGACGGCGGCGACAACGACGGCAACAAACCGTCGTGACGAGCGCTCAGGTCCCAGCCGCACTCGTCTGGACCGCCGACCTTCCTCGCTTGACGTGTCTGTCCATCCGCCTCGTTAGATGGAGCTAGTCCAGGGTCGTTCAGGGCCCAGGGTCCATGATGCATCCATACACGCGTGCCAGCCCTTGCCTCGTCAAAGCGCAGCTCGGCGATTCGATGATTCATCTCGACCGGCATGCTTCCATCGTCGTCGTCGCCGCCTCCCGCCCTTCCTTGCTTTCCCTTTGTCTCTCGTCCTCCTCCGCCTTCCCTCCACCTGTTCATGCCTCCGGGGACGTCGCCGGTCTCACGCAATCCAGTGGAAAAGCGGCAAGAGGCCGTGTGACGTCTGAACGCGCGCTCTGGCGGCTTACCCTCGACGGCGTGTGAACCAGCCAGCCACCGATGTCCGCCACTCGAGTTCATGGAGCTCACAACCTATATAGGATGTCCGAACGAATGGGATACGCTGGCTCTACGCCCTCACGACCACTGTACCGCAGCCTGATTTCCTTTTACCCCCGCAACACGCCGCCACAGTAATTCGCCACAGTAATTCGCCACCATGTCCCACCTAAACGTCAGAAGCTTCGCCGAGGATGCCAACGCTGAGCCGGGCGTCTACAGCGCATCGAACGGCGTGGCCATGCCGCACGCCTACGAGGCCCAGCGCGTCGGCACCGAGGGCCCGCTCCTCCTCCAGGACTTCCACCTCGTCGACCTCCTCTCGCACTTCGACCGCGAGCGCATCCCCGAACGTGTCGTCCACGCCAAGGGAGGCGGCGCACACGGCACCTACCGCACCACCCACCCGATCCCGGACCTCTGCTTCGCGCCCCTGTTTGCCGAGAAGACCGAGTGCCCCATCACGGTCCGTTTCAGCACCGTCGGCGGCGAATCCGGCTCCCCCGACTGCGCACGCGACCCCCGAGGCTTCTCTGTCAAGTTCCGGACCAAACAGGGCAACATGGACTGGGTCTACAATAATACTCCAATCTTCTTGTGAGCCGCCGCCGCCGTTCAGTGTTGCTGGATGATCAGATTGAGCATGCTGCGACGACGAGCGGTGATATTGACGCGTAAAAATATTGTGGCGCGTCTGCTATGCCCCCTCTTCTTTCTTTAGCCTCCGTGACCCCGCCAAGTTCCCGCACTTCATCCACACTCAGAAGCGCAACCCGCAGACGAACCTGACCCACGGCGACGACTCGACGCAGTTCTGGGACTACATGGGCCAGAACCCCGAGTCGGTGCACCAGTTCCTGTACCTGATGGGCCCGCGCGGCATCCCCGCCACCTGGCGCCACATGCAGGGCTACTCTGGCCATACGTTCAAGTTTGTCAACAAGGAGGGCAAGTGGAAGTACTGCCAGATCCACATCCTGTCGCAGCAGGGCACCCAGAACCTGACCAACGACGAGGCCGCCGAAAAGTCGCCCGACGAGCACCAAAAGGACTTGTTCAGCGCCATCGAGCGGGGCGAGTACCCTAAGTGGGACGTCAAGTACCAGATCATGACACCCAGCGAGGCCATCGACGCCGGCGTCAACGTCAACGACCTGACCAAGACGTGGCCCCGCGACAAGTTCCCGCTGCAGCCGCTCGGCGAGATCAAGCTTGATCAGAACGTGGCAAACTACTTTGCCGAGATCGAGCAGGTGGCCTTCAACCCGGCGCACCTGGTCCCCGGCCTCGAGCCGTCCAACGACCCGGTGCTGCAGAGCCGTCTGTTCTCGTACCCGGACACGCACCGCCACCGCATCGGCGTCAACTACCAGCAGCTGCCCGTCAACCAGCCCAACCCGGAGCACAAGCACGTCAACTTCCAGCGCGACGGCGGCATGGCCTTCTATAACCAGGGCCCGCGCCCCAACTACATCTCGTCGCTGGCGCCGCCCAAGTTCCTGCAGCGCACCGTCGACCTCGACGCCGTGCACGGCGACTACGAGGGCAACGCCATCTCTTTCCTCAGTGGTGTGTCCGAGGAGGACTTTGTGCAGCCGCGCGAGCTGTGGCGCAAGGTCTTTTCCGAAGAGGACCGCCAGAACACGATCAAGAACATCTCGGGCCACATGTCGACGTGCACCGACAAGGGCATCCTCGCCAACGCCATCGCCGTCTGGCACCAGGTCGACGCCGACCTCGCCGCCGCCATTGCCGAGCCGCTGGGCCTCAAGGGCAAGTACAAGACCGACCTGCGCGAGGCCGTCTTCAACGGCTCGCACAACTTCCTCGGCCGCGACGTCGGCACCAACGGCCTCAAGACCAAGGGCCCCACGGTAGCCAACAACATCGACAAGGTCAAGGACGCCGTGTACGGCGCGCGCAAGCCCGACGGCGTCGCCAGCGTCAATGGCCACGCCGCCAACCATAGCACGCAGAACGTCGCCGCCAACGGCCACTGATGTGGTCGCACGTCGTCTTGTTTGCTGTCCGTCGTCGTGGTTACCGCTGTCCTGTATTTCTACCTGAGTTCCCAGCAAGCGATCCCGTATCGACAGCGTGGATTCGTCCGTGTCGGAAGCAACGAGCGCGGAGCGATGGCTGGGTTGCTTGGCAAATCTACGACGGCCTCAGGCACGCGGGGGGCCACGCGCGAATTAATTAATGACGTAGCAGCGGCGGTGGTATCGGCGCGGTGGGCAGCCCTTGGACCCTGATCTCGCTTTCAGCTGCTGCTTCCATCGGAGAAATGCCGGCGTGCCGGAATCAAAGGGTCCGTGGCCATCCGGCCGCCTAAACTTTTTCCTTGCTTGGCTGTGCAGCAGTCGGAACGCTCGTTGCCCTGCCCTCTCACCACCACGCTGCCTCTGCCGTGCTCCCGAACGGGTCTGCTATGCTCTCGATCTCGACTCGACTGGGTTGGCACCCGACGTCCATCTCTCAACACTGCACCCTCGCAATCCTTCCCGTCCTTTGACCCCGCGACCGGCTCGCAACTGCAACGCTCGCCATGTCGACCATTCTCGCCTCTAGCGCCATCCTGCTCGGCCGCACGGTCGGCGTGGCACCGCACTCTCTGTTTGCCGTCAATGTCGAGCACGCACGCGCAGGCAGCGGCAGCACGACCCCGGCCCCTACCAAGAACCAGGGCGACTCTGGCCCCTCGATAGCGTCGCTCATCGCGGCTTGCCCCAGCCTCGACCCGGCCAGGAACCCGACCTACAAGCCCACACCCTGGCTCACCACCGGCCATCTCCAGACCATCTGGTGCGCCGTCGGCTCCTTTGACCAAATCGACCCCGTCACCTACAAGCGCAGAGTGTTTCTCACGCCCGATGGTGGAACAGTCTCGATCGACATCTCGCCGCCGGAGCTCGCCGACGCCGACCCGAATGCCGAGGCCACCCCGACCGTCGTTGCCTGCCACGGCCTGACGGGCGGCAGCCACGAGTCCTACATCCGCAACTGCCTCTCGCAGCTCGTCAAGCCCAAGTCCGAGGGAGGACCTGGCTACCGCGGCGTCGTGGTCAATTTCCGCGGCTGCGCCGACACGTCGGTCAGCTCGGCCCAGCTCTACTCGGCCTCCAAGACGTCGGACCTCCGCAGCGCCTTGCTGCTCCTCACCAAGCTTTTCCCCAGCTCCCCCATGGTCGGCATCGGCTTCTCGCTCGGCGCCAACGTCCTCGGCAAGTACCTCGGCGAGGAGGGCGACGAGTCGCCCCTGCTAGCCGGCGTCATCGTGGGCACGCCCTTTGACCTCAAGGCCGGATCGGATGCGCTCGAGTACGGCGGGTTCCTCCCGCAAAAGTACTCGTCGGTAATGAACCTCAACCTGGCCAGGGTGATGCGGCGGCACAAGGACACGCTGGCCCTCCACGCGCCGCTGCGGCCCTACATCGACCAGCTCTACGACCCCGAGCCGCTGAGCAAGGCCGACATGCAGCTGCACAAGAAGCAGTGCCAGAACGGCGGGCCCAAGCTGGGCGAGCGCGAAGTCATCCGACCGGGCACGCTCAAGCTGGTCGACGAGACCATGACCCGCCTGATGGGCGGCCACTCGAAGCCCTACGGCGAATTCCCCTTTGACAACGCCAACGACTATTACAACCACGGCGGGTGTGCTAACTTTCTCGACGGCGTCAGGCGGCCGATGCTCTGTCTCAATGCCGAGGACGACCCCATCGTGCCTTCGCCCGTCTGGACAAAGGTGCGCGCGGCCATCGGGTACGATGCCGAGGGCAGGCCGCTGTCGGAGTCGCAGCGCGAGGAGAAGGGCAGCCAGATCAACGACAACATCGCCCTGGCGTGGACCAAGGGCGGAGGCCACCTCGGCTGGTTCGAGGGCGTGAGGCCCAGGCGGTGGCTGTACAAGCCCGTCAACGAGTTCATCCAGGCCGTCTTTGAGCAGACGAGCGAGGAGCGGAAGCGGCAGATCGCGCAGTCCCACCTCTGGAAGCACGAGGGGCGCGTCGAGGTCAAGGAGGTTGACATCGAGCTGATGCCCAAAGAGGCGCTGCCGATCTACAACCTGCCGGGCGAGAATGGGCGGCCGAAGCGCAACGACGAGGACAAGACGCTCAAGGCCACCAAGGACGAGACCGCGCGCACCCGAGAGGGCGATGGCGCCGCCAGCAACGGCTCGACGTCTCAGTCGAGGGTCGCCGAGGTCGCCGCCGACCTCAAGAGCGATCGCCCTGTGGCCGAGGACGAGCTGCTCAACCCGTCCGACACCGGCGACATGGGCGGCAGGGAGACGGCGCCGCACAGCAACGCCCGGATCGCATGGCTGCTGACCCACGTGCTGCCCGAAGCGCCGCTGCTCCACCCGCGACTGGCCTCGTGCGACAGCTACAGCCCGCCGCCGTCGGACCTGAGCGAGGCCGAGAAGGAGGCTCGCGGCTGGAAGATCCTCCGCGGACAGAAGATGTACTGCGACACGAGGCGTCCAGAGGTGGGCTGGCTCGAGCTGGGCCAAGAGAGCCGAGTCAGCGGCGCGGGCGAGGTCTTCAGGGGCGGCATCGAGTCGCCCGGTGCGCGCGCGGCGGGTGAAGCCGACAAGGGCGACAAGAAGGTCGTCGCCGGTCTCTAGATTGGGCCGACGTGGGGGCCCTCACAAAGGGAGGTCGAGATCCTTTTGTCGTTTCAATGGACAGTAGTAACGGGCCAGCTTGGCAAGCGCACCACATCGAATCAAAAGAGTTTGCATAGAGATGGCGCTCTCAGCTCGGTCCCCGAGAGGATAATCGTGCGGGCACGCCCGTGGAGATGGAGCAGAGAGAGAGGGACGATGGAGGAGGCCTCTCTTTGCGGCAACGGCGATGACGGAGTCGGTTGGACCAAAAGGGAAAGGGAAGCCAGCCAGCCTGGAGGGAGAGACCGCTGCCGAGGGAATCGACGGCAACTCGATGCGGCGGTCCTGCCTGGCCCTGGCCTGCTCCAGCGTGTGGCTGTGTCCGGGAAAGCTGAACTTGAGGTTTTGGCAATTTGGAATTCGTCGTGTTGGGGGCATCGAGCTGAACGTCACATTGGCGCTCAAGTTCCTTTTTGCGAAGGCAGCTCGCTGGCTCTTCCCTTTTTTCTCTTCGAATTTGAAGAAGAGGAAGCTCGTTCGATTGCAGAATCTCGTCAGACGTACAGGCTCCTAATTTCTAGAGTCCAAATTTGCGAGAAGCTGGATTTTCCTCATTTCGAGCCTCGGGAATGTCGCGAAAAAGGTGGCAGCCATCGAAATGCCAGGGTGACCCTCGCTTGTCAAAATTCAAGAGTGCCCCACGCCGATTCTGCTCAAACACTCGAAATCCGTCGCGGGACGCGGCGACTCATCCACCACCAAGGCCCTGGCTAAGGAAGCCTCCACATTTGGCCCTCTGGTCGAGCTCTATTCGTGGCCACTGGGATTTCCCTTTCTCCTCGCCACCACCATCACCCCCACCGCCACCCTTGGATTCTTCCCTCTTCGCCGTCACTACTCCTCAACGAAACTCATCCGATCCCATCCATCACAGCCGACGCCGACGCCGCCACCGCCGCCATGCCAACGGTCCGGTTTATCAATGACACGCAGGTGCCGCTGCACGTCTGCCTCAAGCAGGTGTCGCCGCTGCACTACTCCAACTCGCTCCAGCCGGGCGGCAAGGTCAAGATGCGCTGCGGCTCCGTCTGGTTCACGGTGCAGGCGCGTATCGACCGCGGAGACAACGGCTACGACCGCTTCCAGACCTACGCCCCCATCGCCGCCATCACCCTCTGCGCCCTGACGCTCGGGGCGGGGGCCATCTACATTGCCGGTGCCAGCGCCGCAGCGGGCGGAGCGACGGCGGCCGTGGCGGCCCTCTCGGCCAGGATCTCGGCGCTCGTGGCCATGCACTCTCCGACGGCCCGGAGGCTGTACAAGTACGCGCAGAAGGGCCAGACGGTGGCCAAGGTCGGCCAGGTCATCGGCATCGGCGGAGGCGCGCTGACGGGCGCCAACAAGGGCCAGAAGCCCAAGGACCCCAAGGACATGGCAAAGGAGCACGCCGAAAAGGCGACCCGGACCGCGCTCAAGAAGCTGCTCCAGGGCAGCGTGCTCAGCTCGCCCGGATGGTACATTAACCGCGACCGCACGCTGCGCATCGTCGGCGGACCGCGGGCCTCGCGCGTCGACGGCCTGCTTGTCATCGAGACCGACACGACGCAGCCCTTCGCCATCGTCGACGAGACGGGCAAGACGGTGGCGACGGGCAACCAAGACGGCGGCGAAAAGGTGCCCGCCACGCCCGTCGGCGAAGCGGGGCCTGCCGACGATGACAGCGAGGGGGAGGACAACACCGAGGATGCGGCGCAGCTCAAGGCCCACGGGCCCCAGGTCAGCGTCGACGGCGGCGTGGCACCCGCCGCCATCGCCGCCACTGCCCCCGCCGCCCCCGCCGTCGCCGCCCAGGCCAAGAAGGACTCGACGTTCATGAGGCTGATCAAGGGCGACAAGGGCTTCGCCTGAGGGCACCCTGAGATCCCTGTACATGTCAGCCCGCCCCTATGACGGGCGCGCTCCAGCATCCGCCTTCTCGTATCTATACCCACGTCTGTCTATCATCCATCGAACCGGGACCAAAAGCGTCACGGCCGCGCGCTTGCAACCATTCCTGTGCTAGTCCGTTCTATTCCGCCGGGTCTTCTAGGCGACTGCTACATAGTGGCGGGCCCAGCGGCCTAGAGCTTGTTGCCATCCGGGTTGGCCTCGGCGCCGTGGCTGGGCTCGGGGTTGGGGGGCTGAAGGATGCTGAGGAGCGTCTTGACGCCGTCCTCGGTCGTCATCTGCGGGATGGGCTGTCCGGATCCGGTCATCTTAAGCTGGACGATGCAGGCGGGCAGGGTGAGCTGGGCAGGCATCGAGGGGTGGGCGTCGGTGGCCTTCTCCTTCTTGCCAGAGAGGAGCTCCTTGACCAGGTGGCGCTCGCCGCACAGGGGGCGCGCGATTCCGACAATGTCGCAGCTCTGCTCCTCGATGGCCTTTGCCATGATCTTGGCGGTGCGGAAGCCGCCGGTGACGGCCAGCTTGGACGACGAGAGGTGCGGGCGGATGCGCTCGGCAAACTCGATAAAGAAGCTCTCGCGCGCCACGGTGCTCTCCTTCTTGTGCTCGAAGCCGCTCGACTCGTAGGTGCCGCCGCTGAGCTCGATGAGCTCGACGCCGGCCTTTTCGAGGCGCTTGGACATCTCCATCGAGTCGTCGCCGTCGAAGCCGCCCTCTGCAAAGTCGGCCGAGTTGATCTTGATCGAGACGATAAACTTGGGGTCCTGGACGGCCTGCTTGATGGCCGAGACGATCTCAAAGACGATGCGCGAGCGGTTGTCGAGCGACTCGCCGCCGTACTCGTCGGTGCGCTTGTTGACGCGCGGGCTGAGGAACTGCGAGAGGAGGTAGCCGTGGGCGGCGTGGAGCTGGACTCCGTCGGCGCCGGCCTCGGCGAGGACCTTTGCGGCAAAGGCGAAGCGCTTGGGCAGCTCGTGGATCTCGTCGAGCGTCATGGCGCGCGGCTTGCCGAACGTCATGCCCATGGCGGGCTGGCACTGGACGTCGCTCGACGACACGGGCTCCGGGTTGACCTCGATGCTCGTCTGCCGGCCGGCGTGGGTGAGCTGGGCAATCACGAGGCTGCCGTGCGCCTTGGACGCCTCGACGACGGGGCGGTAGGCCTTGACGTACTCGTCGTGCGAGGCAATCGTCATGTCGATGCAGGCGTTGTGCTCGGCCTCGGGGTAGCGCGCGTCGGTGGGGATGTTGCCGAGGACAATGGTGCCAATCTCGCCCTCGCCCCAGTCCTTGTAGAGGCTGATGTACTCGGGCGTGGGCCAGCCGCGCTTCTTGAAGTCGTCCTTGGACCACGTGCACAGGCGCTCCGTCATGGCGCTCTTGAGGGTGCCGTTGGGCGCGACGGCGCCCGACTTGAAGTGGACGGGCCTCTTGAGGATCTCGAGGTGCGACATGGTGGCTGCGGGAGCGGTAAGGCGGGTCGGGGTTCTGTCTATGCGAAGGCCAGGTCTATACGGGTGCGGTGCGTGATGGTGGTGCTTGGCAACTGGCGAAGGGCTCGATGAGGGGTCAGTGTACGTTGTGGAAGAGGTGGATGCGGGCCCGCCCTTTTGTACTCTTGACGATGTCCCTGCAGCGGTGCGGCGGTGCGTCGGCGCGGGCCAGGGGCTGTGCCGACAACGGCCCCACCATCCAGTCGACGGCAGGCGGTCGGTAGATCGCTCGCCGTGCTGTTTGTTCTCTGATTTCGAACCACGATATCGCCGAGGCCGTTGCTGCGAGCAGCTCAGCCAGCCGGAGGCAGAGGCGGGGCAGGGGCGGGGGGTACAGCACACAAGCAAGATGCATGGCCGCCCACCAGAAGAAAGTCGTCGAACAAGCTGCTAAGCGCGCGGGCCAGGGCCAAGGCAGGCCGGCGACTGGACCTGGCCGACGCAAGGCTGCGTAATTTCGAGCCGCCTCGTCATCCCGCCTGCCTGGCCTGACCTTTATGTCCGGGCGCCGGCAAATCAAACGCTGCCCGCGCCGGTCAGGGAATTAACAGGCAGGGCAGGTGGAGGTCGATCTTCGACTTCGGACATCGGAGGAAAAACGGCTCGGGTTCCGGCAAGCGACACAGGCAGATACGGCCCACATCACGCCTTCCTTCTGTTCTCTTCTCTTCTCCGAGGACCCACCCTCCACCGACCCCGCCGAAACACCGACACCCCGTACGTCCACTCCTACGGCACCAGAAAAACAGGCACCAGAAAAACACGGTCTCGTCCCATCAGGCCAGCTCAATGTGCTGTTCATCCGGCGAATGCGGCAGAGTCAGCGGTACGTTTCGGTGAAGGGGGCGCGGCTCCTCGGCGGCGCTGCGCTGCCCACTGGCCCACTCACCGGGTTGTTGAAGACGGTCTGATCGGTCGTGTTGAGCAGGAAGTCGTACACAAAGCCGCCAAACACGCCTCCGGACAGGCACGCGAACCACGGCACGCGGAGCCAGTACACGGCGTCGTGCTGTCACATGGGGTGGCGGGCAGGCATGGTCAGCTGAGGGGATTGCACAGCGTCAAGTCGCACCCATCGTCGCCGTCTGCCATCTCACCGTCCAGATCTCGCCACCATATCCGAGCAGCGTCAGCGCGATACGGGGTCCAAAGTCGCGAGCTGGCAGGGGCAGATAAGATTGTCAGCCTCGATGCACTTGGCCGCGCCTCTCGTGCTGTCCCCACCTCGGCTCACCTGGGTTGATAGCGTAGCCGGTCTGCGCTCCAAAGCTGGCGCCGATACCGAGGATGAGGATGAACAGACCCAGCGGCACCGAGAAGCCCGTCGGGTTGCGGGCGTCGGTCAGGGCAAAGATGGCGCCGACCAGAATGGCCGTCGCGCCAAACTCGCACACCCAGGCCGTGAAGCCGCTGATGCTCGACGCCGGGTGCGTGACAAAGCTGCCCGCCGCCGAGTTGCTGCCAAACAGCGGCGACGTCGAGTTGGGGTCCAGAATGACGATTGTGTCGCGGTAGATGAACTGGAGGCGCAGGTGAGTTGCGACAAGAGTGAGCGCCGCGGTTCGTCAATCGATGCGGGCAGGGCCACGGCACACTCACGTAGATCGTGCAGGCTCCAAACATGGCGCCGAGGACCTGGGCGAGGATGTACTTGGGCACCTTGTTCTTGGGAAAGCGGCGGAACAGCGCCAGAGAGATGGTCACGGCCGGGTTAATGTGGCCGCCCGAGGTGGGTCCGGCGATGTAGGCGCCCACAGCGACACCGGCCGCCCATCCTACGCGAAAGAAAAGGGATCAGGGGCCGCCGAGCATCAGCACGACAGTCCTTTGCCGCGCAGACCAGCATCGCCGAACAAGAACCGCCCCGGCCACTCACCCAGGCAGCAGGTTGCGTAGTTGCCCGCGCCGTAGAGCTGCACCTGGCACTGGACACCCGCACCGAACAGCAGGATCATGGCGGTGCCCAGGAACTCGGCCACCTCTTCGCGGATGGCGGCGCGAAAGATGTCGACATAGGTCCTCGGCCCGACCTCGAGCGGCAGGAGGTGGACGGCGTCCTCCTGCCAAGCGGTGGGGCAATGGGTCGCTATCAGCGTGGGCGAGATCAAGACAGAGCCCCAGTACGACACTCACAGGACGAAGCGGCGGCTCCTCGACGTCCGGCATGCTGGAATATTTCGAGGGCGGTGAGTGTCTTGGCTGTTGGCGGGCGTGGTTGCAGAGCTGGTCAAGAAAGCCTTCGAAAGGGGACGGATGATGGAGGCCGCTGTTGGGGCAGGGACATGTAGGCGCCCACTACTTGTACCCCACCCGCCAGCTGATCCCTGCGCTCGCTCTGTTGCGCTGCCACCACTCTGGGCCTGCCAGCGAGGTGGGGTTTTGTTATGCATATGAAGCGTCATCGCCCCTTAGCCTGATGCAACCGTGGTGGGGGCGGACCGGTTCGACCGCGTACCCCTGTCGTGCTCCCTGCTCGTTGTTCACCGTCGTTGCTCGGCGTCGTTGACCTCTCTTGGCCGGAGACAGCCGATTTCCACCTCAGCGACGGAACTTGGCAGCAGTATCTACGGGACGGGAGCGGCTGGGCGCGCATCACGGCGAGCTGGCCAGCCGTACACGGCGCGGCAAGGCAGACGTGAGCCGTGCCATTCTTAACAACGCAGCCCGCCTGATGGCATCCCGTGCTCTGCGACCGGAAGTGGTGCCGAGCTACAACAAAGCCAGGCCGCTATGGCCTCGACTCGGACCCCTTGGGCGTCAGCGTTGCCACATGTCGCCGGCGCGTGGGGGGAGGACAATCGTAAAGATCGGGCGAATCGCTGAATCGGGGAGTCGGGGGAGCTGGGTCTGATCGGGAAGCCTCTGGGCCGTCGGTGCCGCGCTCCGCTCCGAGTCGGCGGCAAAACCCCGCACTGGCCTGGCCTGGCCTTGTCCTGGGACGCCCGTGGTGGACGAGCAAGCAAGATCGACAAGCCCGCTTTGAGGCAAACAGCAAACTGCAACAAGGTACGGTGCACGCCAAGGTCATGGCGTAGCGTGCCAGGCAGGCGCTGGATCGCACAGGCGGGCTGGCAGCCAAAGAGCGGCTCCCGCCGTGCCCCGCGGCTCCGCCAGAAGGTGGGCGGCCATCGAGGGGAGACAGGGCAAGGCAAGGCTGGCTCGGCCTTCGGGAGTGGGCCCCGCGCCGCCTGAGCAGCGGTTACGGGGCCGTGCATGAGCTGGGCGCCCGGCCCATGGGGCAGGCCTGCCTCGCCGCTTGTGGAGAAGGCGGAAAAATTGGAGCGCCGCCGTGGCCGACCAGCCAGACGAGACAGGCCAGACTTGACTTGCTTGCTCGGCCCTCTACCAAGCGGGCTGGAATGCGCGAGCGACGCCCCCTTCTTGGCCTCTTGCCATCAGCTGCTCCCGCCCAGCCGAGGACCGCGGTACGCAAAGCAAGCAACCAAGCAACCAAGCTGCCGATGCCCTTCCCGCTCTGTCCTCTCGCACAGACACACAGAGGCTAGGCCGGGGGATCGCTGCTTCGCTTGGGCACCCACATGACATCAGGGAGAGCGAGCGCTCCTCGTCCTGGATCCGAAAGAGGAGACGGAAGAGAGAGAGAGAGAGAGAGAGGCAGGCAGGTTCAGAGAGCAGCGGTAGCGACCACGGCGACAGCGGCTGCTGCTCTCTCTCTGATCCCTCCTCTGTCTCCTTTCATCCCCATCCATGGCCGTCGAGGCTTCGGATGCAGCTTCGGTACGGTCGGCCTTCGCATGCGAGCCCCACCTCCCTGACCTGCCCAGAGCCTGTGCCCCACGTTACGGCCCGCTTCCTGCGTCGGTGCGCGGACAGCGACAGGGGAGCTCATCGGATGGTGACGGCGGTCGAGCCTCTTGCTTCTGCCGGCTGACCTGACACTCTCCTCGGGGCCCTTCGAAGAGATATAACCGCCGACCACCGTCCGCGCCTACCTTCCCCGACCCCATTGCCGTACCCACGCCGCTGCCGTCAAGAGTCTATCTATACCCAGCACCACGCTAACATCCTTCACCGGCCTTGCGACTCCAGCCACGCATCCTTCGTCTTAGGCCTATATCTCACCATCGACACATCCCGTACACCCGCGCATCGACCGACACCATGGCGTCGTTTCTCAAGACTTCGAGCTCCTCGTCGTCGTCGTCGCTGCCCTTTGGCATCGACCTTTCGCAGGTGACGCCGCTGCACGCCCTCTTTGCCGCGCTCGCCGTCGTCGCTGCCATGGCCATCATCGCGCCGGACCGCTACATCTTCAGCTCGCACCGTGACGGCATCCCCGAGCTCCCCGAGGTCTGGCCCATCCTCGGCAACCTCAAGTTCCTCCTCGACGTAAAGTCGAAGCGAATCACCCTGCTCAACGCCGCGCTCAAGTACCAGAGGCAGGTCGGAAAGGGCGGCATGCCCTGGGGCGCCACCTTCCCCGCCCTCGGCGGCAGGATCACCATGATCAACCGGCCCGAGTACATCCGCTGGGTGCAGAAGACCAACTTTGAGAACTACGTGAGTGCTCCAGCACCTTGTTCGCTAGCCATCACATCTCCACCGAGGCAATGTATAGCAGACCTTCGCTGACACGTTGCACCTACGATGATCCGAATCCCATCCACCTCTCCGACGCCGTTGAATGCGGGCGCGACCGACAGATCAAGGGCGCTGACTTCTCTCGAGCCATGGGCGACGTCATGAGCACCCACGGCATCTTTGTCGCCGACGGCGAGATCTGGAAGAAGCAGCGCAAGATGGCGTCGCACATCTTCAGCGTCGGCAACTTCCGCACCCACGTCCAGTCGACCATCCAGCGCGACTTGGCCACGCTCAACAGCCTGGCCAGGGACGCTTCGTCCAAGAACACCCAGGTCAACCTGCCCGGTGCGTGTCCAGAGACAATGCGGCGCGCTTTCTCGCGAGCGCCGAGCCCGTGCTGATGCCGCTGTTTCCTTCCTCTTCCGACCTGGTGCTGGCCGAATACTGCAGACCTCTTCTTCCGCTTTACCCTGAGCTCCTTCTCGCTGATGGCCTTTTCGGCAGAGATCGGCTGCCTCCCTCCGGCCGTCGAGGAGCTCAGCAAGGCCGTCAAGTTTGCAGACGACTTTGACTACGCGCAGCGCGTCATGGACGAGCGCTTCACGGACCCCTTTTCGACGTTTACCGAGCCCTTCTCTGCCCAGGGCCGCAAGATGCGCAAGACGATCAAGGACCTGCACAGCTTCTGCTACAAGATTATCGACCTGCGCATGGAGGCCAACAGCCGCGGCGACGCTCAGGGCGCGTCGGGCAAGGGCGGCAAGGACCTGCTCGCCCTCTTCATGGAGCAGAACCTGAGCCGCGAGGACCTGCTCCCCGTCGTGCTGGTGAGTCAAGGCGAGGTCAACAAGCCCGGTTGAGGAGGCGGCGTCGCTGACCCACTGAGCCACATTTCATTTGCTCCGGCCCTCGTGCTCCGACGACAGAACTTCCTCATCGCTGGACGCGACACGACCGCCCAGGCCCTGTCGTGGCTGTTCTGGGAGTTCTACAAGAAGCCCGAGTAAGTGCCCGTCGAGGTCCCCGTAGCAAAGCTCGAGGTGTCCGACATTGCTCACGCCCTGCCTCACGCCCGTGCCACCACCCTTGACCCTCGCCTGCAGGTGCGTCGAGCGATGCCGACAGGAGATCCACGAGAAGCTCGGCTCCGGCGCTGGCTACCGCCACATGACCTACGACGACCTGGGAACGCTCGTCTACACCCAGGCGTGCCTGTACGAGGCGCTGCGGCTGCACCCGTCGGTGCCCAAGAACCTCAAGAAGGCGGTCAAGGACGACGTCATCCGCCCGTACGCGCAGCCGCTGGACGGCAGCGAAAAGGCGCCCAACGCCATCGAGAGCGCCAAGCTGCCCGACCTGGTCATCAAGGCGGGCGAGAGCGTGCTGTGGTCCGACTACGCGATGGGCCGCATGCCCGAGGTCTGGGGACCTGGTGAGTGGCGTGACGTCTGACCGAGCCTTGCAGACCGTCCCTTGGAGCAGGCCTTGCCAAGCCGACCCGATTCGACGCTGACCGATACCTTCGCCTCCATTTCGTCCATTCGTCTGCCTCGTGGTACCCGCACAGACTGCGAAGAGTTTAAGCCGGAGCGCTTCATCGAGAACAACGATGACGGGAGCCAGTCGATCAAGACGTACAGCCAGTACCTCTTCCACGCCTTCAACGCCGGTCCACGCCTGTGCCTTGGCCAGACACTGGCGACGTACGAGGGCTGCGCCGTCGTGGCCGAGCTGGTTGGCAACTTTAACGTCAAGTTCGACGAGCAGGCCATGCGCAACGACCCGCCCACGTTTGACGACTCGCTCACGCTTCCTGTGCGCAACCAGTACAAGGTGCGCTTCGAGGCACGCGACGACTGAAGGCGTGAGGGAGGCCGATGAGGAGGCGACAGTTGTCTTGTACGATAGGAGGAGAAGAGTGGCGTTGTATGATTTCGCCGTCCATCTTTGAGGTGTTGCCGCCCCCTTTGGAATAGCATCGACGTACCAGGAATGCAGCTTGTGTGGCGATGCACTCTTGGCGTCGACCCCATGTGATGCGACACAGCGCCTGCCCTTCCCAGCATGCTTCCGTAACCAGGTCCTCCTCCAGGCTGGGTAGCTTGGCAGGTCGACCGCGTGCCGACCGCGCCGCTGTCTGTCCACGTTTTCGATTCGGCTCAAAGGAGGTGGCCATTCCGATCCGCCCATCTGTCTGCTGGGGCTGTGCGGAATGGAGCAGGGTACGGCAGCAGCCGGATCGGAGCAGAGGATGGAAGGAGGCCGACCCGAGGAGCTGGTTGAGCGAGGCAGGCCAGGCAGGCTAGGGTGGATTCTGTTATCAGATGCTGGCATCGACTCGACTGGCTTGGCCTGGCCGGGAGCTGCTGGAATTTGAAATTCCAACTTCTGGCTGGCGGCTCTCGACTTGGCGGCCAGGGGGAAGCCGCCCGGCCCCCTCGCCCCCCACCGTGCCGATGGCCCCCGCCTTCCGCGCGTGGTGCGTGGCGAAAACAAGGCGCCGAGGGCGAGCGAGGAAATTTGAAATTGACGACTGGCTTCCCCATCCCCGGCCTGCCTGCCCTTCTCTGCTCAGCCCACCGTAGCCACCTCGTCTCGCTCCGCTCCGTTCCGCCTGGCATGCTCTGGCCTGGCCTGGCTTGGCCTCGTCCTCGCTCCTCGAGCCCAACCTCGAGCCTGTCCAAGATTTGCAGCATGTGTCAAGCTGCGTGGCATGCCGGGGGAGACGGGGAACCGAACGGGACGCGAGGCTAGGCTAGGCCTCTCGGCAGCCAGAAGCGTGGCATGGCCTGCCTTGGCCCCCTCTCCTCTTCGGAGCCTTTCTTGTCGGGGGCGAGAGAAAGTTTTCGGCTTGGCTCCCATCCACCATCACCACGCTCGCTGACCTCCGGTCTCCCTAGCCTTGGCATGTCACCCTCGTCCTCACGTTCACCCTGCTAGAGAGTCAGCTGCGAGAGAGAAGCTTTGAGAGAGGTACAAGAAGTCGGCCAGCTAGCCAGCCCGCGGCCACCTTGGGTCCCAACTATCCGCTATCGCCCCCCGTACGCCTGGCTGTCCCACCTGCCACCAGTCACCATCCGCCACCACCATCCTTCCTACTCCGCCTAACGCGTCGACCATGTCGACACCCACAGAAGAGGCCCGCAGCGTCGCCGCCAACTCGTCCGACCCAGAGTTGCCAGGCAAGCCCGGCGCCGCACCGGCCGCCTCATACAACCACGATGGCTTCCTCCTCGACCCAAACGGCGGCGTGCCGGAGGCGCGTACCGCCCTCGACGATGCGCGCGCATCGGGCAGCGCGGCCAAGGGCATCCTGCTCTCGCTCGGCTGGCTCGACCGCCTCCTCTCGCTCCTCATCGTCGTCGCCATGATCCTCGGCGTCGTCATCGGCGAGTTTGCACCGAACGCGAAGCAACGGCTCGAGACGGGCGACTTTGAGGGCGTCTCTGCGCCCCTCGTCGTCGGCCTCATTGTCATGATGTGGCCCATCCTGACAAAGGTCCAGTACGAGCGGCTGCCGGCCCTGTTCCGCACGCGCAGGCTGTGGTACCAGATTGGGCTCTCGCTCGTCCTCAACTGGATCGTCGGTCCCTTTGTCATGCTCGCGCTCGCGTGGGCGACGCTGCCGGACCTCGAGGGCTACCGCATCGGCATCATCATGGTGGGCCTGGCGCGCTGCATCGCCATGGTCATGATCTGGAACCAGATCGCCCGCGGCGACAGCACCACGTGCGCCGTCATTGTCATCATCAACTCGTTTCTCCAGATTGTCCTCTACGCCCCGCTGGCGCTGCTGTTTGTCAACGTCATCAGCAACGACGAAGGTTTCGAGCTCGAGTACAGCAAGACGGCCATCTCGGTCGCAATCTACCTCGGCATCCCGCTCGCCGCGGGCATCCTCACCCGCTTCGCCGTCCTGGGCCTGGCCGGCCGCGACTTTTTCCAGCGCAAGTTCCTGCCCCTCTTTGCGCCCCTCTCGCTCCTGGCGCTCCTCTACACCATCATCATCATCTTTGCCTCGCAGGCCCGCCGCATCCTCGACAACCTCGGCCCCGTCTTCCGCACCTTTGTGCCCCTCGTCCTCTACTTTGGCCTCATGTGGACCCTCACCTTCCTCCTCATCTGGTACCTCTCCATCCGCTACGGCAAGCAGGAGTGGGGCTACCAGATGGCCGTCGTGCAGTCCTTTACCGCCGGTTCCAACAACTTCGAACTCGCCATCGCCGTATGCGTCGCCGTCTACGGCGCCGACAGCGAACAGGCCCTCGCGGCCACCATTGGTCCGCTCGTCGAGGTCCCCGTCCTCCTCATCCTCAGCTGGGTCGCCCTCTTTGTCGGCCGCCGGATGCGCTGGGACGTCAAGCTCCACGACAGCCAGGCCGAGGCCGCACGCGACATCAAGTCGACCCAGGGCGAGATCGAGAGCCAGTCCAAGGCCGAAGCGTAGTTAGTCGGTTCCCGTGGTTCGTCTGTCGTCCATCTTCACCTGTCACCACCATTCTGTCGGGTCCACGCCTCGTCGTCACCGTCAGGCGTTGTATTACCAGCTTAGCATCGCGGAAAAGGCACCGAATAGTCCCTTGTCATCGTCGTCGTCTAATTCGATCTAGATCCAACCGCAGGGTCCCGACCCTTGGAACGGCCTCAGTCGAGCTTGCGCGCATTGCCCCTCGCCTTGCCCTTGGGCGGCGGTGGCGGCATCGCCTGCGGTGGGCCCGCCGCTCCGTTCTGCACCTTGGACGGCGACAGCGGCCCGCCCGCCCTCGAGTGCAGCGTCTGCATCGAGTCGGACGAGGTGCTGTACGCTCCGTAGCCCGATGCCGCTGCGCCGGCCGCGGCGTGCCCGGTCGGGTGCATCGGAGCGGCACCCCACAGACCTGCACCGTTCGGCTCGCCTCCGAGCTGCGGCGAGGACCAGGCCGAGGGATTCGGGCTCCCGCCGCCGCCCAGGTTGCGACTCGCGCCGGCGCCACCGCCCCAGATACCGCCGACCAGCTGGGCAGCCGTTCGACCGGACGGCGCGCCGACGCCGCCCATGCCGCCGCCCGGTATCCCGATGCCTCCGCTGGCGACCCGCGAGTAGGCGTAGGACCTCTCGAACGCCTTGCTCGTCGCAGTCTGCGGCACGTCTGCAAGCGCGGGAAAGGTGCGCAGGACGAGGCGGTGCAGCTTGATCGTCGGCCAAAAGACGGGCAGACGGCCGGGCAGGAAGACGCTGAGCGGGCCCGTCGAGTCGTGGTTGCTGGCCGCGGAGCTCGGGTCGGGCGAAAAGGTGGAGCTGGAGCCGCTGGCCGAGATGCGGGGTTGCGGGTTGGCGAGCATGGCGAGGACGGTGCAAAAGGGAAAGACGAGCATGAAGAGCATGAGGTTGAGCAGGCCGCTCGGGTGGAAGAACGAGACGGCGGTCGAGGGCAGGCCAAAGGCGACAAAGTAGCTCCAGCGCTCCTCGCAGTAGCGCGTCCTGCGCTCGAGCGACCAGCCACGCGCAATCCAGGCCTGCTCGAAGCAGTAGTAGCCGTCGACGAAGCTCATGAAGAGGAACGAGAGCGGGCGGCCGAGGTAGGGGATCCTGCCAAGCAGCACGACGACGGCGGCGTAGTTGACGATGAGAAAGAGTCGGTACGACTCGCGCACCAGGCGGCGAGACGTGCCTGCGGGCGGGGTGAAGGATGCGATGCTGAGGGCGTTGCGCACGTGGCCGTGGCGGAGGCGGTAGGCGGCCTCTGCGACGTCGGTGGTCCAGGAGGATGCGAGGAGGTAGCTGCCGCCGATGAGCGGGTAGAGCCAGAAGACGTTGCCAAGCGAGCCGAGCGCTTCGCTGGGGCTGTTGACGCTGGCGCTGTCGCTGTGGCTCGCGACGAGGGGCTGCTCAAAGAGGACCGTGGGCAGGAAGGCGAGCTCGAGGAAAAAGACGAGGGCGGCGATGACGCCGCTGAGGAAGAGGCCCTTGAGGATTCCGTTGCGGATCTCGGACGAGCTGCGCAGGCGGTGTGCGCGAGGGAAAGGGCGACGTCAAGGGTGAGTGTGCGTGTACAGGCCGTGGTAAACGATAAGCCCGGCTGGCAACGACTCACTTTGCGATGAGCCTGATGGCTTCGGGCCAGCGGTTAGCGTCCGACCAGCCTGCCCTTGCCCAGGTGAGGTGTGCTTTTGCGCTGTGTGCGAGTCCGAGGCGGGGTATCTGCGCTGCCGGTCCCTTTGCGCTCCAGGAGAGCGGCTGTGCGCTGGATGCGAGTGGCCAGGGCAGGCCGGTGTCGTAGTGTTCGTCGATCCTGCCGCCTCCCTCGATGTCCAAGTCGACTGAGGCGACCGAGAGCGGGCGGTGCTTGCGCGCTACCGCTGCTGAATGGGCGGCAGAGTGTGCGAGCATGGTGCATATACAAGCTGAGCCGCTCGACTTGTATGTTTTCCGTGTGCTACTGCGGTGGTGGTGGTGGTGGTGGTGGTGGTGGTGATGACTAGCGGCAAGAAGGGAAAGTCGGGGGTCGGGGAAAGATGGCGGCCGGCCAAGAGGCCAAAAAAGAGGCCGACCTGCATGCCTCGCTGGCAAGAAGGAGATGAGGCCGCCGCCGCCCTCTGCTCGGCCTGTTTCGCCTGGCCTGTCCTGACCTGGCCTGTCTTGGTGTTGGTCGCCCGCCCGCCCAGCTCCACATTGAGACTTTCCTCCTGATTTTCTGCGAGCGCGCCGTTGGGCCACGCCGCCAACCCGCCCGGTTCCTTCCGCTGCATCCTTGCCTTCCACCACATCCTCCCTCGGTCCATCCCCTTCGACAGACAGCATGGTGTTCGGCATCAAGAACAAGAAGAGCGCAAAGAAGCTCAGCAAGCAGGACGCACCACAGCACTCCAACGGCAACGCCAACGCCACCGCCAGGCACCATGGCCACCAGACCAACCAACACGCCGACGCCGACCCCGGCTTGACCGCCGCGCCACCCTCGTTCAAATACGGCGGCAACGTCAGCAAACGCCAGTTTGACATCGCAGGCCTGCCCGTAAACGTCTTTGGCATCGACGAGCTCACCCCGGCTCCCTCGCGCGCATCCGCACCCCAGCCGCCCCAGGTCTGCGTCGTCATCCACCTCCACGGCAGGGGCGGCAGCGCAGACAACGAGGAGAAAATCGCCAGGCAGCTCCACGACCGCATCCAGCGCGACAAGGACGCCTTCCAGCAGCAGCATCCCGACGCCGCAGCATACCAGCGAGACCACCTCGTCGTCACGTTCGACGCCCGCAATCACGGCCACCGCATGACCAACCAGCTCGGCCAGCAGGCCTGGAAGCAGGGCAACCAGAACCACGCCCTCGACCTCTACGGCATGATCGTCGGAGGCGCAAGGGACACCAGCTTCATCGTCGACCTTCTCGCTCCTTACCTCTTCCAGCACGACGAGCGCACCGTCGCAGAGTGGGTCGTCACCGGCAAGAGCCTCGGCGGCCACTCGACCTGGCACGTCCTCGCCAGTGAGTACAGGGATGCCCGCAACGCCCCTCTTGCCTCAGCCTCAAAGTCCATCCCTGCCGGCATCACACTGACAGAGCAATCTTCTCTCTCCCCTACACCCCCTCCCCTCTTGGCCCGCCCTCGACCATACAGACGAGCCCCGAATCCGCATCGGCGTCCCGTTTATCGGCATGCCCGACTACAACCGCCTGCTCAACTCCCGCACCAAGACGTCGTTTGTCACCAACGGCCCTCCCTACGTGCCCGGCTCGCTCAAATCGCTCATCAACCAGATCGACCCGTCGGTCGTCGACCACGAGTCCTTCGACCCGGCGCGCAACCCCTTCTGGGGCAAGAAGATCTGCGTGCTGAGCGGCGCCGAGGACCGCCTGGTGCTTTGGGATTGGAACGAAAAGTTTCTCAAGGAGCTCGTCGTCGGCGAGCCCAGCGGACCGCGCGGCGAAATGGACGGCCTCAAGATCCACCGCTACTCGGGCGTCGGTCACGAAGTTACCGAAAGCATGGTCGAGGAAGCCGGCGAGTGGATCTGGCGCTGGGGCGTCGCGGGCCAGGCCGCACGATAGGAGCGACGACGCACGCACGCACGGACACTACCTGCCGTCGAGAGATGTACATATGTACCGTAGATACCCGCTCATGCTTGCCTCTTGCTTCGTCAGTTCCGGTCGACGACAAGATGCTGGAGTTAGGCGCAGGCCGCTCTGGCCCCTTGCGCAGCGGTGGCGCCCGATCCGAGCACAAAGGGCCCGCCATTCATTTGCAGGCTCAACGGTGCGCCCCACGCTGCATGGCCCTACCCTGTCAGAAGCCTCATCACGGTCACATCCAGGTGGGCGCTATCGCAACCTCTTCTCCCACCTTGTCGACCACCATCTTGTGCCTGTCGCCGACGCTGCCGCTTCAACCTCGCCGCCATGTCGCATCCCTCCATCGCCACCCCCGTCAAGGCCGAATCCAACGGCGGCACCTCTGACGACGAGCCGCGCTCTGCGCGCTTCCGAGCCGGCAACAACCTCACCAAGGTGTTTGACCCGTCCTGCGACTACTGCATCGAAAAGGGGGCCGCGGTGTGCACCTTCGACATGGCCAAGCGCCGCCGCGGCACGAGCTGCGACCTGTGCTACGAAAAGCACCGTCCCTGCTCTGCGCGCGACCAGGTGGTGCGGGCACGAGAGGACGACGAGGCCGGGATCGAGGCGAGACTTCACAAGAAGAGGAGGTCGATGCAACCGGACGTCGAGATGGATGTCTATGAAGACGATACGCCGTTCAGGAGGAAGGTCAACAGGAGCCAAATCCACGCTACCGAGCCCAGAGCCACTCGATCTGCCAGCGCCGCGCGGAACAGGGAAGGGAGTTCGCAGTCTGCGTCGAGCGAAGGGGGAGCCAATCGATCAGAGAAGGTCAGAGCTATGCAGGGCGGCCAGACAAGCTCCTGCTCGACCTCACTCAGCCACAAGACGGGCATCCACGCAAGTTCGCCCCTTCCCCCAGTCGCCATAAGCTCTTCCGCACCCAGCGGCAGTAATGCACCAGGCAGCTCCGTGTCCGAACCGCGCGGAACGTCGATGCCACAGACCAAGCGACGGGCCCGACCCAACGTCGCCGACCGAGCAGGTGCCAATCGCTTCAAGGCCTTTCTAATGGAAGTGTCGAAGCGCCTCATTGACGCCAAGGAGCTTGCAGCCACCGCTCCAGACGACTACGAACGCAAGGCCAAGATCTTCAAGCACGAGTTCATGGCCATCGAGAGCAGGATGCGGGCCGAGGCGGCCCACCTCAACATCAAGCTGCCTCGGTCCCGGGATGCCAACCGGTCCGCGCCAAAGTCGAACTGAGTTTGGGCGACGATGCCGAGGGTGGCCGGGCTGGCGGCAACGATCAGTCCCCATGCGTCCCCACCCCCTTGGAGAGACGCTGCCTTTGTCGCCTGGCGGTCCGAAGAGGCTCAGAGTCTATCCTTTTTTGCTCCTCCGTACTCGACTGCACAGGGCGGCAAGGTCGAGGCGTTTGGGAGCGACGTGATACCCGCCCTCAGCACGGCTTGCTGGCGGAGCTTAATCCTAAGCGGCCCATCAAGGAGGTGTCCCAAGCCCCGCGAGCCGCGGCCCCCTCTTCGCCCTCGTCCTGCCTCGTTTCCCCGGTCGCAACTCGCCTCTGTTCCACCATCATCGCCACGCTCTGCCACTCTCTCACCAACGCACCCGTCCAAAGTCTCAGGCATCAAGTCACAGACCGAAATGTCTCCCCCTCACAGCCGCCCAAGCAGCGAGATGCCTCGCGCCATTGATGTCGACGCGCCCGCCACGGTGGAAGGACCGAACATCACCACCACCGACACGGCCATCGTAATCACCCCAGATAAACGCTGCACCCTTTGCGTTGGGAGGGGTGTCAGATGCACAGTGACTATGGCGAGGGGTGTGAAGCGCCGGACTTGCGACACGTGTATAGACAGTCACAAGGTCTGTTCTGGCGTGGCCCGCGTCGATGCCATCATTGGGCCTCTGAGACACCGAGTCGATCGCACCCTCATCCGGTTCAGAAAGGAGTCTTTGGCGAGGCGTTCGTCTATCCAGGACGCCGATGACACCGAGTCTCTGGTCGAGAAGCTCGCCGGAGGTGGAAGTTCTTCGGTCAACGAGGTCGATAGGGCCGGAAAGGCCCCATCGGAACGTCACGCTGCAAAGAGGGCCAGGGCCACCATCTCGTCCGCACACAAGGGTATGCACAACGCAGAGCAAATTGACGGCAATTCGCGAGCTCGGGGCCAAAGCCACGCATCGTCGTCCCATCCGTCTCGTGGCAGTGACTGTGCTGCCTCCTCTCGCCCGCCGTCGATCCAGGAGCGCGTTCGCGCCGAAGCCCCGTCTGCCGAGGTCGAGGTCGTAGAACCCCGTCCTGCTCGCAAGACGGCCACACAGCCACCGCAGGCCTCTGCTGGAGCCGCCCCCTCGCGCTTCGAGTCGCTACTGGTCGATGCTGCAACAAGCCTGTCCGACCTTGCCCGGCTCGTTGACAGCAAGGACGACTACGACTACGAGGGAAAATGCACGCTCTACCGACACGGCCTCGAGGCGATCGAGGCGAGGGTGCTGCTCGAAGCTGCCCATCTCGACGTCGAGCTCGACGGCTCGAGCGTTTGAGCTCCGCGATTCAAATGATTCGATACTCCGAGCCCCTTCGCTTCTTGCAGCGACCTGCGACACCGCCGGCACCAGCATCGCCTCCGTAGTCGCGGGAAGATCGCCTCGGCCCGTTCCTCTGACCTACAAGTGGCAGCTTCACACAGGCTAAGGACGCGGACCGTGGGCTTCCTCTGCCAGCCGAACACGACCAAGCCGCAGGCGACGTACCAACCCGCTTTTGGCCCAGTAGACCCTTGTCGAAACGCAGGGCGCGGATGTGCTCTGTCGGAAGCTGCGTAGCCTGTCCGAGCGTTCGCCACCCTGCCGCTGTACTCTTCCTTGAGGTGCGCGCCCTTGATCGCCAGAGAAATACACGCAGACTTCGAGCTCGACCCGGTCCGCTTACTCAGCTCCTTTCGACACGCAGGCGGCCGTTTGAGCGGTGCATACGAGTGGGCCCTTTGTGTCAGCCGTCATGTTGAGCTTAGAAGAGCTTGATCAAAAGCCAAGAGGCGGCTCGGGCACGAGACCGCTGGCCGGTCGGTCGGCGAGCAAGCGGTCGCCTATATACCTTGTTTGCGCCCCTGGCCGATCCCTTCACCCCCTAGGCCGATCCCTTCACCACCTACCACCACCACGGCACCGCTCGTCTGTAGGCGATCACCGCAATCTCCATCCGTGCACACATTCGCCAGCACCTTTGAGCACCTTTGAAGCCCAGCATGCCTCCCGTCCGTCGACCGCTCGAAAACCGCCGCGCTGGCCCGACCGTCGTTACATCGGACAACGGTGTCCGCATCATTCCCAGGAGGGACTGTTCGTTCTGCGCCGAGCACGGTCTCGCCTGCGAGATGAACCTCGTCACTATCAGAAACCTGACCAGGGTGTCTTGTGACTCCTGCCGCGCTCATCATAATATCTGCCCTGCTCAAGGAGCGTTCCGCAAGGCCAAGGCCCCGAAGATCGGAGAGATACGGCGCTGCCTGAAGAGGATCGACCAAGAGCGAGTCGCTGATTCCGACTTCAACGACGACGATGATGTCGTTGAAGTGCTCGACGATGCCGGCGCCCAGAAGGGCGGCACACGACCGGCGGCCCGCCGCGCTGCCAAGAGGGCGAAGACGGCGATTTCTTCCGCCTACGCTGAACTCAGCCCTCTCCTGCGTGAGGATGACCAGACGTCGCTCATCGCCCGCTCTCGTGCAGAATCAAGCTCCGCAGCCGCTCGAGCTCCGGCAAGCCAGGAGCGTCGAGACGCCCGATCGTGCTTCACCGAGGTCGAAGTCGTGGTCCCGCGCTCGGGACAGGGCAGCCGCGCGAGGCCCCGTGCATCCTCCTCCGGCGCTGGAAGGCGCTTCGAGACGCTCCTGGTCGATGCCACCGAGCTGATCTCGGACCTGATCCAGCTGGTCGAGGGCAAAGGCGACGACGAGTACAAGCGCAAGTACAAAATGTACAAGCACGGGCTCGACGCTATCGATGCGCGGCTGCGCGTCGAAGCCGCCCATCTCGGTGTCGAGCTTCCCACGTCGCAGACGTGATCAACCGTCAACCTGTCCGAGGCCCAAAAGACGTCTGAGCACGCGGCGTCTCCATGATCAACAAGTCCCAGCAATTCGATCGTCTCGTTTGCTGCCTATCCACGGCGCTACTACGCCTCGCCATCTTCGTCATCCCAATGGCAAGCCCCTACGCAAGCACGCTCGCCTTGTAGTCATCTTCGTCCTTCATGGCTACAAGCACCCACGGCGTTTCTCTCTACTCAGGCTCAGCGACAGAACGATAGCAGCGCCGAAGCCGGACGATTACGACCGTCTCGCGACCTGGCTTGGCATACGTCCTCGACGCATTCCCAGCATCCCTGCCCGCCAAGGCTTTTGGTTGAGGTCCCAGAACTCTGTCCCTTGATGAGGCCCGTCGTGGCCGACGCATGTACCGCCAGAAGTAAAATCGTGCAGAGCTCCACTTGTAAAGCTGTTCGAGCCATCATCGTGCCCGATGCCTTCCCACCCTGCCCAGCTTGTCGATTGCACAGGCAATCATGAAAACAGAGGCAAGCGCCAGCTGTACATGCATGGTCTCAAGATGTTCAAGGTAGAGTAACGGATTCGGCGGAGAGAGAGAGAGATGGGTGGATGAGATTGCCAATGACGTCCTGCGAGGCTGCCAATAGGCTGACAGCGACGAAAGCGACGCTCATTATGATGGACTTCATCGTGGATCAAAAAAGGGGCAGGGGGAGAAATGGAGTGAGGCGGGCTTAGAGAGATAGGAGGCTACATACGTGGCTGGAGAGATGAGGGGAGCGATCAGCGACTCGAGCTCCTTCATCCATATATACCTTCACTGGTCCGCCTCAGTCCGTAAGGCCCGCTCACGTCGAGGGTGTAGAGCCTCGGGTTGCAAGCCTAAGGGCCTCGAGGATGGTCGGGCAAAATCTCGAGATCGTACTTGAACGGGAGTACTAGCGTCGATTGTCGTACGTCACCTCCATCATAGGCATCAGCGGGATGGCATGAGCCTCATCGCCGTCGACTGCACGAATAGGGGTTGGGAAGCAGCGAAAACACCGGCAACAGCGAAGGTCAGCCCAGCTACCTCAGAGCAACGCTGAAGGCTGCAGGACGTCGGTATTAGTTTGCACTTACGGATGAGGTTGTACTGGTGATTCTTTTCAGGATGCTCGGTCCGAAAGTAGGCGAGCTGCTCATAAGCCAAGTACGCGTTCACGTCCTTGCCGCCGAGAGGCACGATCGCGTAGCAGTACCCGCTTCTAACTTGCTGTTTGACGACGTAGACTCCATCATCACGTTTCAGGCGCCAAGTAGGGGTGTGACCAGGCTTGGGGCTCCCCTTTCCTTCGAAGCAGAGGAAGCCAGGCGCTGCCTCGTTCTGATGGTTGAGGAAGTCTGACTGGACGGAGAACCTTCCCACGCCCTTGATGTCATTGTAGGACCACGTCCTCCAGGTCTTTTCCACCGGCACGATCTCGCCGGACGTGTAGGTAGGAGGAGGGGTCTTCGGTACGGTCTGCTTGGCATAGACAGACGCGGCGACGAGGTGAAAAACGGCAAGAACGACTTTCATCTTGAACAGGGCTAATATGATCGTCGGTGCAAGCTGCTGAGGATGAGGTGATGTGTAGGGCTCTTTTGTCCCTGAAGGCCGTCTGTGTGTGTGTGAGAGAGGGGAGGCATGAATCGCCAGCTCAGCGTCGGCCCCCTTATACGCTCTCGAGGCTACACTGACTGTGCCAGCGCGAGCCACAAGTGGAACGGCGGGGAAAGGCGCCCACCGCCGAAGTGCGCCTCGGGGCAGGTGGGTGATACAGAGATAGGTATGAGAGACGGGTCTGGGCCTAAAGGCGCGCTGGGAATCAGCCCACCGAGGCGGGTATGCTCAGAGTATGCTCGGGAGAATCGAGCATGCTCGAGAAACGTGAGTATGCAGTCAGGCAAGGGGTGGGTGGCAGAGAGCTCGCGGGACCGAAGCTACAGCGAGACACCCCACATCGTCTGTCCAGAGTCACTGTCATGGTGGGTGTCGCCTGCATCGGTCAAGTCCAAGTCCTATCGCAGCAGGTGCCAGAGAGGACCGGGCGACCTGTTGTTCTGTAGATCTTGCTGTACACCTCGCGCCGGTCATGGTTGCAAAGCGCACCGCATGCCCTTGTACGCCCACATGCGTGTGGGGCCGTTGGGAAGAAGTGTACGTGGGTGGCTCGGTCTGGCTTGACCTGCATCTCGGCCGGCGACCCACTCTATCGGGAGCAGCAGCTTCCCAGCTCGTACGGCACTTCACGTCTCAGTCCTGTCGTGGTCTACCCTCGTCTCAGGCCCAAGACTGCATGTATCAGCTCGACGTGAGATCGACCCGGTCTTCCTGAATGGTCGGTGCGCCCAGTGTGCAGCTGTGCAAAGAGGATCTGTGCCGCTGACCGACCCCGACGCCCAGCAACCCTTGTTCGACCCACATGGTGGGCGCTTTGGCCTGCAAGCAGGTAACCCACCCGTCCCTCGGAACACCTTGATGCTCCTGGGCGGCATCATCAGCATTGCGGAGTGCAACAACCGGGCCACCCCACTCGTCGTCAAGACTACAGCCGTCCAAGCGGCGCGAGCTGTCGTCCAACCCACCTTGACATTCTCGCGGCACGACATCTGGAGACCATGCTAGGGGGAGCTATCTGAGGGCAGCGATCCGACAAGTGTATAAAACCGCGACGAAGCTCGCCTCTTTCGAACGACCAGATCCATCATCCCTTTGCCCGCCTCCAACCCCCCTCCTCCCCAGACCTCTGTGCACCACAACCCCGCTCCTGTCCAGCCCACCATGAGATCGATCTTGACCGCCTTTGCCGCTGCGGCCATGCTGCTCGTCAGCTGCCGCGCGGCGGAGGACTATGCCACCGCAGCAGCCTACGACGTCACCCAGAACGGCCGCATGATCGGTCAAGTCACGGTCATCACTGATCTCAATTCCAATCCCAAGGAGCCGGCTTACCAGTTCTGCTTCGGCGAACCGATCGCTGGCGGCAACGGTGGCCAGGGTGGACAGAAGGACCAGGGCGGCAAGCACAGCAACGGCGGCAAGCACAGCAAGCGCCAGCAGCAGCCGGCTGGACCCACGTGGTCCATTGAGCGCGTCGAAAAGGACCACAACGAGAAGGTCGTCATTGCTACTGGAGCCCCCTTCGGATACTGTTACCCGGGCAACTGGGACCCGAACCAGCCGCAGCGCCAGGCGCTCTCCGAGCTCGAGGCCAACTTCCCGCGTTTCCACTACCGCCTTATTTGTGAGTCAGTGGCCCGGAAGCTCTTTAAATATGACGGTGGCGCGTTCTGACAGAGCACCCGCCTCCTTGCTATCCGACGATCGCGTTGGCAGTCGAGGGCAAGTCGTACGTCCTTGGCAACTTCAAGTTCTACAAGTGAGACTCGTGGCGACATGGCGAAGGCGGGCCGGCCGCGCGTTCCGAGGCCACTACAGCTTCTTTGGCTTCCCGTACTCAATGTCTGCTCGCTCATCGTCTCTGTCGCTATCAGCCGTGCTCATGTTTTTAAATCGATGATTCGACTCGCCATTCAGACGGCTCAGGTTGTGTGAATCCAGTTTCGGTCAGGGCAAGGTCGTGCGACGCTGGCGCCTCAACCCATTCTGAAGTTGGCCGGGTACACCTGGGCCGGCCTCCACCACGGACAGGGGCAGGGCTCGTCCGCATCCTCGTGCAGGTGGTGTCGAGCCGACGATTCTGACGCCGCAGAGTCGCGTCGCTGGGAGCGGGTCGGTAGCGCAGAGGTGAGGACGGGGAACTGCGCCGTGCCGCGGTCCAGCAGCGCCAGCGCCTCCTGCACCGCCTCGCGCTCGACGAGGATACGGCGTCGTTTCGACTCGCGCGTCGCCATCGAGGAGTGCCCGCCTGCCGCGATGGAGTCCAGGTCCATCTCGTCATCTCGCTCCCTCTTGATCGACGCCGCCTGAGATACGCTCATGTCAGAGGTCGTATGGAGCAGCTTGGGCACTGGGCCGTCGCCGGTGGCCGTGCGTCCGTGTGTGGTCTTGGTGGCTCGATCGTGCGATTCGACATTGGCAGTCGAAGTGCGGCGGAGCGGCTCGATCTCCACGCTGGCTGCGCGCGCCGCACGCTGTGCCTCACGTTCGCCCAGCAGGGGAGAATGAATCGATCCGCTCCGCCTGGAGACCACCTCGGCGAGCAGGTCCAGACCGCCTTGCCACTGGTTGAAGCGCGGATGGGCTCGGATCTGCCTCCACGCCGATGGGATCGTCTCGGTCTGATGGCGTGGCGAGACGCCGGCGTAAGATGACGGCGTGGTGGGTGGGGCCAGGTGTCGCGGGTCGGTAGACGACGACGGCGCGAGGTGGCCCGTCGTGCTGAATCTGCCCAACGCCGGGCGCTGCAGCGCTCCGACCTTCTGCGGTGTTGTGCCACTGCCGCTCCTCGGGCGGGATGCGAGCGGTACCGCGTTGCCGGCGTCCCACGAGGTGAAGGCAGCCTGTCCACCCTGCACGCTGTTGGTCACGGCCTCGCAGAACGCTGCTAGACCCGGGTCTCCAGAGCAGGCGCCACAGGAACTCGGATCGCCGGTACAGACTGGCTCAAAGGGCTCGGACGCGGCTGTCGACAGCTGCAGGTCCGCCGGCCGATTTGACGTCGACGAGACGCCGCTGTTGAAGGACTGCTCTGCTGATGCTGGCACCGTGTACCAGAGTCGCTTTTTGGGCTGCAGCGGCTTTGCTCTTTCCGGTACGGCAGCGTTGCGAGGCGTCGAGGTCGGGCATACGGTTGGCGCCTCCTCCGAGGGTGGAATCGTGTACCAGAGGCGTTTGCGACCGAGCTGGCTACCGGAAGCGGCGGCATTGGTGAGCGCGTCGATGCGCATGTTGGGGTTCTGCTTCTCGACCGGCTCCATCGTCGCGTCCCTCGGTTGCCGTAGGGGCACGGCGTCCGAGCTCGCCGAAGTGCGACCCGTGGGCCCTTTGGCGATGTGCACCGACTTGGGGCTATCGTCCTTTTCGCTGCTGTCGAGGTTGAGGAAGTCGTCTGCACAGACGCACGGCGATGCTTCCGTGCAGAAGCCGCAGCCTCCTTCGATGTGGATCGCGTGGTCTTGACCCATCAGCGGGGGCGAAAGTGTAGCGCTTGCTCTCGAAGGAGGTTCTGCAATCATGGGCGGCTGGATGCTCCAGAGCGGAGCCGAGGGCACCGTTGAGGGAGCGATCGGTCGCTTCAGCGATATGGGCATCGCTTCCTTCTCGAGGCCATCTTGTGGGAGCGAACGTGCAGGTGCAGCTTGGGTGGTGGCCCTTGCTGGAACAACGGGAGCCGGCATCGAGGGTTGGGCCGACACCGGTGCGGATATTGGTGTCCTGGCTGCCACTTCGTCGGCGAATCGCACCCCGCCCTTGGAAGCGACAGGCGCGTTTTTGCTGCTTCCCGGCACGGTGAGGACGCCCTTGCGAGGAGCAGCCTTGGGCTTCGCTTCGTGGGCCGGAGCCTTGCAGCCCGGACCGTTCCTGGATGCTGCGAGGGGCGCTGGTAGCTTGGCGCCTGCTCGAACTGACGCGGCAAAGGTTTCAAGCTGGCGCACTTTTTCCTTGAGGCCGGCGTTCTCCCTCTTGAGGGCATCGTTCTCGTCCTTGAGTCGTTTGGCCGCCTTTTGTATTTCGACGGAGCGGTCGATTTCGGCCTTTTCGTAAGCGGCCACCTTGGCTTCCAGGTCGGCCAGGTACATCTGCTTGCGTTCGCGGAATGCCCGCTGCGATGCCCTGTTTTGCGCCTTGCGTTTCTGTTGCCGCCGGAGGTCACCGTCGGGCAGACAGCAGGTCGGATGAGGGCGTCAGCGTTGCGCAGGAAGAAGATACGAATCGTGCAGGCGCAGCTTACAGTCGGTGGCTCCGTCTCGCTCGGTTTCCTGCCCGGCTTCGCCCTGGCTGGTAGGACCCATTCCTTGCTCGGCTGTATAGACGAGCCGCCAGCGCTCTTCTTCTCGGGATTGCCATCGGCAGGGGGCGAGCTAGCATTGCTGGGGGTGGTCGGTGTTGGGATGAGTGAGCTCGGGGGCGGCCTCGTCACTGCAGGAGTGGAGCCCGTCTCGGGCGCAGGTGCGAGGGCAGGGGCGGGCTTGGACGATGCTGGGGGACGTGGAGCGAGGGCGACGCCGTTCGCTAGGCGCTTGCTTGGACCAGGTGTGGCGGCAGCAGATGTCAAAGGTTGGGGCGCAATGACGGTCTGCATGCTCGAGGATGGGACAGGTGCGATGGCGATGGGACGAGCGGCGAGTGGCTGGGGCCGGATGGCGGCAGGCGGCCGTGCGGCCAGCGGCCTAGGTGATGAGGTGGCGACCGGGGTGGCCATGCTTGCTGCGGTCGGCCGTCGGGTATACTGGGTCGCCTTGTTGGTTGTACCGAGGCAGAACGGAGGGAGTCCTCTGGTAGCGTCGACGAGCGCTGCAGTGTCGAAGGCCTGCGGGACTAGATCGTCGACGGTGTCCGTGGACGGTGGAGATGGATGCGATGGAGGTGGTGACGGTCTGACGAGGAGGAGCCAGCGGTTGGCATTTGCTGAGAGGAACGAGCAGAGCGGTGATGGCGGGACAATGACTGGGCGATCGAGGCGTTATCAGATTGCGGAGGAGATTGGCGCTGCCCCTCTGAGCAGCGAATCAGGCGTGGACAGGGTAGGTTCGAAGGTGCGAGGCGATGAGCAAGAGGAGCGAAGGAAAGGCTGCTGGCGCATGCGCGCCAAAGCCAAGCAAGGCCCCGGGGCGGGCAGGCAGAGAGGCAGGCAGGCAGGGCTGCTGGCAAGCCGAGCCAGGCCAAGCGAGGGCCCGCCCGCGTTCAATCTGATAAAAATCCCGCCATCAGATAAGCCCCGCCCGCCCGCCCGCCAACGAGTCATCGTCGGCCCTTTGGGTTCCCCTACCGCCCAACGGCCGCTCTGGCCTTAGTCTCGATCCGGATCGCCGCCTGCACACGGCCTGTAGAGCTCGGCAGCGAGACGCAAGCAAGTGAGCAATCTCTGACCCGGGCGAGTCTCCACCCACGGGCTGTGCGGGTCAGCTCGGCCAATCAAGATAGCGCTCTCGGCGCCACCTTCATCTCAGTTGGGGAGCAAGCCGATGTAGCTAGCACTCTACAACATCCTAGACGCTGCAAGCTTAGTCCTCCTTGCTAGCGACATCGTCACGTCGACGAGACAGTTATCGTATTCTCTTCGTCACGGAAGAGGGCGTTGCTTGGGATCGAGCTCGACCTACTACATCACCGGTAATGGTAGCAGGCCGTCCATAGAGAGAGGACTGCAGCGAGTGCAGGATCACCGAGCACCAGATGGGACCGGAATGGAGCATGCCTTGTTCACGACCCGTGACACCGCGCTCACTGCCGGCACCGCCCCTGATATTCGAACCCGGCCCGTCCCGCCCGAAGCATCAAACGAGGACTACGCTTGTTGCTCGCCCATCTACATACCTTGCCCGAAGCGCCATTCCGACGGCACTACATCGGCGACCTTCGTGCGTAATCGTGCGGCAGCAGCAGCGGTGGCCCGCGCCTCTCTGATCCGTGTGAAATACGGGGAAGGGTGTTGACCTACTCGCTCCAAGTCGCCTGCAACGGTGTTGCCGGCGTTGCTGCCGACAGTCGAGTCAGGCTCAGGCAGGACGCCTGGCTGAGCCCGCAGGCTGACTAGAGGGCTGGTGGCGGCATCTGTGCGAGCTGCATTTTGGTCGCCTGCGAGCAGACCACCACCTTCCGCAGTCGCACTTTGCACTCTTGCCTGTTTGCAGCGGATGGATGCTCCTCGAGAAAAGAGTCGGAGCCCGGAGAAAGGGGGGACGGGGAGTCAGGTCAGGTCGCCTTTCAGCACAAGCGAATGGATGCCTTTGGGCCACGCACGACGGGTCCGCAGCCGGGACGCGGGACGCGGCGCCGAGACGAGACGCAGCAACTCAGCGAGTCTACAAACGCCGTTCAGTCGGTCCATCGGCCGTAGGGGAAACGAGTCGAGACGCTGCTGCCCAGGCCCGAGTCGCGAGCAGAGGCACGCTGCATACCCGGGCGAGGGCCTTTCAACGCCGTCACACCATCCGGCTGGCGTGCGGCGGCTGTCGTGATGATGTGGAGCGTGGATCGGAGGTGATGTTGTCCGACCCAGCGGAGGGCGGAGGGTAGATGCCACCGGGAGCCGGTCATAGGGGCTGACCGGAGGCACGCACGGAGCTACGCTTCCCTTCGGCCCATTAAGGCCGTGCGGCCGAAATCCGCAACGCGCCCTCCACGGCGGACAGGGCGCTCGGGCCGGAGGTAAAGAGTGGCCGACGTGGCGCGCTCTGGCTCGACTGCTTGTGGGCTTGTGGCTGCTTGCCTTTTTGCCTTGGGTCCACGTTCCGATGGAATCCGCGAAAAAAATTCCTGCCCGGCCAAGGCAGGCCAGGCAGGTCCCGCCCGGAGCTAGACGAAAACGCCGGAGCGCGAGACCCTGTCAGCTGGGCTTGGCTTGGCTGAGCTTTTCGCCGTTGGCCGCTTGCCGCTTGCCCACCTCGTTGATCCCGAGTCACTTTCACCCAACACGACGACTCTGCTGTCCAGCATGACTCCCTGACCCGGGCCTCCATCATCCGTACACCATCGAACAGGTACATATACAAGCCATTCCCCCGGATCGCCGCTTCCCCGCATTCCTTGGCTTTCCCTGCAACCACCTACCGTCTACCCTCGCACAACGACGACAATCGCGCCATCAGCACACTGTACTGCTGCAGCATCTCCTACCACCGGGCACCCACGCACGCCATGCCCTACACATACCTCACCTTCAGCGACCTGTACGAAGAGGAGCAGCGCGCCTCTGCGCCCCCCTCGCCCATCTCACCAACGGCGAGCCTGCCCTCGCCCGTCTTCCTGCTACCCACCAACCCGGCGCAGTACCGGAGTCAGAGGCACCGGCACCTCGCTCCCACCCGCTCTCCGACGCAGCTCAGCGCCTCCTCGGTGGCCAGCAGCAGCAGCGCCTCGTCCGCCTCGTCCGTCTCGTCGTCGTCGACGCGCAAGCTCGCCGCGTCGCTGCGAAAGAGCCTGACGCTCGGCAGCGGTAGCGCGTGGAAGAAGCCGCCGCGCAAGTCGAGCTGGCGCACCGCCCCCTCGGCCGACTCGACGCCGTGCTCGTCGTGCAGCTCCTCGATCGACCACCGCGCCGACGCCGTCTTCCTCTCGACCCCGACGGCGTCGCCCGCGTCGAGCGCCAACACGTCGCCCAGCATCTCGCGCACCAACACCAAGATGAGCGACTACGAGGCCATGCTCGATCGCACGCGGAGGCAGGAGGCTGCCGAGGAACTGCAGAGGCAGAGGGAGATCCAGGTGAGCATTCCGCGCGCCAAACAGCAGCAGTGAGCGCGCCACAAGCGTCGCCTCGAACGATCTCGTTGCTGACCGAATGCCTCCTTGCTCTTGCCCCTCTTCTCCGCCCTCTTCCCCTTGCCACAGGCATTCTTCGCACGCGCCGACGCCGAGACGTCACTACGACGCTTCTGATCGCGCCGCTTCCATTTGCATCCCCGACCTGCTCCTCTCTGCACTCCTCGATACCCGGTGGTCCCACCGCGACACCAAACCATGCCTGGCTCTTCTGTATACCACCTGTCATCTCTCTACCACCACTTTAGTCGACCGCACCTAATCCCAAAGCAAAGCATTCGCATGCGACACTACGTCGCGCACCACTCTTCTCCCGCCACCGTCTGTCGGGGGCGTGCGCGTGGCCCGGGTGTGAAGCAAGAGCAACGCGTCCGTTGATGTCCCGCGACCCCCCAAAAGATCAGCCGGGTCGGGCCGGGTCGGGCGGAAAACGTGCAGCCGCCTGTGTGAAAAACCTCCGAGGGCCCTGCAGCAACCAAACAGCCAACGAGAGGGCGACAGGCAGGCCGGGCCACCTTGCCTGCCTGCCGGCATGTCGATCCCGCGGCCAAGCTCATCGGATCGCATGAGCCGGACTCCGTGCAGGTCCGATCGGGTCGCTCGTCGGTCATCGGGGATCCTGTATCGGGTCGTGGATCGGCCTCTGGAAAGCTCGGACAGCACAACAGACCGCTTGGTAGAGTAACTAGTGCAACCTCTCGCCGCCGCCGCCGCCGCCTCACTTCCTCTCCTGCCTAAACTCCTCCCTCCCGAGCGCGGCCGAGAGGGCCTTGAACGCGACGCCAAAGTCCTTGTCCTTGAACTCGTCGTTGGTGCCGAGCGCCTCATAGATGGACGAGGTGAGCTGGCCGAGCGGGGTGGGCACGCCCTCGAGGCTGGCGGCGCCCAGGGCGAGTTTGAGGTCCTTGGACATGAGCCTGGCTGCGAAGCCGCCCTGGTAGTCGCGGTCGGCGGGCGGAGAGTAGTTTGTCCCCTTGAGGGCGCCCGGGGCGGGGTTGTTGACCTCGCTTGCCCAGCACTTGCCCGTCGAGGTGTTGATGATGCCCGCCAGCACGTTGGCGGGCAGGCCGTGGGCGGTGCCCAGCAGCATGGCCTCGGTCACGCCGAGCATGCTGATGCCGAGGAGGAGGTTGTTGGCAATCTTGGCAATCAGGCCGTTGCCGTTCTTGCCGCAGTGGATGGCGCGCGAGCCCATCAGCGCCAGGTAGGGCTCGGCCTGCTTAAACGTCTCGACCGAGTCGGAGCCCACCATGAAGCTGAGCGTGCCCGCGGCCGCGCCCACGACTCCGCCGCTGACGGGCGCATCAATCATGTCGACATTGCCCTCCTCCTTGATCGTCGCCGCCGTCTGGACGGCGACGAGCGGGTCGAGGGTGGTGCAGTCGATGCAGAGCGTCTTGCTCGCCGCCGGGCCGCTGAGGTTCTGCAGGCCAGTGAGGATGCCGCCTTCCTCGGTGTAGACCGACTTGACCTCGGGACTCGACGGCAGCATCGTCACGATCGTCGAGGCCAGGCTCGCGACGCTGCCGGGCGGAGCGACGAGACGGAAGGGCAGGCAGGTCAGCAGGTTGTCAGGAATTCGGAGCGAAGAACGGCATCGTTGCAGCACTCACCCAGCGGGCGAGCTGGCCGTCATCAGCCTGCGGTTCGGGTGGAGCGACGAGTTGGCCGTGAGGAAGCGGGTGATGCTCTGCTCGAAGGCGTCGTGAATGACAAAGGCGACGTTGGGATCCGGGTTGGCGGCCATCGTCTTGCTGAAGAGGTTGTTGGCCATCTCCTTGCCCATGGCGCCCAGCCCGATGAAGCCGATCGTCTTGGCACGGTCATGCTGCGACGAGGCCGAGGCAGATGCAGCAGCACCGCTCGAACGGCGCAGCGTGCTCTGAAGCAATAAGCGGGTCGTTGGGAGCATCTTGGGCGAGGGTTCGTCGCGGTCGAAGTGAGACAGGAGGGAAAGATGCGAGTGAGAGAATGCAAGGTGTACGGAAGGAGGAAGCGCAGGTGGGGGATAAGGGCCAGTGCCAGGGTGCGCAGCAGGGGAGAGGATGATGGCCAAAGCGTCTGGCCGATGCGGGGCGTCGCCGTTGCGGCTGTGGGGAAGCGGAGCGGGCGAGAAGGACCAGCCGACACGCGTGCAGCTGGCGGATTTTGCGGGGCTCGCGGCTCTTCGGACCCCGGCGCGGCCAGGTTGCCGGGCGGCCATCGTCCCTTCAGCAGCGGCAGCGGCAGCAGCAGCATCAGCATCCTGCTACCCCTCCCTCTCGCCACCGTCATCGCCTTGCCATGCTGCCGCCTGCAAGCCTCAACGACGATCTCGATCCTCATACGATCCGGAAATAGCCGCACCCAGGAAAGACCACAGCGGCAGCCTGACCAGTCACAGCCTCGACGAAGAGTGCGCGTCCGCAGCTGTAACGAGGAAATCCAGAGCCCCCTTTATTGTTGGGATGTCGGAACCGCTCGTCTGACGTAGCGCGGAACTGCAGAATGAGCGATTGAGCCCCGGAAGGACGCTACAAGGGAGCTCGCGCAGCTGCAGAGACGGTTAGGGTGGTGATCGACGTCTCGCCGACGTCGCAGTGTGCAGCCTCGTGCACGGCCGTTTCACAGAGCGGGGGACGGTATGTGGGTCTGGGATGAGGTCGAGGACGAAAGTATCGTCGAAGTCGAAGTCGAATCAGCTCAGCTCAGCTCAGCTCGTGCCATGTCTGAGTCGAAGAGCAACGACTTGTCCGTACTCACTCAGACGACCGGGCCATCCTCCTCCAGCCTCGTGCGCTTGCACTGGGGGGCCTCGCCGTCGACCATGGTAGCCATCGAGGGAGTGCTTCGCTTGCTGAGCGTCTTGGCGCTGCCATCGTCGTCTCCGTCGTCGTCTCGGGTCAAGTCGATCGAGCCAACAAGCGTTCGCTCAGCATCGTCGTCGTCGTCGTCGTCGTCCTGAGTCAGGTCGATGCACTCGATGACCTTAGGGACGTCGGCCTTGAACTCCTGCTTGATGCCGTTCAGCCTGGCCTCGAGCCGCTCAATCTTCTCCTACACAGGACGCGGAGACGGCAGCGGCATGTCGCAAGCGCTTTTGCAGAGTCAGCTCGTGAGCACGAGTGATACCTCGCTCGCCGGTTCGCCACTCACCCTCAGCTCAGTGTTGGACGCTTGCAGCTGCAACGCAAAAGCGCGGAAGTTGCCCGTCGGGACCGCGGCCATGAATTGCGGCAGGATGCCACTGGCCTCGAGCACATCTCGAGAAGCGTACTTGTATTTGAAGGTGGCGATCGGGTCGTTCGTGACGTACTCGAACGAGAACTGGCAACTCGGGAGCGGTCGAATGATGCGCTGACGGTCGAAGCTGAACACAAAAAAATTGATGCAGGAAAACAGCATCAGCCTCTGCTCTGATCCACATCCCGAGTGGACAGGCTCGAACCAGGAGCGTCACCTACTCGATGCGGTGCTCGAGCGGTACCGCGGTGAACTTCTTCCTCTCCTTGAGTGCCGCTTCGTCGACCCATGCGGGCTGACGGCTCGAGCCGAACCAGGTGCGTGCGATCAGTCCGGTGACCTTGACATGGTAGACGCGCAGCTCGATGCTGCCCAGCTGTTCGGGACGATCACCGGCATCACCCTGGGCAGGCCTGGCGAGGTTGATCTTCTTGAAGCTGTCGGGCAGGGCATGCATCGAGCGGTGAGGCCTTCTGTGCGAAGCATTCAACGTGAGTCTCGCCTTTGAATCTCACATGAAGGGCGCCCGCTCCGCGTTGGTGATGGCAGTGCTCGCCATCTGGTAGCCGCCAGGGTTGAAGTTGGGGTAGCGGTAGAAGTAGTAGGGCGACAGGACCTTGCCGTCCAGGACGAGCTCGATGGCAAGGTCGGCCTCCATCGTGGGATCCCTCTCGAGGGAAAGCACCAGCCGAGCGCCGTCCGTGGAGCAGACGTATGCCGAGCACTCCCGCTCGCTGGCCTCGACCTTGGACTCCTTCAGCTGCCGGTCGGGCTCGTCGTCGTGCCTGATGGCGATCTTGGCCTCGAGTCCGTGCAAGAACATGGCGGGCTGACCAGGGGGGTGTGGCGGTCGAGAGGTTGGCTGAAGCGTTGGCGAGGGTTAGCAGTCGAGGGAAGGCCAAAAGTCGACGTTAGGACGGAAGGGCTGTCGAAGGGAGGGATGACGAAGGTGGAGGAGGGAACGAAGGGCGAGCGGACTGGTACAGATGGGCTGGGGTCAGAGCGTGCGCATCAGCACAGGCTCGAGCGGAGAGTGCTGGTGGCCGTGCGTGTGTGTCTGTCTGATCAGGCCTGACCAGGGAGGGGTGTATGCCCCCGGGGCGCGTGCACGCCTGCAGGGAAGCGAGTGGGCGCCAAGTGGTCGAGTGGCGCCCAGTCAGCTTCGAGTCCCGCGCACTACTTTGGCATCAACGCAGGTTCGACGCCGTTGTGCTCTACTCTGCCGTAGACGCCCGTCCTGGCTTTTGTCGCCGTCTGGCAGCCGTGGTGGGCCTCGATGAGAGTCGCCATGGTGACGGCCCGAGTCGTTCGGCACCGAAGTTGGCCCTTGCGGCAGTTGACGGGTGAGGCCATTGTGGCTAGGGTTGTCTTTGCATGGCCCGCTCAGGAGGGCGATGCGGCCAGAGTAGCATGCTCAGAGCAGGTTGTGCGGGTAGGCATGCCTCGAGGGTGGTGTTGTTGGCGCGGTGGAAAGCCTGGCCTTGCAAGCCTGCCTTGTGCGTGGCTGGCCGACCCTCGAGGGGCAAAGGTCCCTGCCGTGGCACAGCTAGCGCGCCCCTTGGCCCACAGGGTCCACACGCCGTTGCGGGGCCGGGCCGAGCCAGGCCAGGCAGAGCACGGACCAGCTGGCACAAGAAAGAAAAAGTTGGCGGCCTCACCGACGTCGGCGTCTGCGCCCGTACGTGGAAGGAAGGATTCAAGATTGCCGGTGCGGCGGGGAAGCTAAGCGGGCGGGCGGTACTCTGGCTGTACGCCGTTCGGGAATTTTACCGCGGTGACCTCACGCCGCCTCGTCTGCCCCCAACCAACAGCTAGCGGCGCTGGCGCTGGCTGCGTGGCGGCCCCTTTGAGCCACCCACACGAGCAGCGTCGCGCACGCCGAGAAGATCTCAACCAGCAAGAAAGAACAAGAAAAGAAACGCCCACCCCCTCCTCTCGCCTGCTTTTCTCTCTCCTACCCCCACCACCCTCACCACCACCACCCGACACCCGCCTCAACCGCATCACTCGATAAGCCGCCCGCCGCCATGACCGTCAGCGACCCCGTCCCGCTCGTCTCGGCCCTCGACGCCATCTACTCGCCCGCGGGTGTGCTCAAGAACGGCAAGCGGTGGGACGACCTCGCATCCCAGTTCAAGGCCCTCTTTGGCGGCGCCACGCCCGATTTCATCGCACGCGCACCCGGCCGCGTCAACCTCATTGGCGAGCACATCGACTACGTCGGCTTCAGCGTGTTCCCCGCCGCCATCGAAAAGGACATCCTCATGGCCACCAAGGTCACCTACGCCGCCAGCGCCGGTGCCCAGGCCGACGGGGTCGAGGTCGTCCTCAAGAACACCACCCCGCGCTTCAAGGAGACCCGCTTCACCTCGAGGTACCAGGACACCAACAGCGTCGCGCTGCTCAACGAGGGAGACGAGCGGTGGGCAAACTACTTCAAGGTCGCCTTCAAGGGCCTCCACCCGCACCTGCCCTCCCACATCCTCGCCGACACCAACGACCGGCGGCCCAGCAGGATCGAGGTGCTCGTCGACGGCACCATCCCCCCAGAGAGCAGCCTCAGCTCCAGCGCAGCGATGACGACCTGCAGCAGCATCGTCGTCCTCGAGGCGTTTGGCGCCAGGCAGCTCATCGACCGCAAGGAGATGGCCGAGGTGGCCATCGAGAGCGAGCGCCTCGTCGGCGTAAACTCGGGTGGCATGGACCAGTCGGCCTCGATCTTCTCCATCCCCAATCACGCCCTCTTCATCTCCTTCTACCCGACCCTCGCCGTCCAGCCCATCCAGCTCCCGCCCTCGGAGCCCGACCACGTCTTTGTCATCGCAAACACCCTCGTCGTGTCGGACAAGAAGGTCACGGGCCCCGTCAACTACAACCTCCGCGTCGTCGAGACGCGAATGGCGGCGCGCGCGCTCGCAAAGTACCTCGGCCTCTCCGAAGCCAAGGCCGACGGCTGCAAGACGCTGCGCGGCGTCCAGGAGGCCTACTTTGCCCACGCCGATATCCAGACCGAGGCGGCCAACAGCGCCGAGGTGGCCGAGACGCTCGAGAGGTACGGCGCCGAGGCCGCCAGGCTCAAGATCATGGAGCTCAAGGTCGAGGCCGCGTTTGCGTCCAAGAGGGAGGGCCTGACGAGGCAGGAGGTCGAGGCGGCCACCGGATACGCCGGGCCCGAGTTTGAGCAGGAGTTCCTCAGCAGCTTCCCGAGTGAGTGTCTGGCTGACTGCAATAGCTGCTCGTCTGAGCGCCGCCCACATGCGACTGACCACGTACCTGACCCGCCCCTGCCTCCTGCGCCGCAGTCCGAGCCGACACGTTTGCGCTCTACGCCCGCTCCAAGCACGTCTTCACCGAGGCGCTGCGGGTGCTCGTCTTCCAGTCGCTGTGCAGCTCGACGTCGTCGCTCTCGGCGGACAAGGGCGCCTCGGTCTACACGTCGCTCGGTTCGCTCATGGACGGCTCGCAGGCCTCGCTGCGCGACCTGTACAACTGCAGCTGCCCCGAACTCGACGAGGTCATCTCGATCGCCAAGGCCAACGGCGCCCTCGGTTCGCGGCTGACGGGCGCCGGCTGGGGCGGCTGCACGGTCCACCTGGTCCCCAAGCCCAAGGTGCAGAGCTTTATCCAGGCCATCCGGACGGGCTACTACGCCAAGAAGTTCCCCGACCTCACCGAGGAACAGCTCCAGGACGCCTGCTTCGACACCCAGCCCGCCGGCGGCGCCTGCGTCTACAAGGTCTGAGCGGCACGGCAGACCGCGGTGGCCGCGCGTGTCGGTGCACGCTTGCTTGCAATCAGCCAACTCATGACATTCATCGACCTGAGGTGGACCTCCTCGACCAGACTGGCATCGAGCGTGAGCGGCGGTCCTTACCGCGACGACGAGTGCAGCCGATTCATTGTGGGCCTCTCGAGGCTGAAGAAGAGCAGTCGGACGATACCGTTACAGAGAGAGGTGGGTAAAGGCACAGAGTGAACTCAAAGGGAGAGGGAAAAGGGGAACGGCGCGGGAAAGACAGCTCCGTCGCCGGCGGCCTACTCGAGGTTGGCGGCGACGTTTTCGGTGGCCCGCTTGTTGCCAAAGATCCACTCCCACAGGCCGCCCTTGGGCTGCGGGTTCATCTCCTTGCCCTCGAGGCTGAGCTTGGCGTTGTGCAGCCTCCGCTTGGCCTCCTGGGCGTCGGCGCTGGCCTCCTCCTTGAGGTTCTCCCAGCCGCTGTCGGCCTTCTGGCGCAGGGTGTTGTAGCCCTCGGCGGCGTTCTGGCGGGCGTGGTCGTACTGCCTCTCGGCCTCGTAGCGCGCGTTCGAGGCGGCGTCGCGCGCGCCCTCGAGGCTGCTGCGCGCACCCTGGCGGGCATCGTCGAGCTTGTCCTTTGCGCCATCGCGCAGGCTGGCCAGGCGGTACTCTGCGTCCTGCTCGGCGTTGGACAGCTTGCGCTGGCCCGTGGCCGCCGTATCCTCGGCGCTCTTCTTCCAGCCAAACCACGACGACTCGGCGCTCTGCTTGGCCTTGTCCGCCTCGTACCTCGCCGAGTCGAGGCTGTCCCTCGAACCGCGTCGCGCGTCGTCGAGCTTGGCGCTGGCACTGTCGCGGAGGCTGGCAAACTTGGACTCAGCCTCCTGCTCGGCGTTGGAGAGCTTGTGCTGACCGGCAGCCGCGGTATCCTCGGCGCTCTTCTTGAGTCCGAACCACGACGACTTGGCGCCTTCCTTTGCGCGCTCGGCCTCGTAACTGGCCGAGTCGACGCTGCTGCGGGCACTGGCGCGCGCACCGTCGAGGCGCTCCCTGGCGCCGTCGCGGAGGTTAGCGAGCTTGGCCTCAGCCTCCTGCTCGGCATTAGAGAGCTTCTGCTGTCCAGCGGCAGCCGTGTCCTCGGCGCTCTTCTTGAGTCCAAACCAAGACGACTTGGCACCCTCCTTGGCGCTTTCGGCCTCGTGCCGGGCCGAGTCGACGCTGCTGCGGGCGCTGGCGCGGGCGTCATCGAGGCGCTCCTTGGCGCCATCGCGGAGGTTGGCGAGCTTGGCCTCGGCCTCCTGCTCGGCGTTGTAGAGCTTCTGCTGACCGGCGGCGGCCGTGTCTTCTGCGCTCTTCTTGAAGCCGAACCAAGACGACTTGGCGCCCTCCTTTGCGCGTTCCGCCTCGTTTGCGGCGCGGTTGTAGGCGTCGTCGGCCGACTGCTTGGCGCCCTCGTACGACTGGCGGGTCTGGTCGCGGACGTGGTCGACGGTCTCCTCTGCGCGGTGCTTTGCGTAACCGACCTTGTCCTCTGCGCGCTCCTTGACATGCTCGAGGCGCGCCTCTGCGTCGCGCTTGAGCTGGCCGGCCTTGTCCTCTGCGGCGTGGACCTTGTTGGCGATGCCGGACTTGATGTTTTCCAGGTCCTGGGATACGGTGCCGTAGGGCGTGGCGCCGGGGATGGGTGCGCCGCGCTCGGCCGACTTGAGGTCGGTGCCGCCGCGCGAAATGATGCCGCCGGGCCCGCTGATGCCGCGAGCCGGGGCCGAGCCGAGCGGGGGACGGTCGTGGAGCGTGTGCGGGTGTCGCTCCTCGAGGCTGGCGCCGTTGGGGACGGCGATGGGGTGGGCGCCGTCCTTGAGGTTGGGCAGAGGCGCGCCGCCGGGCGGGGGCGGCTGGAAGGTGCCGTGGGTGTCCTCCTTGTACTGGCGGAGGAGCGGGTCAAAGACCCAGTAGCCGATTCCCACACCGGCGGCGGCCGTGGCCAGGAGTGGGACGACGCGAGAGCGAGCGGCCATATTTTCGTCTGACGAGGTCGGAGAGGGGGGAGAGCAGAGGTGAAGCCGTGAGAAGTAGGGTTCTTGGGCGGCGGTGGCGGCGGTGGCGGTGGCGGCGGTGACGGAACAGCTAGCTCGGCGGGCGAGCTGGGTAGGTGGATGGATGGAAGCTGTAGGGGGAATAGGGTGGGAGGACGAAGCAAAGGCGGCCGACGGCGGAAGAGAGGGCGTTTATATGGAAGCCTGCTAGGCCGTCCGAGACGGGCAGGCACGCAAGCTTGGCTCGAGATGCGATCTGACGGTGACCGAGAGAGGAATGGAGCACAGCCGTCATAGCCAGGGCCGGGCCCTGGGGTCCTCAGTCATGGTTGCTGCTGTTTCTGTCGCTGCCCGAGGCCCTCGCTGGCCCTGGCCCTCTTTCTGTTTCCGGGGCGCGGCGACGGTGAGCGCGCGGCCGCACCGGCTGGCGGCTGGCAGAAGGATTCCTCCGCAAAAGGCCAAGAAGCGGAGAGAGAGAGAGAGAAACGCAAGGTGCGGCAAAGGATGACGTCGCCTTGCCTGCGGTCCTCGCCTCTTCTTGCTGTCTCTCGAATATAATAATTTCCGGGGCGCAAAGGCACGACACGTGCGAAAGGAGCCTCGAGCAAAGCAGCGGCAATACGACAAACGGAAAAAGGGAAGGAACAGGCAGGCAGGCAGTCGGCGCGCCGTCCACAAGCCTAAGGCCGAGCAAGCTAGCGAGGTCAGGGTCCAACTCGAACGGCCGCCTTCGCACGTACGCCAACCTCGGCGTCGCTCGCCCACCCGACTTGGCCTCATCCTCGCCACCGCCGTCGCTACCTTCAATCTCGCCACCATCGTCCGGCCGGCCGCCCCTCGCTGCAACCATGCGCATCAACCGCGAGACCGTCCTCGTCGGTCGCACCGTCGTGTTGGTGCCATACAGGTCAGTCTGCGCGACGTCGGGCTGACCTTATCCTGCCGTGCCAATACCAGCCCCCGTCGTCTCACCGCTCCACGTCTGTGCCTGTGCAAATCGTGCCTTGCTCAACCCTACAGAAAGCAGCATGTGAGTCCTTGCTTCTCGCGCATCGGTCTGACCCTGCTACCGGTACGAGCGCATGATCGGCTTACGCCTTCCTGCCTCCCCTTGCGCCTCCTGTCGACAGGTACCGACGTACCACGAGTGGATGAAGGACCCACAGATCCAGCAGCAGACGGCCTCGGAACCTCTGTCCCTCGACCAGGAGTACGAGATGCAGAGGACCTGGGCCATCGACGAGGACAGTGAGCGTCCAAAATCCCTTCTCCGCCTTGTCCTGGGCTCGGGCCTCCTTCCTCGCCGCACACTTGCTCATCTCGTCCCTCCCTGCGCCCCCTCCCGCCCTGACTGGCAGAGCTGACTTTCATCGTCCTCGCACGGCCCGAAGGCCAGCAAGACGCGACCGACTCGCTCCCGGTCAACGAGCTGATCGCACGATGCCCCATGGTCGGGGACGTCAACATCTTCTTCAACGAGGCGCACGACGACGAGCCCGCTGGAAATGGCTCCGACGATGGCGACGAAGAAGACGACGCGGTGGCCGACTCGCGGCCGACATCGCCGCTGCCTGCGGGCACGCGGAAGGGCGACAAGACGTACGACGCCGAGTGCGAGATCATGATCGCAGGTGAGTCGCAGCCCACGACGTACCGCCCGTCGTCCTTCGTCTCGTCCCTCGACCGCACTTCTCACCTCTCGTGCCCACCCTGCCCCGGCCCGACAGAGCGAGACTACCGCCGCAAGGGCCTGGCCAAGGAAGCTCTGCAGCTCCTCTTTCACTACGCGACGACGAAGAACACGCCAAGACCGTCGCCACGCCACGCCGGTGAGGCAGACGTGCTCCCCATCCCTCCGAATTGGCTCACGTGCAAGATCTCGCTCGACAACCACGCGTCCATCGCGCTGTTTGAGCGGCTCGGATTCGTCAAGGTCAAGACGAGCGAGGTGTGGAACGAAGTCGAGATGCGCCTCCACGTCCACCCCTGCGACAAGGAGGCTACCATTGGTGTTAGGCCGCAACGTGTCGAGAGATGGCCACTCGAGGAGGAGGAGAAGTAGGAGGGGAGACAAGGATGAGGTCGGCACGACGACGGCAGGGCGCTTTTCTCGCTCCGTCACATACCCCCTTGTCACTCGATGAACGCCGCATCGCAACGCAACTTATTCAACGTGTCCCTCACCTCATACCCCGCTCTCGCCTTCGACCTGGCATCTGCGGCCACAGGACCTCGAAAATACCGCATCCCGTCCGATCTGCCACGGTCAAGTGGGGTGCCGCCTAGCCAGTACCGCGGTGGGGGACCACGCGGGAATCCTAGGTGCTGCAGTTGTTCTTTTTGCGGGCCCCCGGCTGTGCGTCCAAGGCTGCGTGCGCGTGGCGCGAGGCTTCTGCGTTGTGCGACTCGGATCGAGCGGCTGATATATCGATTGGTGCTGCTGCAAGGTTCGACTGGCTGCGGTTACTCGTACAATACACGCTGCGTGGCGTTTTGTGTTTTATCTTCTCTTCCAAGTCTCCCTTTCTCCCTTCCCCTTGGAGGAGAGGAGAGGCAAAGGGCCGACCAGGCGGGCCTACTGCCAGACCTTTGCCGTCTTCTTCCTCTCTCCGAGGTTCCACTTGTCGGCGTGGTCGACGTCGATGAGGACGGCGACCTTGCCCTCGTTGTCGCCGGTAAAGAGGCGGAGGAAGGCGTCCTCGGCGCCGAGGACGCCAAAGGTGACGTCCTCCTTGACCTTGATCTTGCCGTCGGCGATCATCTGGGGGATCTCTGCGAGGAAGCTGGCGAGGTGCTTCTGGATAAAGCTGCTGACGATGAAGCCGCGGTAGGTGAGCTCGCGGGTGACGACCTTGAAGAGGTTCTTGGGGTAGACGATGTCCTCGGGCTTGTCGGCGTTGTAGCCGGAAATGTAGCCGCAGGCGACAATGATGCCGTACTTTGCCGAGTGCTCAATGTAGGCCTCGAGCTGGGTGCCTCCGACGTTGTCAAAGTAGAAGTCGATGCCGCGCTCGCCGCCAAACTTCTTGAGCTCCTCAAAGGGGTCGGCCGTCTTGTAGTTGAAGACGGCCTCACAGCCCAGCTCCTCCCGGAGGAAGCGGCACTTGTCATCGGAGCCGGCCGAGGCGATGACCTTGACGCCGGCCTGGCGGGCAATCTGGACGACGAGCTGTCCGACGGCGCCGGCGGCGCCCGTGACAAACATGGTGGTGCCCGGCTGGAGGCGGTCGCCGATGATTTCCTTGATCGACATGTAGGCCGTCATGCCGGCCATTCCGGCGGCGCCGAGGTAGGTCGTGATGCTGAGGCCGTTGGTGGGCACGTCCATCTTGCGTCCGGCCTGCTCGACGAGCTGGCGCGGCAGCACGCTGTACTCTTCCAGCGGCTGGCTCCAGATAAAGATGAGGTCGCCCGGCTTGTAGGCGTCGAGCTCGGAGCGGAGCACCTCGCTGATGCCGATGCAGAGGATCGGCTCGTCCTTGACGTAGTTGGGCGTAAAGTAGACGCCGCCCTTCATGCGGTTGCGCATCGTCGGGTCGAGCGAGGCGGCCACGTTGCGCACCAGCACGCCGCCGTTGAGCGCGACATTGTCGAGGTCAATCTCGGTCTGCTCCGGCCGCGTCGTGACGCCCGGCTCGGGCAGGCCGGTGGCCTTGACCTGGTTGAAGACGATGCGGCGGTTGACGACCATGTTGGAGGGTAGTGGACAGAGAAGGAAGGTGCGAGAGAGGGAGTGCGGACAGGGCGTGAGGATGGATTGTGGACGTTGGTCAGGGAGAGCGACGATGAAGACACCCTGGTACTTATACCAGCGGCGTCCTGAACCGCATCGCCACGCCAGCTCTCCGTGTCGTCGGCAGTGATGCCAGCCGGTGCCGGCAGAGAATGAGGTGTGTCACGCCGCCGACGAGCCGTCAACTTGCCTGGCCTGGGCCTTTGCTTCTCAGGACTGGCGTTGCCAGGCCAGGTCAGCTGGCAGCTGCCCTTGTTGGGCTTGGCCAAAGCAGGTGTTTATCTCCGTGCGGTTGGCATTGCTCGACAGGGCAGGCCAGGCCACGAGGGGCCGAGGGAACGGGCCCACTGCGACAAGACGGTCGGTACTTCTCGCTGCGCCCTCCACTTTGCACGGGAAGGACTTGCCTGTGCCTCGGGCGCGGGTGCTGTGCAGTCAGGCCAGATGGCCAGCGGACAAAGGACCAGGCACGGCAGCAAGCCAGGCGGTCAAGTCACGTCGTAGAGCCCCAAGTGCGTGAAGGTTGGCTTCGCTCGCCTTCTCTCGCGCTCTCGGCAGTACGTCGAAGTGCAAGAAGCAAGCTAAGTTTGGGCAACCGGTCAACGGCACGCCAATTTAGCCGGTCGACGTTGGCCCGAGGCCCGAGCTCAAACCTCCGGCCTCTCTCGACACCTCCTCCTCCTCACGCTGCCCGCCGTCGATCCGCGGGAGTCGGGTTGCGCAAGCGTACGTCGGAGCTAAGCATGCTGCCGCCCCGGCCATGTGGCCAGACAGGTTGGCACCCTGGGCAGGCGGGGCAGGCTTCCAGACTGTCGGACCGGCCTGGCATCGGCCTCAACGACGGCGGCGGAGAGGCAGCAGCGGCGCCGGATAGGTGGATCAGATGACGACGTTTGCGAATGCAGTGCAGTGCAGAAGAAATTGTCCAAACGGTACCACGACGACGATAGCGGTGCTGACGGTGCTGGGAGGAGAAGTTGTGCCCTCGACGGCATGCCGGCACCACCACCATCTTTGCCACACGGCAAAGGCGACCGGGCGCGATTCGGACCGGCCCCGCCCTAGTGACCGCCATTCGACCCTAGACCCAACTTGCTCAGCAGCGCCTTGCCACGTCCGGGCGCCTCGCCGCGCGGATCCGCCGAGCTGCTACCCGGGCGACTGCCACCTCCGCCGCCACCGCTACTGCTGCTAGATGGCGTCCTGCCATAGTCGGTGGGTCTCGACGCTTGCGCCGCCGACGGCCGTAGCCCGCCTCCCCCGGCACCCGGGTTCGGACTGGTCGAACGCGGCCGCGCGGGCACAACGGGCGCGGCCAACGAAGAACGCGGCTCGTCCTGCAGCGCCGTTAGCGAAGGGTCCCAGGGCTCCGGCTTCTTGGGCGGCTCCAATTCACCGATCCGCTCCTTGGACAGGAACACCTTGAGCTTCGACGGTGGAGATCGCAGGTAGCCTGCTCTGTTGCCCGTCCCAGCCGTCGGGCCCGATCCGCTGCTTCCGTTCACTGCCATCGATGCTGGGCCGGCCGACGGGGCGGCGGACGCTGGCCGTTGAGACGGCGATCCCGGCGGGTTGAGATTGATGACGCGTCGCTTGGGTGCTGCTGCTGCTGGCGCCGGCGTCGAGGTTGGGGACGAGGACAAGCCACCTCCCGCGTTGCCGTTCGCGCCAGCAGACAAGTCCGAGTCGTCCTCGGTCCGAACGTATTGGTACAGCTCGTCTTCGATCTGGTGCTGGGCGCTGCTGTTGCCGAACACGGTCCCCTTGGCCTCGTCCGGGAGGCGGTAGTAGGCCGCCTTGACCGCCGCCGCCACCTGAACCGCCTTTGGTGTCGTCTCAGCGCTGTCGGAGCGAAGGACGATGAGGTGCATCCCTCGGCCCTTGCCCTTGCCGCGCACCTCGTCGGTGCGTAGCAGAGTGAGGCAGTGGTCGACATAGTCCTCGACCGTTCCCCAGTGTGTGATTAGCACCTCGTTGGGCTCGAGCTCGGCCGTCCCCGCACCTGACTCGCCGGGTCCGCCGATGGCAGCAGCGGGGCCATGAGGATGGAGCCGGGAGCTGGAACCGGGCATGGGGCCGAGGTTGGCCGCATCCTCGGTGGCGGGCGGTGCGTCGCGCGAGATGTACATGTTGGGCTCGCCCCGCGAAGCGAGCTTCTCGTCGTATTCCTGGTCGAGGAGGCATGAGAGTGTCATGATGAGGAGCACCTCGAGGCCCCGCTTGTCCTTGAGCTCTAGGCGGTCGAGGTTGTAGTCCATAAACTGGAGCACGCCTGGCTTGGTTTTGGTGGCAGGGCGGTACTGTGCTGCCAGCACCTTTGGATCCGGCTTGCGGATGACTTCGCAGGTGTAGGAGGAGCCGCCGCGGGCGGACGACTCGCGCCTCCATTGGAAGAGGTGGTCCTCGACGGTGAAGCGCCAGTCCTGGTGGAAGGTCTTGTTGCGCTTCTCGATGGTCACGGTGGAATCGGGGCTGTGCAGCTGGACCGCCTTTGACCTTGCGGTGGTCGAGGGCGCGGCGACGCTAGCCAGGAGGCAGTCTGTGAGTACGCCGTCGAGGAGGATGGACGAGTAGCGTGCCGAGTTGGTGGCGCGGTGGCGGGTGTAGAGCGGGGTGTGTTTCGAGTAGTCGATGGCGTCCGACGAGTTGGAGCGGGTGGGACGGTCCGGAATGGTGCCGCTGAAGGCCTTTGGTCTGCGGTCGTCGCTGTCGTTGTCGCAGCCAGTGTGATTGTCCTTGCTGGGCACCGGAGGCGGGGGCGGCGCGGGTGGGGGCAGGTTGGCCTGGTAGAGGTCGACGATCCAGGGATGCTGCTCGCGCCGCACCAGATGGAGCGTGAAGAGGGCCGAGTCGAGCGCCATGGCTGGACCGGCTGTCGCGTTGTTTCTGCTGGTGGTAGTGGGGGGTGGTGGTGGTGGTGGTGGTGGTGGTGGTGGTGGTGGTGGTGGTGGTGGTGGTGGTGCAGAGGGACGGAGCAGTCTGCGCCCGCACCTTGGTGGGTGCCAAGCAAGGCCTTGGGGGCCATGGGGGACATGGGCCACCCTATGCAGCATCTGGCTGCGGGGCACGCGGGCTGCGCACAGCCTCAGCCTCAGCCTCAGCCTCAGTCTGGAAGCCTGGCCTGAGGCTCAAGAGCTGCTCTTCTCCCCAGGACCTGCACCCCGCTGGCCCGCTCCACATGGCCGTATCCCGAAGGAGCTCAGACCAACGCAGCTTCTCCGCCGGCCATCTTCATTCTCACCCACCATCACCGCCCACCATCACCACCCACCCTCATTGCTTTTCTGATAGAAGGACAACGCAACGCAGACCATGTCAGACCACGCATCAACATCATCAAGGCCGCCACCCAAGAGGCCCGCGCCGGCACCCTCTCCCTCTCCCTCTCCCTCTGCCACGGGCGCAGCAGCAGGGCGGAGACCAATCAACTTCAACAGCCCCAAGGCCATCTTCCTCACGTACGCATCTCACACCGTCTCTCTGCCCATCCTCTTGCTCGCACACTCACTCACTCACTCATTCGCATCTGCTCGCTTCCCTCCTTCTCCTCCTCCTGCAGCTGGACGGGCCTCGTCTTCGTCGCCGGCTTCGGCTACTTTACCGTCAAGTCGAACAACACGCAAAAGAAGAGGGAGTTCATGCTTCGCCGCGGCCAGTCGCCCGCCGACGCCGAGTCGTCGGCAGAGGTCGGCAATGGCGTACAGCCCGGTGAGTCGCCTCGATCCTTCTCCCATCGCCGTGACACTCTTACTGACACACGACAAGGTGGATCGCCTTGCCACGCCTCCAGGGTACACGCCGGGCAACAACGAGAGGTTCTCCCAGTCGCCTCTTCAGTCCCTCACCTCGGCCTTTACCCGACAGACGGACCAGAGATCGCGCACCAGGGAACCCCAGCAGCAGCCACAGCAGTCGTAGATGGCGCTGCATCGACCATGCCGTGTACTTTTAGCCTTGCAAATGCCTCTCTCCCCGCACGCTCCGACACCACATCACAGAAACAGAGAGACTCTCGCCGAGCCACGGAGCTGGGGGCCAGGGGAATAGGTTATGCATGTTGCGGGAATCGTATCGCTGGTGACGCAGGTAGAGACACTCGAGGGGCATCCGAGCCAAGGGTACGGCGGTAGGAGGAAAGATCAACAGACGGAAGCTCTAGCGAATAACTAAGGGGGGCAAAGGACAGAGAGTCGGGTCGACCACGCAACTTCTAGTGCGCCGAGGGAGGGTCGGTTCTGGCGACGCCTTCCTTCCAGTAGGAGCCCGACGGGAAGCTGCAGGTCAAGTTCAAGGGAGGGATTACATCGGGTCGGGTCAGCACGGCTGGCACACAAGCAAGGTCAAGGCCAGGCGGGCAGACTCACGAGTAGTCCTCGATGGAGCTCTTGAGCATCTCGATGCTGTAGCCGCCCTGCGGGTCAGTGGGCGTGTTGTAGTTGCCCGACGGGTTGATGCTGACGGGGTAGATGAAGTGCTCGTGGAGGTGGTCTGGGGGCAGGCGGGGGGCGACGCGCGGACGAGGGCGAGGACGGCAAGAGGTCAGCCAACCGGCGTGGACACTCGCCCAGGGCGGCGGGGCGCAGGACTCCAGAGGCTGCTACTCACCGACCCACTCGAGCACGTTGCGCTCGTGGCTGCCGCTGACGCAGATGTAGTCGATCAAGCTCAGGTGGACTGCGGTGGTGGACGCGGAAAAGGACGGTGGCAGGCACACGGTCAGTGAGGGACAAAGCATGGGCGGACGACGACAACCGGCGGCAAACGGCGGCGATACTCACCGACATACTCGCACAGGCCGACACCACCGGCGTGCGGGCAGACAATCTTGCCAAACTTCTTGGCCATGAGGAGGACGGCGAGGACCTCGTTGACGCCGCCGAGGCGGCAGCTGTCGATCTGGACGACGTCGATGGCGTCGGCCTGGAGGAGCTGCTTGAAGACCATGCGGTTGTGGGCGTGCTCGCCCGTGGCGACGCCGACGCCCGAGTCCTTGAGGCCGCGGCGGATGGCGGCGTGGCCGAGGACGTCGTCGGGCGCCGTGGGCTCCTCGATGAACCACGGCTTGAGGTGGGCGAGCTTCTTCATGTACTCGATGGCCTGCGAAACGTCCCAGACCTGGTTGGCGTCGACCATGACGACGCAGCCCGTCGGGCCGGCATTCTTGCCCGCGATGCTCGCCTCGGACGGCTGCTTGCGCCCCTCGGGCATCTCCTTGGGGTCGTCGACAATCGAGCGAAGCAGCGACAGGCGGCGGATGTCGTCGTCGACGTTGGCGCCCACCTTGAGCTTGAAGTGGTTGAAGCCCTGGGCCAGGGCGGAGCGCGTGAGGCGCGCCACCTTGGCGTCGTCGTAGCCGCTCCAGCCAGCGCTGGTCGTGTAGGCCGGGTAGCCGTCGCGCACCATCTCGTCGATGCGCTCCTGCTTGCCCTTCTGCGCCGCCTGGAGGATCTCGAGGGCCTCGGCGGGCGTAATGGCATCGGTGATGTACTTGAATGGGATGCACTTGACCAGCTCCTCGGGCGACATGTCGGCAATGAGCTTCCAGAGCGGCTTGGACTGAGAGCGCGCAAAGAGGTCCCAGATGGCGTTGATGACGGCGGCGGCTGTCGGACGAAGAGGGAAATGGCGGCGGGAGGAACACGCCGATCAGCCTCTGTTCGGCGTGCAGAGAGGCTATCGTTGGCCATCCGTCCCTCGGCGCGATACTCACTGGCAAGGTGGATGACGCCCTTCTCGGGGCCGATCCATCGAAGCTGGCAGTCGGAGACCATGAGCTGCCAGGTGGCGCCCATGTCGGCAAAGAGGGGCTCGATTTCACGCCCGAGAAGGAGGTCCTCGACGATGGAAGCGATGGCCTGACAGCAGATCTAGAGAAGGGGAAGCCGGAAGCACAACACGGCGAGGGGAGACGATGGCGGCGGCGGGAGAGACAGAGTGTGCTCGAGGTATCAGTACCTGTGCGGCTGTACACGAGCCTGTCGGAGAGGGGCGGCTCACCTCATTTCCGCGGCCAATGGTAAAGGTCATGCCGAAGCCGCGGAGGCCGCCCTCCTTTACGTCTGCATTGATGGCCTCTGCCTCGCGGCCGCGGTAGCTGACGATCTGTGCCGTGTCCTTGGGCGAGGTGTAGAGGATGAGGTAGGCGGCCGAGTAGTCGCAGGTGGTGTTCTGGGCGTCGGTGCCGTCTCCGGTGAGCGACGTGGGGAAGCGGACGTCGTGGATCGAGTAGGACGAGACGATGAGGGGCGAAGACTGCGTCATGACGGGGTCGAGCGTGAGCTGGTTGATTCCGGAGGGGATGGGAAGAGAGAGAAGAGACGGATGAGAGAGGGAAAGGGAGGCAATAGGAAGCAGAGCTGGAAGCTAGGACGGGGAGGGCGAGGCGGAAGCTATATAGCGATGGAGGGCAAGAAAGAGGAGGAGGAGGAAGGCTGGGTCGGTTGGTCGGTCACCGCGTAGGCGGTAGGTCGAGGCGCTAAAGGTGGGGGGAAGGGAAGGGGTTCAAGCGGGCATGGTGCGCTCGCGATGGGAGCAGGTCGGTCGGCAGGCCGGTCGGCACAGCTGGGAAGGGGGCAACGTGGGGGAGAGAGGCCGAGCGAGGCGGGGTCAAGCAAGCAAGCGTCTGTCTGTCTGTGTCTTTGCTGGCTCGCTCGTGTCGGAAGGGGGAGGGTCATCCAGGGACAACGCCGGGCGTCGAGGTGGACGCCGAGCAGAGAGAGGCAGGCAGGCCGGTCTGCCGAACACAGGCGGCAACGAGCGACGCCAACAATGGCAGCACCTAGAGTTGTGGAGGAGCAGCTGCCATCCCCCCGCCACAAAGATTGCCGGTCAAGGTGCTGTGCTGCTGTAGTTATCCCAGGCTAGCGGGGCCGACGACTTGGACGTAGGAGGCCGCTCTAGACAAAACAGGCCGGCGGGCGACAGGGCGTTTGCACGAAGTGACTGTGTGTGCGAGACGGTCGAGGCCAGCGCGCAGAGCAACACCACAGAGCGGCGGATGGCATCGACAGGCAAACAGACAAGCCCGGCGAAATGGTCGGCCGTTTGGCGTTGAATCGACGCGGGGGAGAAATGGGGGGATGGCGAGAGAAGAAGCACAAGCAGCAGGTTAGGCTAGGGCGGGCGAGGAAGGGCCATCGACGTGGGCAAAGTCCAGACGCCGGTAGAGCTTCTTGCCGCCCCTCAGCCCACCCCTTCCCCGCCATTTACCTCGGCACCGAGCGCCCCGGCCGCCTTCTACTCACTGCTGGACGCCCCGCCGCCGAGGCAGGATGATAAACGGCCACAAGCCGGGCACCTCTTCCTGCTCCTCCATGTCGTACAGGTGGTCACCCCCTTGCTTGACCTCGACCTCCAGATCCGCACCTCGTCGGTATCCGACCTCCTCGAGCGCATCGATCACGTGCTCCGACTGCGAGTGCGGCACCTTTGCGTCGCCGTCGCCGTACACTACCATCACCGCAACGCGCTCGCCGCCACCCTGCTCCCGCGCGCCTGCCCACCGCCGCCGGATCAGGTGCGGCACCGAGAAGCGCTCCACGTCGTCCGGACTGCCCAGCACCAGGCTGGCAAAGTTGCCCTCCTGGCGCGCGTAGTTGTACATCTGCGCCCGCACAGGGTCAGCAGCCGGCGGCGCTTCCGTCTTGATCAGCGCCTGCTTCCCATCGTCTGACCCCGGGTGGCATCGCGTCAGGCACCCTTGCTCCTCGAGCTGTCGACCGTCGATGGGCTTGCCGTCCACGGACCAGCTGACGGGCCTCTGCGCTTGGTAGTAGAACGGCGCCATATCGCGCTCGAGCGTGGTAATCGGGTAGATGGAAAACACCGAGCTCGCCTTGGTGCGGAGCGAGTCGGCCTGCTCGACCAGCGACAGGCCGAGTAGCAGCGAGATCCACCCGCCCGCGCTCGACCCGCCAAGCACGTACCGCGCCGTGTCGACGTCGTTGGCCGCCGCTCCGAGGTGCTGAGCGAGCTTGTCGGCGTCGAGAAAGAAGTTGATGCAGTCGCGCACATCGTCCAGCACCTCGGAGATGGTCACTTGGGGGCATAGGCGGAAGTCAGGCGCGATCAGAGCCACGCGGTGCTTGTCGACGCCACGGACAAGGTGCTGCGGGGCGGTTGCATCGAGGGCCGTAGTGGGTCAGTCGAGCGGTCGAGGGCCAAGTCAGTCACTGCAGAGCCCGCTCCATAGCTCAGGGATCAAGAAGAAGTCGACCTACAGGAGGGATAAACTTGCGAGTGCCCTGCAGCAGACCGCCGGTATGGACCCAGAAGACGGGAAGCAGCGGGGTGCCGAGCTCGCCTCCGCTGGGCAGGTAGACGTCGGCGGCGATGTCGGTGTCGGACCCGTCGGTGTTGCGGAACGTCTTGAAGACGACCGTCTTGGCAGAGGCAGAGGGGGAGGCCATATCGAAAGTGGAGTGAGATTGTGGGTTTGTGTGCGATGGTGGTGGCGATGAAGGAAGGGGAACGAGGATGGCTTTTCCTGGAAAGAGGCGGACCGAAACCTCCAACTCGGGCGGGGTCCGTGCGTTGGTCGCCTGCGTTGGGTTCCGTTCCGGCTTTGACCCTGCATCCGCCCTCCACATCATCGTAACGCTGCGTTGCGGCGCCTTTTGCAACGCGGTCAGGCCACCAGCCAGGCTGACCACGCCGTCCTTGGCGTCCCACCACCACCACCACCACCACCACCACCGCCGCCATCGACACCTTTCTCTCCGCGAACACTCACGCCGGCCATGGGGCTGGAGACCACCTTCCTGTCCCCGCCCAACGCGGTGGCGCCACCGGCCTACAGCGCATCCGACTCGATGTCGTCAAGCTCGTCGGCCCGCTTCCCACCAACGGTCTGGTCGCTGATCCTTTCGCACTTCCTCTCCGTCTATCCGCCCCACGAGGGAGGGCTGAGCGCCTCGCTCTCCGACCTGCACCGCTCCGTACGCCTCGTCAACCGCACCCTGCACGCCCTCACCACCTATGTCCTGCGCGCCCACTTCCTGCCGCAGTACGAGGCCCGCGTCGTGCCGCCCTACACCTCCTCGCCCCTCTCGCCGCGAGAGGTGAGGGTGCTCGACCACTTTATCGCCTTTCGCATCACGCTCGAGATGTGGCACTTCCAGTCCAGCCTGCTCGTGCTCGACGACAAGGGCGTAGAGGACGACCTGTTCAGGTGGCTACAGCCACAGACCCGCCTCGAAGACCTGCTGGCGCAGCACCCGTCCGCATCGCAGGTGTGGACGCAGACGGGCGTCGACTGGAACGACCTCACCGTGTCGTACAGGGTGCGCAACGTCGCGCTCCTCTTGCCCTTCCAGAGCGGCAGCCAGCTCGACGAGTCAAAGACGACAGAATGGGACACAGCCCTGGATGACGACGACGACGCCGACCTGCATGACACTACTCGACCGGCAGCGGCGGTGAGAATCATACGCAAGGCGTTCCTGGAGATGAGGATCCCGCGCTCGCAGACGCTCGAGGCCACTGCCGAAGAGCTGCTGCGGTCGCTGAGGAAATACAGGCTGGTACGAAAGGTCCAGGGCGACGGCAGGCCTTTCTACGAGGTGGTCGGACAGGCGTAGGAGCAATCCAACATCATCATCCGCGATCATCCTCTTGGCCCCCATTTCAGCGGGCCTTGTGCATCGCGTCGAAGCTCGTGTTGGCGCCCGACATCCACTGGACCGCGTCGGCGCCCCAGCTGGGCAGCACCGCCAGGCCCTCTGTCCAGTTGGCGTACCAGGGCAGGGCGATGGTCCCCTCGCGCCTCGCATCGATGGCCTCGACGATGCGCTCGGCGACGTGCTCAGGCTCGATCGACGGGGCGAGGAACCTGGCGAGCGGGTTAAAGTAGATGCCCGCAAACAGCCGGGTGCGCACGTGGCCGAGGATGACGAGGGTGGTGCGTATCCGGTGGGTGCGGTGGTGGGAGCGGATCTCGTAGCGCAGCGCCCGGTGCAGCCCGACGAGGCCGTGCTTGGAGGCGCAGTAGTCGACCATCTTTGAGATGCCGACGTGGCCCATGATGGACGAGACCGACACAATGTGGCACGCCCTGCCCGCCTCGGCCGCCGCGAGCATGCCCGGCAGCAGCGACTGGATGAGCCAGAGGGGTGAGGCGAGGTTGACGTTGAGCAGCTTGGTGACCTCGGCCGCGCTGCACTCGACGAGCGGGCGCGAGTTTGTGATGCCGGCGTTGTTGATGAGGATGGTGGGGTCGCCGTGGAGCGCCCTGATCGACTTGACGACCTTGGTAAGGGCGTCGAGCGACGCTACGTCGCAGATGTACGGGTGGATGTTGGGCGTGATGTCGTCGAGCTCGGTCTGGGCCGGCGCGGCGGCGCCGAGCGAGGCATAGTCGGCCTTTTGGATGTCGAGCGTGACGACTTTTGCGCCGCGCCGGGCGAGCTTGAGGGCGAGGTGTGCGCCGATGCCGGTTGCGCCGCCAGTGACGACCACCAGCTCGCGCTTCCACTGCGAGGCCTGGATCCGCGGCAGCCTAGGGTGGTTGGTCCATGCCGCCGAGGACCACGTCAAGGTCCAGCCAAGCAGGATTAGGCACGGCAACGCGAGCAGGTGGCGGTATTCGGCCACGAGGTGCGGTGAGAGAGCCTCGCATGCCAGCCACGCGATTGCCAGCAGCGGATCTATGATGCGACGAGGCAGGCGAGCGCGTGGGCGAAGGATGGTCAGCGAGGGTGGACAGACAGACGAGCGACGAGGCGAGGTTGCAAGGCTCACTGAAGACGGTCCACTTGGAGAGGGCGACAAACGTGTCCACGGCGACCATGATGCGGTTGCCTATAGCCAGCGGGAACGGCGTGGGAGACGGAACGGATGCAGAGGGGCTGAGGGGGGAGACGAGGTGATGGTGGCAGAGACAAGACAAGAGCAGAGGTGTTGGTTTCGGTCTCGGCCTTGAGTCTATTCTTGCCCCCCCGTCATCCAAGCCCGCGGTCCGGTTCTCTTCTTGGCACACGGCCAAAGCGGCTGCGTGAAACCCGGCTTGGTCCAGATTGAGAGGACCCTGAATCTGGCCCCTGGTCTCGCTCGCAGCCTCTTCTGCCCCCTAGCTTTGCCCCGGTGACGACGCCGTCACCGTCAACCCGTCCACCGCCGTCTATCTATTTCGGGCGCAATCGCAACATGTGACGTCAAACACCGCCTCGTTGTGTGTCTTGCCTTGCTTGCTTGCTTGCTCGTGTTCCTGCCTCCAGCAAGGTCCAGACTCACGACTCTTTCTGCGCTTTAACCTTGGCTTGGCTGACAAGAGACAGGGGCTGAGACGCCTATATAACCGCCCATCCACGCCGCCCTTGTCTTCGCCATCGTCACCACCCTCCCTCATCCATCCCATACCCCTCCGTCCATCGCCGGACAAACGACAGCACCAACCACAAGCCCAATCCCTTGAAATCAACTCCCAGAACCGAAAGGAACTTCAAACAATGCCGTCCGTCCACGTAGCGCACCGTATGCACCAATACACATTAATTCCTCGGGTCCTATATCTCAGGCGTTGGGGGATCAAGCGATGGTCACTCGCATTCGGAAAGAGTGGCCGTGTGCAGGTCAGCTAGGCCTGGACATCGCCGACCTTCTTCGGAATGCACCTGAATACCTTTAGGTGAGTCTTCTTTCTCCCAGAGACGACTTCGAGACGCGGTCGAGAGGTGCAGTCACGCTGACGTCCTCAGCTCCCTCTATGCCCCGTCCGCAGCTTCGTTGGCCCTTGTCCTGCCATGGATGACCATACACGCATCATCCCGGCACCTCAGTCGGTCTTCACGTTGCTCCAGATGTAAATTTCCTCATGTAAATTTCCTCGCCGCGGTCCTCATCATACCCAACGCAGTCGCCGCCAGGTCTCGATCATGAATCGCACCATCTGCCACACGCACACATCGACTGCGAACGCTTGTGCATCGAAAGCGGAGCCCATTGCATTCATTCAGGCTATGTGCGGTTCTACACGACAAAGGACAAGCGGGGGCCTCCGGCAATTGGGCCACGCTCATGCTTGCCCTGCACTGCCGTGTCTCGCGCGCGACGACGACATCAAGGCAGCTTCCAGACGGCGACGTCGGCGGGGGCGACCTTGCCGTCGGCGCCGCCCAGGACGAGCTCTGCGCCCTCGGGCGTGGCGGGGAGCTCGACGGCCTCGGGACCGTAGTTGAGGGCCCACAGGGCCTTTCCGCTGCGGACGAGGCGGAGGTCCTTTCCGAGCTCGGCGTCCTTGGCCACTTCGGTGCCCAGCAGCGTCTTGAGGCCGAGCGACTTGGCGGCGTCGGCAAAGTACGAGATGAGGAACTCGACGGGCGTGTAGGCGCCAATGTAGTGGGTCGTCTTTTTGCCGTCGTCGTGGGCGCACGTGATGGGCTTGCCGTCGCGGTAGCCGTGGTAGGCGGCGCCCTGGTCGGCCGCGACGCTCGCCTGGCGGCTGCCGCGCGAGCACTGGATCCACTCGGACCAGCCCGAGATGTTGTACTGCTCGCCCGCGTAGGAAATCATGTCGCCAAAGCCCGGCTTGGTCGTCTCGACGCGCGTCACGACCATCGGCAGCGCCTCGCGCACAGCGCCCGCGGCCGGGATCAGGCCGTCGGGGATGTCGAGCGTGGCCACCTTGCTCGCCGAGCGCGGCCCAAACACGGCGGTGCCGTTGAACTTGCTGAACGACTTGTCAAACTCGTCGTGGACGATGGGCATCGTGGGCACCGCCACCATCTTGTAGCCGTCGAGCTTGGTGTACGGCCCGATGACGTCGACCGACAGGCCGAGGCGGCGCAGCGCAGAGTACCAGTTGTAGACGAGCGAGTTGTAGTACATCGACGGGTTGGTGAACGTGTTCGAGTTCGTGTCCCAGGTTCCCGACTGGGGCTCGACCTCGAGCAGCCACTGGGCCTTGTAGTCCCACACGAGGGCCACGTCGGCCTGGGGCTCTTCGGCAAAGACGGGCGCCTGCGACTTGTTGCTGCCGCCCTCCTTGGCCTCGCCCTCGGTCAGGCCCGACTTCTGCAGCGCCGGCAGGTCCTCGTTGACAATCTTCTGCTGCTCGAAGAAGAGGACGTCGGGCTCGTTGTTGCGCAGGTTGAAGGCGGCGTGCATCTGCTCCTGCGCGTACGGCACCTCGCGCCATCGGAAGTAGTTGACCATGGTTCCCGAGTGGGCCAGGATCTCGTGGGCCCACATTCGCGGCATGCCGTCGCGCGGGGAAGGATTAAAAGGAGCCCAGTTGACGGGACCTGGCTGTTGCTCCATTATACCCCAGGGGCCGGCCGTCTTGTTGTAGGCGGCGCCGCTGATGCCGCGGTAGAGGTTGTGCATGAGCGACTGCGAGTCGGGCATGCCGGTGCGTCCGTATCGCAGCTTGTCATCGTCGCTGATCCAAGAGAACTGCTCGGTGTTGCCGAGCGGGTACGAGTCCCAGGTGGCGAGGTCCATGCCGATCGACTTGGCGAACTTGTAGTGGTCAAAGTCGTTGTAGTAGCCCATGAAGTTGGTCGTGATGAATCGGTCGCTGTGCTGGCGGATGATGTCGGTCTGCTCCTTTGCAAACTCGATGACCATGTCCGAGCTAAAGTCGTAGAAGTCGAGGCGGTGGGCGGGCGTGCTCTCCGTGACCTCGAGCAGGGGCACCTTGATCTGGTCAAACGACTGGTAGTCCTGCGACCAGAAGACGCGGCCCTGCCTCTGGTTGAAGAGGGTGATGTTGTGGTTGTACTTGTCTTGCAGCCAGCCCTGGAAGCGCTTCTCGGCGTGCTTGTCGTAGGTGCGCGTGGTGCCGTGGCAGCCAAACTCGTTGTCGAGCTGCCAGCCGACGACGTGCTCGTTGTTGCCGTAGCGCTTGGCGAGCGCCGTCGTGATCCGCTTGCTCAGCATGCGGTAGTCGGGCGCCGAGAACGAGTAGTGTCGGCGGCTGCCGAACCTGCGCTCGCGGCCCTGGGTGTCGGCGCCGAGGATGTCGTAGTTGCGCACGGCCCAGATGGGCGGCGTGGCCGTCGGGGTGCCGAGGATGACCTTGAGGCCCTTGGACCCGAGCACCTCGATGGAGCGGTCGAGGGTCGAGAAGTCGTACTTGCCCTCCTCGGGCTCGAGGATGGCCCAGTCAAATTCGTTGATCCGGACGTACGACAGGCTGGCGTTGGCCATGCGCTCGGCGTCGCTCTCCCACAGGAACTCGGGCCACTGGTTGGGGTAGTAGTCGGTGGCAAAGTGGAAACCCTGGGGCCATCGGCGCTTCTCAGGCGACTTGGAGCCGGTAAAAGTGATCTCGGTGGTCGGGTCCGTGTCTGGGACGATGACTTCGCGCTCAAAGAGCGAGGCCGAGTCGAGCTGGTTGTCGAAGCCGAGGCTGCTGGGCAGCGCCTGGACCAGGCTGGGCAGCACCGCCACGAGCGCGGCAAGCTGTTGCCACTTTCCTTGCAGCAACATGGTCGTCAAGAGCGGCGCGGGAGGGGAAGGGATGAAGGGGGGGTAAGGGAAGACGAGGAGGAGGAGGAATCCAGCGGGGGGTGGCGTGTCGAGTCGACAATACCTGCGCCGAAGTCGAGCTTATATACCTTTGGCCGCCTTCATATCGCAGTGGGGTTCCGGACCGGTGCCGCTTGGCCGGTTGACCGATGAGGGGATGATGTGGGGGTCCTCGTGGCAGCTCGTCTGCCACGCCGCTCGTGGCCGTACCGGTAGTTACCTGGCAACAAAGAGGAGCTAGTCCTGCGGCACAGAGCCGGCTCGAGGCTGGGGGTGACGAAGCCTGCGAGGTCGGCTGCGCCTACCATCCATCGCAAGACGCATGCGAGACGGTGGCCCGCGTCGGTTGACCCAGCCTGTGCCGGCCAAGGACACAGGGACAATGTACCGGTGCCCGTGCTGTTGCGCCGCAACGTCGGTACTGTAGCCAACGATGCGCCCTCTTGCGTGCCGGTATGCTTGCTCTGCTCTGCTCGAGGCGTCGCCCGTCTCGCCGTCGACGGCCAAACTCTCTGTACGGTATGCGCTGCATGGACAGTTGGCCAGGCAGAGGCCCATCACGCCCGCGTGTGTCCCTCGGTCTTCCTTGCTTGCTTGTCGACCTTTGCCGATCCCTGGACCTCGCCTAGGCATCGCAGAGGGCGCTAGCAGACGCCCATGCTTCCAAGACGGAAGAGAGATTGCCGATGGTGGGTTTAGGCGGTAATTGACCGGAATGCTCCAGCCCACCTCTAGTCTTTCGCTGCTCAACCCGGCTGACCGTTGCAGCACGACGACTTTCCCCCTGAGCGTCGTCGACACAAAGGCGCTGGAGGGCAAGAGAAGAATGGATGGTGCCACGTTCGGAGTGGCAGGTTTTGCGGGGAAGAGGCAGGTCGAAGACGTCCATCTGCTGTGACGGGGTGAGCGGTCGACGCCCCCATCCATCACGGTGCAGCCAAGCGTCGAACGACGTGCATCTGCGGTGCGGCGGCACAGATGCGTCGGTGCAAAACCTCCGGTGGCTCCGGTGGCTCCGGTCCACCAGCCTGCCTGCCTGCCCGCCTGCTGGGCCCCGCCGATTCGAAGCTCGCTCAAAAGAAGAAAAGCTTCCGATGCCGCATCCGTTTTTGTGGGGGGCAGCCCTCGCGCCGCCTCTCGTCGGACCAAGGCCAGGCCAGGCAGGCCCGGCGAGGCGTACGGTGGCACGACCGAAGATGCACCGGCATTCAGGTGTCCCCGGACCCCACGCTCGCTCGTTCGCTCGCCCGCTGCGCTGCTCTGGCCCTCGTTCGCTTGCGCTCGCCTAGGCAAACTACCGCGGCCCAGGAGGATGCGCACATCGACCTAGCTTTCCTCCCTTGCCTCTGGCCCGCGAAACGGCGAAGAGAGCATGGCAACAGCCGACATGGCGGCTCGCTGAGTTCTCCGAGATGGTGCGGTAAGCCAGCAGCAGCAGGCAGCACATCAACATCGTCGCTGTCTCGGGCGGCGAGATCGCCGAGTAGTGTCACCTTGGCCTCTGCGGCGCTGTCTCTTCGCCGGTCAACAATCGTAGGTACCGGTCCGATGCTTGTCCGAGGCCGTAGTCGCGCGGTGGCTGGTCCCGCTGGGTCGCTGCTCCGCCTTCTCCGCACAGCTCAACGGCCCCAATTCTGGCCACGAGGGCATGTCGATCTTGCTTGGTGCGTTGCGGGGTGAGAGCATGGTTCAGGAGACGGCCGTTAGGTACTGTAGGTGGATTGAGTACAAGCCTAGCGCTCCGGCGCTCGTTGGCTGCCGGTGCTTGGCAGCACCAATCCGAAAGTCTTGCCTGGACGACAGGTCGCCACTACTGCAGTGCTAGGCAGAGCTGCGCTCGTCGATTCAAAGCTCGAGAGGTCGCGGATCCTCGTTACCATGTCGGGCTGGCCACGTCGAGCCCTTCCCACGCAGGAGGCAGCACGAGGCGGAGCCGCCTTCCCTCACATAAGAAAGGCTTGGCAAGCCGCGGTCAGCGGATCAGCCGACCTGGTCATGGGCCAGGTGGCGATCTGTAAGTACGGATGTCTGGGAGGAAGTGACGGCCATCTCGTCTTCCTGCCCAGGTGAGCCTCAGGACAGGCGTGGCCTTTTCATCAGAGCAGATGGCTCCACCGTGTCCGGCACATCGTGCGTCCGCGGAGAGGCCGCCTGGGGCGGGCCAAGTCCATGCCTAGCATCTTCTTCGCCCAACGTCGAGCCGCCCTTCCTGAAGCTCGCTGGCGGCGGGCTGGACAGCCGCATCTCAAAGATGAGGATGTCGCGCCACCTGCCCCTTTCCGGCCCGTCGACCATCCTGCCGACCCTGCGGCGCATTCCGACCTGTACAAAGTCGTGGCGCAAGAGGAGGCGGATGGCTGCCTCGTTCTCGGGGAAGACGGTGGCCTGCAGCGTCGACCAGCGCGCATCGAGCTTGAGGGCATCGAGGAGCGCCTGTACGAGCTGGGTGGCGATGCCCTTGCCCCGCTCGTCCTCGGCGACAAAGACGAGGAACTCGAGCACGCCACCGGCAATGTCTTCGGCCAGCGCAGATGATGGGCTCGGCGGCAGCACGGGCGAGGCTCGCGAGTTGAGCGGCCGATCGAGCCCGAGTCCGAGCGAGAGGGCGGGAAAGGGGGCAAAGGTGGCGATCCAGCCTGCTGCGCTGTTGTAGCGGTAGTGCACGGCGATGTAGCGGTAGGGGCGCAGCATGGACGAGTCAAACTGCTGCCAACTCGGCGGCGTCGTCGTCGTCAGGGCCGCATTGCCGGTAGCCAGGCCCTGGGCATAGATGCGAGACCAGGTGGCGGAGCGGATCTCGGTGAGGGTGAGGATGTTGTGAGGGTGAGCGGCGGTGGGAGCAGCATGCGCGTTGCCAGGAGATGCGGCTGTGCCGGCTGTGCTGACTGGGCTGACGGCGCTGACAGTGGTGGAGGCGATGGTGATGGCGGGAGATGGGGCGGATGGCACGCTCGAGGCGGCGCCGGGGGTGAAGGACGCTGCTGCCTGGGCTGGATCCGGGGCCGTGGCTACATCCGAGGGAGCAGGCGACGGTCTGACCTCGGTTGTGGCCACGGTTGGTGACGAGGCAGAGGCGGGGGAGTTGTCGTCAGCCATACCATGGGAGCAGTGACGACGACGAGACGACGACGACGACGACGACGACGGCCTGCGTGCGTGGCGTGGCGCCAGGGTTGGTGGGCCAAGAGGTTAGGAGGCAGCTGGCAAGCAAACCTCCTGGTGGAAGCCTCATCTCTGGCCTGGCCTAGCCTGCCTGCCTGTCTGCTCTTTCTGCGCGCTGGCGCAGCAACCTGCTGGACCCTCGCGCTCGTCTGGACGCGTAGAGAGCAACGCACGCCGGCCTGCCTGCCTCCCTCCCTCAACAAACACTCCTCCCTCTGCCACCTCTGGCTCGCCTGCCTGCTGGCCAGCACCGCCGCTGCACCCTCCTATCTATCCCGCAACCACCAGTCCCCCACGAACAGACTTTTGATATCGGCTCTTTCCTCGCACCGCCTGCGGGCAGTCTGCCCTCCTCCGGTCATCACCTACAAACAAAAGATGCCGGCTCGCTCCTCCGGCCGCGTCGATCCGCTGCTCGGGCCCAAGCAGTCCAGCTCTGGCCTCTCTTGGTGCCGGGTGGCCATCCATTCCGCCGACTACTGGCTCCTCGGCACTCTCTCGTCGCGTCCAGACAACCTCGCACCGACAGATCGGGCATGGTCGAGGTTCGACGAGGCCCTCTACGACGATGCTGGCGCACTCTTCCTCCGGCCTCCCCCTCACAAGAGGCCTGATCAGAATCCTCGCGACCCCGACACCCCGCTCGAGCAACGCCGACGCACAGACTGCAAGCTATCCACGATGGCCGCCATCGCCATCGCAGAACAGCTAAATCCAGAATTGTCGACGGCAACGAGCGAACAAGCCTCCCAACTCGAGCGCCAAGTTGCCTCGCTGGCTCCGCACCTCGAAAAGGCCGTGGCCCGCCATCTCTTCGTCAGAGTCTTCGTCAAGAGCTTCCCACTCGCAGAGTGCTTCTCGTCGAGCGACGTCACTCTCGAAAGGCGCAACGCAGAACGTCGCTTGCCAAGCCTCGTCTGCTCGTTTGCCCGACACATGTGTGATAGGGCTCCCCATCTCTACGCCGATGTAAGTCCGGACGATGCGCTCTTCTGCAGCGTCAATCAACTGACCACCATGCCGGATTGGGGCCTATTTGCTGCAGCTCTTCTTCGATTTCGTCACAGAGCTTTGGTCCATCTTCAGCCCTCCATTCGAGAACCTCGAGCTTGGGCCGAGCGAACGCGGATGCGTCCGGGGACTCCGCGCCGCTATTCTCCTCGAAAATTCCCGCGAGAACTCTTGGCCCTTGACCAAGGCTCTATATGTGCTCGATGATCTTGCCGACTGCTTGGAAGACGACATCACACGGCAAGTTGTCAGCAGCTGTTCGCAACCCGCGAACCCTGTTTACTCGAGCCTTTTGTGCTCCGAAAAGATTCTGGAGGCACGCATCTTGCGGGAAGCTGTCCAACGCCTCTGGCGCCGGTCGCTGGAGCGCGCGTACCGGACACCCCGTCACCTCGAGGTATTCAAGATCGAACTCCAGACCTGCTGGGGCGAGGTGGAGGCCTATGTGCTCTCTCGCTTCCAGATTCGGCTGCTGGACACCCGCCAGAACTGCGAGAAGCTCAGAGATCCCAGCTGCAGAGAGGAGGTGATCGCCAAATGGGAGGCTGAGAGTCGTGACTGCTTCAGCCAAGGCGGCTGCTCGAGCTATTCAAGACCAATGTCCCTCTTCGACGGCGACACAAAGCTCGAGGCCTTCGCCGAGACTGCTACCAAGAACGCCTTGGAGCTCTGGAAGAGCACGGAAAAGGACATCGGAGAGGCAGCGAGCTCCACGAGGTTGATGATCAGCCGCCTCGCGATGGATGCTGGCGCATTTTCGCTCACGGCCGACGCCATCAAGGCCTTCGAGATCCAAGGCAGCAGCTTCCATGAGTTTGCCCGCGCGTACCTCTACAAGTGCGAACCTGGGCGCCGACACCTCGGAGATGTCCAATCCCTCACGCAGTCGGAGCTGGGAATGGCGCTGGAGAAGACCCGCGTCTTTATGAACAAGCACCTCGTCGAGCGCCTCCGAGCGCTTCAGCGCCACGTCCTGCGGGCCACGCGATCCGAGCGACAAGCGGAGCTCGCGCACACCGTTCCTCTGCACTTTGACACCGATGACCCGGACGACCCCATGCCATTCGAACACGGATTCACCCCCCTCTCGCTCATCAATCTCGCAATCGCGCTACACGCCGCCGGCCTTTACGTCGTCGAGGCGATGGTCATCGAGGCGGCACTGCAGTCCCCGAGCCGTGTGGAGGAGGACCGCTGGAGGCTGGACCTGACGCAGGCCGACCTGCGCCATGGCCTTCTAAAGGCCAATCGCCGCGCCGAGAGCCTGGCCGTGGCTGAGCTGCAGCGGGCAAACAGCGAGGCCGATGCGGGGGCCAAGCGAGGCAAGCCAATCGAGAATGAGGATGGAGATCTCAACGAGACTTCAGCCACGGCTAGTCGCGAACCGCCTGGGGGCGCCGACAGCAGCCAGGCCGGTCAGACACCAGCGGCCAAGACCAAGGCTGCGGGCGAATGGAAGTACGACGAGGCGCTCGACACCTGGGTCCTGACGACGCCTGCGACAGCGACGGCGATGCAGCCTGGCAGCTCCGCGGCTGCTTTGACCTCACGCGAGGCTCCCGTCAACGGCACGCCGCTCAGGAAAGTCGGCGGCAGGCCTTCGACAACGACTGACGACGATGTCCTGCCGCTCGTCCACGATGACGAGGACCAGGACGAAGGCGAGGTCCTCGACGACAGCATGGGGTCAGACGCGTCTTCTGACGACCAGGCGAGCCCGACATTTGACCTCACGAGGAGCCTGCGCAAGCCGGGTCGCAAGGTTGCTGCAGCACCGCGAGCCGGTCCCTCGCAGCGTGGCCGCCCACCGACACAGCCTCTGTTCCCGCGAGGCAACAGCTTGCCGTCCAGCCCGGTCACGGCGAGAGGCAGGCGGACTCGGTCGCAGGTGTCCGACAGCGACGATGCGAGCGACGACGAGCTCGACCTCTTCCAAGCGAGGACGCCGCCGCCGCGAAGGCAGCCGAAGCCGGTCCAGCGATACGACGGCGGCAAGGAAAACACCCTGACGGCGGCCGGCACCTCGCAGTCCGGCGACAGCGGACGTGGCGGCATCGCCGGCGCGTGGCGCATGTTCCGGCCGTTGGACCGGATGCGCAAGCTGGACCGCTCCCTCTCGCTGGGTCAGATGCCGCTGTCCGGCATGGCCGGCTACCTCTTTGGTGACCGTGGCAATCGCAGCAGCGCGAGGAGCAGCAACGCTCGTGGATCTGCGTCGGTCTCGGGCCAGCCTGGTAGAGAACAGGGCCGGAGCGGAGAAGCAGGCGCCACGACGGACCCGGAGGCGACGGGACCGGCAGTCCGAACCCCTCCTCGCCGCGCCCGCGCTCGGCGGGACGATCAGGCGATGTCGGAGCCAGAGGGCGACGACGATTTTCAGCCGGACGACGACGACTCGGATGCCAACCGAGACGACGACGATGACGATGACGACAGCGATCGAGGGCGCGGCGACGACGACGATGACGACGGAGCGGCCGCCACGAAGGCGTACAATCTGCGCAGCAGGCCGTCGGGCGGGCACGAACGAGACGTATTGCCCGGGCCCTCGATCAAGCGCAGGAAGGTAGCAAGCGACGGCGTCGAGGTCGTCGTGCCTGCACCCGCCTCTGGTTCCGGCTCTCGCTCTGGGCCCAGTCGTCGCTGGCCAGTGCTTGACCTCTGAGCGGCTGGAGCGGAGAAAGCTCGTGACCCGGGCCAACATTTCATTCGACATAGGCGGGCAGGCAAACGGCTTGGCGTACCTGACGAGCTCAGCAGCATCGAGATCCGCGTAACGGGCAGACCATCCCCATTCGATACCCGCATCCCAGTCCGGCCTCCGACGATGCGCTGCACTCAAAGTGGCAGCTTCGATCGGACAAGGCCGCAATGCAAACAAATCACCACATCTACAGACTGAGCATCGAACCTCCCCTCATCGCGCTACGCGTTCCTCTTGCCAAAAAACTTTTCCAGGCCCTTTGGGCGTTTCGGCTTGGCGGGCTTCGTCCTTGCCGGCGGTTGCGAGGCGGTGGGAGGCGCGGGGGCCTGGGAGAGGGTGACGGCAAAGTGCCAGTCCTGGTGTTCCTCTTTGAGCCGTTCGAGGAGGTAGGGCCTTTCAAACGCCGGCGCATCGACGGGCGGGTGGAGGAGCGCCGAGCACTCGGGACACTGCCACGTCGGTTGCTCCGCCCCATCTGACGGTGGCGCTCCCGTTTCTTGGCCTGCCGCTGCCGCTGCCGTTCGAGGGTCTGGGCTTGTCGAGCCTCGCATGGGGGTGATCGGAGCACCTAGTTCTTCATTTGTCGATGATTGGCGGTCGAAAGTGGCTGGCGCTTCTAGCGGCGATGATGCTGCCTTTGGCGTGGCGGCGTCGGAGGTGCTGGCCTCTCCGTTCAACGTCACGCCGGGCGGAGGGAGGTCGACCATCCTCTGCTTCTCGTCGGCCCGCCCGCGTTCAAACATGTCGTCGAGCCTCAGCCGTTTGCGCTTCTTGGTCGGTGTCGTCGCGGCCGAGCTCGACGACGCCGACGCGTCTGGCCTAGGCGTCGTCGACGATGACGACGACGACGACGACGCTGCTGTTGTCGTCGAAGCGGCGGAGCGGTCGACAGCGCCCAAGAAGCCAGCGATGCCCCTCTGTCCGGCCTCGCCCTCCTCGAGGCCGCTGAAACCCAGCGCGATCGTGAGCACCTTTCCGCCCTCGACGGAGCCGCCGCCGCTGGGCTCGAGGGCATCGCCTACGCTGTCGCGCCACAGCTTCTCGCCCTTTTTGAGGATGACGGCGGCCAGCTCCTCGTTGCTGCGCGAGTTGACAAAGGGGAAGGCGACCTGCCTCGAGCGGGGCACCGAGCCGGCGCGGATGTAGCGCAGCACGAGCGTCTTTGGCCACAGGCTGAGGCGTTCCGACCTGGCTTCGTTGAGGCGGATCGACAGCTCAGTGGCGAGGATCTGGAGCCAGTGGAGCGCCTCGTCGGCACGCTGGATGGGCGGGCGCACCGACTTGCTCGCCAGCATCGTCTGGTTGTTTACGCGCTCGCGCACCTCCGAGTGGTCGATGCCGCGCAGCACATTGTACACCCACCGCGCCTCTTCGCCAAACTTGGCCTGCATCTCGTCGAGCGTCACGCTCCACAGGTCGGCCACCGTCGACGACGCCCACTCCTGCCCGATGGCCGTGCCCAGCTTGCCGCCAAGGAAGCGGATCTTCATGTAGGGCAGGCTCGAGAAGAAGTTGGGCACCGAGCACGGCCGCATGATCGTCTGGCCGTTGGGCTTGCGCCATGACGAGCACAGCTTCGACAGTGTCTTGTTGGACGCGATGCCCGCCGACGTCGTGTATCCGAGCTCGTCGATGACATTCTGCCGCACCTTGTTCATCAGCTCGGCGCCGAGGGCGAGGGCCACGTCGGTCCACGTCGTCTCGCCGTACTCGATGGCGTCCCAGAGCGCCTCTTCCTCGTCGAGCTCTTCGGGCTGCGACGAGATCGGATCGGTGAGGCCCTCGGAGTGCGAGCCCCACGAGCAGGGAGCCGGCTTGGCCTCGCCGTTGACTTCGCCCTCGAGACCCACGTGTCCCGCGCCCACGGGAGCATCGACCAGCAGCGCCGCCTTGGCCACCTGCTTCTCTGGCCTCCCAATGCCCGTCGACTTGCCCACTTCGCCCGTCTTTGGGATGACGTGGCCCAGCTTCTGCCACTGCTTGAGCCCGATCCTCGGCGCCGGCGGTAGCGGGCAGTCCATGCCCTTGATGCCCTTGGCAGGGTCGTCCTTGGGCACGTTCTTGAGCTGCGGGAAGCGTTCGACCATCAGCTTGCGCACCTCGATGGTGAGGTCAAAGTAGGACTCGTCGATTGACGCCTTCTCCACCGCGCCCGACGGACACGTCTTCTTGAAGATGCTGAGGATCTTGTTCGATTCCTTGCGATACGGGTCGAGGCTGACCTTGTGCGTCTCGGGCTGCGGATTCTCGTGGTAGTCGGCCTGGTTGCTTCCGTGGGCGTAGGTGGCGACGTGGACGAGGCGGAGATCGGGGCACTTCTTGAGCGCCTCGGGGATCGACTCGAACCGCGAGATGCCCATGTCGCGGGCGGGGTAGTTGACGGCGATGAGACCTTGCCACTGCTGCACCGCTATTGGCACCTTGGTGGCGTCGAGGCCGAGACGCGACGCTTCGAACTGGGCATAGGCGGCATCGACGTCGCAGTGGGCCACGACGCGCAGCGGGTTGGTCGGGTTGAGCGTGCCGGCAGAGAGGAGGTGCTTGTAGGTGATGACTGGCCACGGTGGGGGACCGTTGACGTGGGGCTGCACCTCGAGATTGGTGTGGCTGGGTATCGGCCGATCCTCGGGCGGGGCCTGCAGCGACGGGGCGTTCTGAAAGGGGCTGTGGGCGTCTATCCCAGGTGCCGAAAGCGTGGCAGGGTAGCGCTGGGCAGCCTTCTTTGGTGAAGACATGGTCGCAGTGGCGAACGGTCGAGCAGGCGTTAGGGTTTGGCAAGCTGCAGTCGGCTACCTTTGTCGAGGCATGGTCGGCGAGCAGACGTGCTGGCGTGGTCCAACGGCCTCGGAGCAGAGCAAAGGACGAAAGAAAGTCTGCTGGAGGTGGCAAGGGTGTCTCGGTGTCGATGAGGTCGAGGTGGAAGGTGGTCGGAGGAGGCTCAGCAAACACGCCAGCATCGACCTGGATCCAGGCCCTCTGCTCCCCCTCCACAAGGCAAACAACACGCCTGGAGAAAACAAAACCGCCGTCGATGGCGCGCCGCCGGCAATCTACGCGATCCGCACCAGGCTTCGGGCGCGTCGATGGTGGGCCTCCGGCACGGAAGGAACAGTATTGGCATGCTATGGTGACGATGATGCTGCGAGTGGCCTCGTAGACGCTTCTTTACGAGCCCGTCGGCTAGTCCGCACGATTTCGCCTCGGCGACATCTGCGCAAGATCGGATCTTTTCGGCGGTGGCGAACGCTCTCGCTCACGCCCGACCGGCCGAGGGCGGCCAGACTCGCCGTTGGGACGGTCTTCGCCCCGCCTGTACGGATCATCGTAGCGTCTTTCCCGATCTCCGCGGTGGCGATCGTCTCTGTCTGTGCCGTTGGGTGACCTGCGGCGAGCCCGACGTCGTTCGTCGTCGTCTTCGATGTGGCGGTGCGGCCTGCCCGTCGCCCTGAATCCATCGTCGTCTCGTCGGCTCGGTACGTCGAGGTCCGTGCCTCGAGCGTCGGGACCAGAACGATGACGGGCTGCACGATCGTCGTCTAGCGACCGCCTCTGGCTAGAGTCGCGCGCAGATCCCCGCGATCGCCGCCCGCTGGCACCCGGCGACCTTGACCTGCTCCTTGGCCTGTCGTCTCTTCGACGACGCGGCTCGTCATCGCGGTGCCTGTGCTCGTGGCCGTGCCTGTGTCTGTGCTCGTGCCCATGCCTGCGATCGCGGTCCTCGTCTCTCGATCGGGACCGGTGGCGACGTCCGCCGTCTTCGGCTTCTCTGCGCCGCCGCCTCTCCTCTCTCTCGGCCTCCTTCCGCTCTCGCTTCTCCTCCTTGAGCTTCCTCTTGACCTCCTCCTTGGCCAGCTTCTTGGCCAGCTTGCGATCCTCTTCGGTGACGCCTTCCGCTTCGCCCTCGACCGGCGCTGGTGCGTCCGGAGCGTCTGGGTTCCACCTCCGCTTGGTCGGATCGAGCGGGGCAGTGTTGGCGCCCGTCCTCGCACCGCGACTCGAGCTCGCCGATGCGCCAGCCAGGAGGTGCGAGCCGACCGCCGGCTCTCCAAGCGTGGCAGCAGGTGGCGCGATCCCCCTGTCGTTGTTGCGAGAGATGAGAATGGCGAATCAGCTGGTCAGTCAGGCCCTAGCCAGCGGAGGTGCGGTGACTGGCAGTCCCAGCGCGAGCACTCACAGCTTGGCGTACAGGGCCTCTTCCTCCATCTTCTTGACGCGCCTCAGCTCCTCTCTGCGCTCCTCGTCCTTGTCCGACGCCTTGTCCTTGTTGTACCAGTGGATATCGCGACCGGCCTGCCATCTCCCCTGCGGCGCATTGACCGAGTTGCCCAGGTAGAATTCGCGGTCCTTGTCGTTCTTGACGTCCTCCCAGGAGAAGTTGCCCGCTCCGCCTCGAGCTCCGGGCCTGGGCAGCGCGACCACGTCGATGTCAGTCGATCGTGCGCCGACGGCTCGTGAGGCCGAGGACTGACTCACCTGCTCTGATGATACATGGCCGCTGCTGTAGGACGAGGGCTGTATAAGGATCGGAGGCGGTGATTGCAGAGTGTCCGCTACACGGTGTCGGTGAGGGTCGAGACGAAAGGAGAGCATTTCTGGTCGCATTTTGGGCCCGAGTTTCCCCTCATGGCCTCCCCCCTCGCGGACCTCGGGGAAAATTGGATGTGGAGCTCCCAAAGCTGCAAGCAAGCCGGCAGCGCCACGGTCAGACCACCTCACCTCACTTGATCCTCCCCCCCGCCGATGCAGCCGATGCGCTTGGACTCGACAGACCACACAAACAGGCCGACTCGGACCGAGCACGAGGAGGATGCAGATGGCTTTGGCTGTCGCACAGAGAGCGTGTGGAAAGTACAGGAGCGATGGAACCAAGGAACGACGACCGCGGCTACTCGTCCGGTTTAAAGGCGAGGTGGCTCAACCCGACCTTGGCCAGCTTCTTGTCGAGCGTGCCGGTGCGGTAGACCTCGGCGACGCGGCCGAGCAGCTCGCTGGTGCTGACGCCCTCGGTCCTCCTCGTCGGGAGGAAGCGGCCCTGCTTCTTGACGAAGCCGTAGACGTCCTCGATGCCCTTGCCCTCGTAGGGCAGCTCGTCGTGGGCCACATAGTCAATCTCCATGGCGTCAATGAGGTTCTGGTCGATGACCCACGGCGCGTCCTCGAGCACCTCGTCGACCCAGCGGCAGTTGCGCACGCACTCGTACCGCTCCGCCGACGAGAAAATCGGCTTGTTCTTGTGCGAGCTGCAGCTGTACGACGAGACGACGCCGACAATGAGGTGCACGTTGGGGAACGACAGCTTGGCCTGGCGCAGCTGCAGGGCATGCGCGTAGTGGAAGAGATCGTACACGCCGTCGGCGTAGATGCGGATCGGCCTCTCCTTGCCGTCCTTGCCGATCCTGCGCGGCGGCTTGTTGATCGAGTAGTCGCGCTTCGGGTCCGGGTTGAAGATGGCGTCGTGCACCCACCGCCGGATGTCTTCAGCGCTGGCGATATGGCTCGAGTCGAAGCTCTCCTCCTTGGCGTTGTCGCCGTCCGGGTGGCAGTCCGGATGCCGCGAGCCGACCACCTGGATATACGTGCGCGAGGGCACCTGGTCGGGAGCGGTGCAGGAGCTGCCCGTAGATGTGGCCGCCGTGCCCGGGGTCTGGGAGGGAGAGGCCACCGAGGGGCCCACAGGCCCACGGTCCGACGTCATCTCTGGCCGACCGCCTCCGCTGATCTGAACGCTGACTGGGGTGCGGGCGGCGTACTCGACATCGCCATCGTACGGAGTCGCGCCGTCCGTCGTCGTACCGCCATCGACGTCGCTGTCGAGGGTGGTGCTGCTGCTGTCACGCAAGCTCGCAGCAGCAGCCGAGAGCTGGTGCGGATTTGACCCCTTCCGCTTGCCTGCACCGCCGCCCTGGACCTGCGCATGCCCAGTCGCTGCTGATTTCCCCTCGGCACCATGCGAAGTCGTCAGCTCCCTGACTGGCTCGACTGTCGCACGCGGCGTGACAACAGCACTGCCCTGCACCGCGACGCCTGTGGTCGCGGCCGAAGAGCCAGGCGTGTCTGCCGACTGCTTCGCGAGGGATGCCGAGGTGGCCGGCAAGGCGTCAAGGCTGAGACCCGTCGCTGCCTTGGCAGATCGACCGGCCGCGTCTTGCTGCCGGTGAGAGACGACCTTGGGCAGAAGGTCGGCCGACGAGGAGCTCGAGAGGGTCGATGCGGCGTTGGCGAGCGTCACGCCGACGCTGGGTCGGGTCGCCGCATACTCCTCGTCGGACGAGGCTGCATGACCGAGCTGCTGCTGCTGCGCGGCCCGGAGCTGGGCGTGACCCAGAGCAGGTGCCGCCTTGGGCGGGCTTGAGCTCGAGGGGGTGCGATCCTCGGGGTTGCCCTTGAACTTGTGCGATTGCGACAGGGGGTGGGGCTTGGACTCGATCAGGGCCTGGTCGCGGTCATTGGGCGGGATGGATGCGGTGGAGGAAGAGACGGGCACGGCAACGACGCTGCCGGTGCTGGGCTGCTGGTGGTGGTGTCTGAGCGAGGCGATGGAAGCGTCGTCGTCGAAAGTCTCCTCCTGGTCGTCATTGTCCTCTTCGGACGCGTCTCTGGACGAAGAGATGAAGTTGTTGGTGCTGCCCTCGTCGTCTTCGAGTTCCTGCTGCAGATGCGAGTGCGGATGCTTCTTCTTGCGTCGGGAGGGGTCGACGACGTGGCCGTGGTGGTGGTGATGGTGATGGTGGTGGTGCGCCGCTCTCTGCGGTGGTTGCGCCATGGTGGCGCCGTCTGGTCTATGAAAGAGGAACGAGGCTCGCGGTAGCCGGCGAACGGTAGCAGTGGTGGCCCTCTAGGATGGTTGCAGGCGCCGCGAACGGAGCAAGAAGGGTGCGTCGTGTATCACTGCTTGAGAGCGTGTAGGCTGGGAGCCAGGGATTCTAGCGCTCGGATCGAGAAGAAGGCGCGGCTGCTCGTTGGAGCCGGATCTGAGGCGGCTGCTGGGCCGGACGAGGAAGAAAGCGAGCGAGCGACGTATGTGCGTGACCTCTGTTGAGTCGATGGTGGACGTAGAGACGATGGCGAGGCGAAAGTGCGGCTGCGATACCACCCGTCGGTATGTATCCAAGAAGGGCAGCCGCCGCTGCTAGGCCAGGCAGAGTCGTGGGCCCCAGCGCCAACACCCGCAGCGAAGACACACACCGGCCGTGCCTGCTCTCAGAGAGAGGCTGGACCAGACCCCAGGGCTGCCGATGGCCCAAAAATCCACAAAAACCTTGCTTGCACCTGGCCTTGGCCTGGCCTGGCCTGGCCTGTGTGACGCAGGTGAGGGCGAAGTGGCCTGCCCTGCCCTGCCCTCGCTTGATTGGCAGCCAGCCAGCCGTCTTGGCCGGTGGCGCCACCTCGCCCGCGCGCGCACGCTCCAACACAAAGAGAGAGCCAGAGTAGTCTGCCTGTCTCGCCCTGCCGTGCTTGGTCTTGGCCTGGCCGCTCCTTTCACGCACGCAACAAAGGCAGGGAAAAAGTTCCAGCAGGTTTTTCGACGCCCACGCAGGCCCCCCAGCAAGACGGCGGGCAAAGAGGGGGAACGTGCGTCCGCCGCCCGCTCATTCGAGGAGCGCTGCGCTGCTCGCTTCCGTCTGTGCGGGGTTCACCAGCCTCTGCCCGCAACCTGCTGCGTCCGGTGGGCGTGATCCGCGGCGAGGTCGAGGCGTCTCCGGGCCCCGACAAGGTCGTGCTCTGTCTAGGACCGCGGAAGCGCCTTTGCACGGGGATGGGAAGAAGAGATGACGGCGGTACAGATACAAGACGAGACCTGGCGTCGGCGTCGGTGGCGGCAGCGGCGACGCCCATGCGGGCGAGCTGAGCGGGAAACTGCGACGAGGCCTCAGAGCCGGATCCGCGGCCGCCGGCCGTCAAGACCGCTCTCCTCGTCCGCATCGTCGTCACCGTCGTCCTTTTCCTCGAAGGGATCGTCGTCCTCCTGGTCGAACAGGACGTGGCGGGGTTCGTCGTCGTCGTCGTCGCCGTCGAGGTGCGGGCTGCCGCGCTTCTTGAGCGATGGCAAGCCGTTCATCTGGTGCGCCTCGGGCGTCGCCGGATCACGCCTGCTGCCGCCAATGGGACCATCGGCCTGCAACCGGCTCTGGCCCAAGCTCAGGCGGGCGTACTGCGACCTGCTCGCCGCGCTGCCCTCGCGGTCCCCGCTCCGCGCGCTCGACCGATTGGCCTTCGCTGCCCCATACATGCCGCCGTACGAGATGAAGAGGTCGAGCAGCACGTTCATCCACAGGAAGATGATCATCGACACGCTAAAGTCGATGAGCCCCCACGTGGCATGGTCGACGCCCTTGCCGTGAGCCCACCGCAGCTCCTCGTCGGTCGCCGACATGAAGAGGACGCCCGACGCCACCAGCAGGTAAGGAGGCAGGTACTGGAAGGCGCGGATCGGATACCAGCCATGTGAGGGCGCGGCGTCTGTTTCTGCGCCGTCGGTGGTACCAGTGGGTCGGTCCTTGAGGACGAAGCAGACCTCAATCATGCGCGTGATGCCCGCCGCCATGAGCGAGTAGCCGAAGAGCGAATGGACCTTGGTGGAGATCATCTGTGGGGAGTGCCAGGAACGTGCAGAGACTATTCAGCGTCGTCAAGCTCGAGTTTGTTACGACGATGGCCAAGAAGATGTCCCGAACTCACCAGCGCCTGCTCGTGTGCGCTCATCGCCCAGCCGGTGAGCAGGATGATGATGGCAGGAAACACGTTCCTCCGGCCGCCCCTGCTCAGCCAGATGCCCACTGCGCCGCCGGCCCACCACAGCACGCCCATCAGCGTGTGCTGCAGGTCCTTGTGAGTCCAGGGCCCGCCGTGGTGCTCGGTGAAGGTGTTGACGATGCCCCAGAGCATAATGACCCAGCTGTCGAACCACTCTTGCGACTGGCCGCGGCGCTCGAGCCACGCGCCGCCGACCTTCATCATGATGAGCAGGATCGCCGCGTACGCCTGGAAGGCCGATCCCATGATGTAGTGCGCCAGACACTGGCCCAGGTGGCCGCCAAAGCACCACGACTGGAGCGTGGTGATGCCAAACACCATCTGAACCCAGCCGACGACGGGGAAGGACTTGCCAAGGAAGCCGTGGATGAAGACGAGCGTGGGTCGGATCCACTTTTCCGGCCGCCACTGCAGGTGCAGCTTCAGGTATACGCCGAGGAAGGTCTGGGCGGACAGGTAGAAGACGAGGAACGATGCCATCGAACCGTGCGCCGTGTGCGGAAACGACCTGCCGCCGTGCGCGTGGCCAAGAAAGTAGCCGGCCACGGTGAGGGCCATCGAGGCGGCCGCAAGCGGGACATGTAGCCGGTGGCGGATGAGGCCCAGCACCATGACGAGCGGGAAGAGGAGGAACCAGGTGAAGCTCTGGACGGCGATGTGGATCCAGAGGATACTGTCGACGGGGACCGAGTTGTCCGCCGGGCCATCGTGGTGGTGCTCATGGGCGTGACCCCGGGGCAGCAGCGATATCGCCACCGTGGCCACCGCCGCCGCTGTCGCGAGGGTACGTTGCCGTGACGGCGAAGAGAGAGGAAGCATGGTGCCGACGGCCAAGAGACTCTCGAGGATGGTGGAGGTGGAAGCTGGAGTTGCGCAGCACAGCCAAGCATCGAGAGCCAGCATCGTCGGCGGTCCCTTTGCGGTGCGCAACAAGCTGCAACGTCGTTCCAGCACGCATGTGAGCCAAGCTTGCAGCTGCCTGCTGTCTGCACCGGCGGAGAGGCCCGCGGGTCAGGGTCCAAGCGCCAGCGGCCGCAGGCAGGCAGGCTAGGGTCCTTCGGCCCTAAGATGCCGAGAAAAGCGTCGGCACCTCGCTCGCACGACAGACCCAAATTCAGCCCGATGAGGCCAAGATTAGATCGGGTCCTGCCAGTCCGAAGCGAGTGGCATCGGCATGAGCATTTCGGTCTTTTTGAAAAACTCTCACGCGTCGGCCGAGGAAGGATTGAGCCCGCGAGGGAACGCCGTCACCGCTACCGCTTCCGCCAGCCGCCTTGGCCCAGCAGTCGCAGCGATCAGCGCCCGACGGGCCCAGCCGCGCTGCCAGCCAAGTCGGCCCAGCCAACAGGGAGGCGGGCGGCGGGCAAGCAGGCAGGTGGCCTGGCGGGGCTCGAGCGGCCGCTGGTGGTCGGCGCGCCCGGGGCCAGGAAACCTTGAATGGCCATCGGCATCTCGTGCGCTCCACCACCTTCAAGACTACCGACTCACCACCGATAGCTAAGACATATTCAAGATGGCCTCCTCGTAAGTGTCCGACGGCGGCGAGGACAGCGAGGCGTCACCGGCAGCATCCCCAGCAGCATCGCGTCACGGCCCGCACCGCAGCACGACAGCAACACCGACGAGGAAACCAAAAACGACCACCGCGACGACGACCGATGATGGAGACACAGTGACGACGTCCCATCGGGATGGTCTTTTTGGTCGACCCATGAGCCGACGTACACGGCGAGCGGCTGCTCGGTGTCTCGGGATGTTGCTGGGATTGCCAGTCGTGCACGCAGTCAGCTGCGGAGAACAAGTCGCTCCAGATCAGCACACTCACCTTGAATCGTTCTTTCCTTCTTGCCCCTTGTCTCTTTCGCTTCACTTCGACAATCGCTCCTTGACCGGCATCTTCCACCTTTCCACCACTCTCCGACCCCATCTGCTCCGACCACCCCACCTACACCGCCTCCCTCACCTCGACACTCGACGATGGCTTCCAACAGCGACCTTGCCGCTACCTACGCTTCGCTCATCCTCGCTGACGAGGGTCTCGAGATCACCGTGCGTATCTCGTTACGGCACCTTGCCGTCGAAAACCGCTTCAGAGGCCTTGGCAACCAGGAAGGGCGGAGGACGGCTTGAAGGAGGACGTTGTGGGATAAGGACGTGGCTCGGTTAGGAGGTCAAGGTCACATGAGGAGGCCTATGGAGGTCCGGTCGATGTGCCGGCACTAGCACGACACGGACCAGGTCGATATGGGCTGGGGGCCAGGACTCGAAGGATGAAGGGGATGGCAACCGTCGATGGGGTGGTTGTCTCGTTGATCGTGTGCCTGCCGGCCGCGAGGGTGTCGAGCTCTTGTGCAGGGACACATGGACAGACGCCTGCACAAGCACGGCGAGCTCGATGGCCACCTTTTCCTCGGAATTGCTTGGGTGGACATGACCAAGTCGGCCGGAGGTTCGGGGACCTGGACGCTGCCAAGGCCTCTGCGTCGGGTCTTCCTTGGTGACCATCGATGGCAGCATGCTGACTTCTCCCGCCCTCCCCCCTCCACGTCTCGCCGCTCACAGTCCGAGAAGATCGTCCAGCTCACCTCGGCTGCCGGATGCGCCGTTGAGCCCATCTGGGCCACCCTCCTCGCCAAGGCCCTCGAGGGCAAGGACGTCAAGGAGCTCCTGACCAACGTCGGTGGTGGCGGTGCTGCCGTCGCCGTCGCTGCTCCTGCCGGTGGTGCCGCCGCCGCTGGTGGTGCCGCCGAGGAGAAGAAGGAGGAGAAGAAGGAGGAGGAGAAGGAGGAGTCCGTAAGTGTCGTCCGCGCCAAACCCCTGTTTCTCCCTACGCCTCTCTCCACACCGTCTCGATCGTCGACGACGACGACGGCGGCGGCGGTGCATTGCAGGCTATCGATGCCTTCGCCGGCGCCAGGTCGTCGTCGCGAGCGGTGTGGAGGCGTCCGAGGCAAAGTCGGATGCTGCCGCAGCACGCGCCGGAATCCCGGCCCGCGCCCGATCTTTTGGGGATGCGTCGCACTACCCTCTCACGCCTCGAGACGGACCCCACCATGCCTCCTTCACCGTTTGCTAACCTCGTACACCTCCCTCCCCTCCTCTACATCCTTCACGCCTTTCCAAACAGGACGACGACATGGGCTTCGGGCTGTTTGACTAAGCGTTTCGCCACGTTTTTCGCCTCGCCGTGGAATGTGCTCGCTGGAGCGCCTCTTCGCTGTCTCTTCCCCCCCCTTCATGTACCACCAAAAAGAACCTCGATGGGCAGGGCAGGGCAGGGCACGCACCACCTCCCTCGCCCCTTTGACATCTCTGCGCTCTGTGGCGTGCATGCACTCTCTCGCTCGCGCTGCATCCATGACTGCCGCCGCCGCCGCGCTGCGGTAATATACGCAAACCCGAAAACCCGCACTTGAGTAGGAGACGCGTGATGGCCGATTTGGCGTGACGTTGCGTGGCCTGGTCTGGCATGGCGGGAATCGGTGCTGCGGTCGTGGGCCGTTCATGCGCAAGGCCCTTTATCCTCGACGCTGCTCGCTTTCGGCGGCGGTACAGCGGATCCGCACGGGATGACTACCACGCATCGTGGTTCGAGCAGATGGAGAGGTGGACAGACGAGGGCCGGTGATCCGGTAGGATGCTTCTATCTGAGCGAGCGAGCGGAAGGGGGGCTCGCGTCGCAACGAGGGCGGGGACCGCAGCGATGCAACAACAACGACGGCGGCCGTCAAGCCTGCTCGTCTACGACATCTAGGCGCACACGGACCTCCTTGACCTGCAGGCAGAGGGCAAAGAAATGGATGAAGAGGGGAGGGGGCGCAAGAGATGCCGTACATTGTCAGTCGGGCCGCTTCGCTGCCTCTCTGTGCTGCCGCTGCCACTGCCACAGCCGGCCGCTCTCGCGACCGGCCCGCGCTCGCGCAGCGCCTTACTCACCCCCTTGACGGCCTTGACGATGGCGTCGCGGACGCGCACCTCGACCTCTCCGGCCGTCTCGAGCGACGTCTGGCCGGGCAGCTCGAGGGTGACGTCGGCAAAGGTGGACACGCCGCTCTTTACGGCGCGCAGGTCCCTCCAGCCGCGGAGCAGCTGCGGGAACTCGTCGCGCTGCACGGCGGCAATGGCGCGGTCAAAGCGCTGCAGCACCTCGGGCTCGACGCCGCGGTCCGACAGCTCGCCCAGCGCGCCGATGAGGAGGTCGGCGCCCTGCTTGCCAATCAGGCCCGCGACGAGCAGGCCGCCGAGCGGGTCGAGGACGGGGAAGCCGAGCCAGCTGCCGCCAATGGCGAGAAAGGTGACGGCCGACGACAAGCTGTCGGACCGGTGGTGGAGCGCGTTGGCCTCGAGCACGCTGCTGTTTTCCTCCTTTGCAATCTTGAGCGTGGCGTGGTAGAGCCACTCCTTGATCAGCACGCTGGCCAGCGCAAACCACATGGCGTTGGGGTCCAGCAGGCCGCCCTCGCCGCCCGCCGCGGCGGCCGTGTCGTGGCTGTGGCCGACGTGGCTGCCGGCGTGGGCAATCGAGCCGGTAAACGAGCCAAACGCCTGGATGGCGGCGGGCGCGTGCTGCAGCGTCGGCTGGAGCGCCTCGAGCAGCAGGCCGTACGAGTGGAAGCCGATGCCCACGGCGCCGGCGACGAGGACCAGGCTGACGCCGAGCGAGCCCATCGTCTCGTACTTGCCGTAGCCCAGCGGGTGCGACGCCGAGGGCGGCTTCTGCGACATCTTCCAGCAGAAGAGTGTCACCAGGTCGGCAAACATGTCCGACAGCGAGTGGGCCGCGTCGGCCAGCAGCGCGGCGCTGTTGAGGTAGACGCCCGCCACACCCTTTGCGCCGCAAAGGCCAACGTTGGAGGCGAGGCCGAGCAGCGTGATGTTGCTGCCGCGGTCGCCCTTGCCCTTGAGCGCGGCTATGAGCTGGTCGGCCTCCTCGGCGCTGCCGTGGTCGTGGCCGTGGTGGTGCGAGTGGCCAAAGAGGCTGTGCTTGTGGTCGTGGTCACCATGGCCGTGGTCGTGGTGAGCGGCGCCGGCGTCTTCTTCGGCGGCGGCTCCCTTGCGCTGGCGAAGCTCGCCCTCATTGGCGGGCACCGCGGTCGACGAGGACATGGTGGAATCGAGCTTGGCCGGCGTCGATGCAGCGGGCTGGTATGGCTCGACGGCGTGAGATGTAGCAGCAGCAGCGGCGGCGGCGTTGCCAGACTGCGATGTGGGCGGCGGCTGCTTGGCGAACACGCTCGTGGTCGGGGGCAGCGTCAGGCTGGCGGCGGTCGAGGTGGCCGATGGGAACAGGCCAAACAGGCTGGCGGGGGCGCGCCTGGACGAGAGGTGGGCGCGGTACGAGGCCGGATCCGGGTAGGAAGGGTGGGCAAAGCTGCGAGGGTAGAGCGAGAGCGGGCTGGACCTCTCTGGCTGGTTTACGTGGTCCTCGTAGCGGACCAGGCGGGGCGGGCCGGGTCGTCGAGGGGGCTGGGGCGGGCCTCGTTGTCGGTTGGCCGCGACTCGCTCCTCGTGCGGGAGGGAAGAGGTTGGCTGGGTGGGCTTGGGGAGGACGGTGTGGCGCTTGGAAGGGCCCGCGGGGTGGGGCGGCGGTGGGTAGTGGGTCGACTTGCTGCGATGGTGATGCAGAGTCGTGGCGTGCGCGAGGGGCGTGATCGGGTGCGATATCCGGGGTCGCAGCTGGTGGGCCTGCCGCTGATTTTGTTGGCGGTGAAGATGGTGGTGGTGAAGGAGCGGAGTCGGCGAGGGCTGTTTCCGGCCAGTTGATCGTAGCGATGCGCTGGCGGTGAGATGCAGGGAGGTCGAGGGTCGCATCAAGCAACACTACTCTAAAGGCGTTCGTCGCTCTCTCTCTCTATCTCCGTGTCGCGAGCGGGGAGTTTCGCGGCGCTCGGCGGTCGAGCCAGCTTGGGGCTGGGGCTGAAGGATTGGATTTAAAGCCAGAACGAGGGCCAGCAGCGCCTCTTTCCAAGGCAGGATTTAGTCTCGGTCGTGAGTTTTGGGTGAGGTGGATGCGCCGAGGCCTACTTGGCTGCTGCTGTCGTTCGAGTTACGTTGGTCGCCGTCGCCGTCGATCTGCTCTGTTGAACAAGAGGGCCAGGTGAGAGGATGATGTTGCAATGGTGGAGCAGAGGCAGGCTGGCCTTGACGAGTCGGGCGCGCTACGTCGGGATGTCAGGGTCCCCTGAGCCTGGCCGACCCTCTCTCCGCCTTTTTGGAGCACTGCTGCTGTCTTCGTGTCTTCTGTCTGCGATTCATCTGCGCTGCTCGGTTCGGCTGGCACGACGCGTCGGCTCCACTCGTCCCCGCCCAGCTCTTCCCACCCCTCCTCCTCTTCCGGCCCGGACACAACGGCCAATCGCAATGCCCGCCTCTTCGCACGCCACACTCGCAGCTCAGCTAGAGAACAAGAATCGATTCGCCTCGGTCCGGACATTCAGCACGCAGACTACTACTACTCCAGGCGACTAAGCGGTGACAAGGTTGCTTTCCAGGGCGGGCGAGCAGGTGGCGCACGCGCGCGCCTAGTCGACCAGGGTGACGGCGGCGGCGCCGAGCGCCTGCGTGTTCCTCTCGACGACGCGCGTGGTAAAAATGACCTTGTTGCCCTCCTTCCACATGCTCGTCTCGAGCGTCTCGCCGGGGAAGACGTGGCCCGTGAAGCGCACCTTGATGTCCTTGTACGGGCCATAGGCGCGGAAAATGTGCTTGCCCGAGATGCCAAACGAGCACAGGCCGTGCAGGATGGGCTTGTCAAAGCCGCCCACGGCCGCAAAGCTCGGGTCGACGTGGAGCGGGTTGTAGTCGCCGCTCAGGCGGTACAGGGCCGCCTGGCTGTCGGTCGTCTTCTCGGTCACGACCTTGTCCGCCTTCCTCTGCGGCGGCTTGTTGGCCGCCGAGGCGGCGCCGCGGTCGCGTCCCGTCTTCTTGCCGCCAAAGCCGCCCGAGCCACGGATAAAGACGGTGCTCTGGCTCTCAAAGATGACGTCGCCCGAAGCCTTGTCGAGCGTGTGGGTGATCGAGGTGACGGCGGCCGCCTTGCCCTTGTCGAGCACCTCGAGGATCTTGGGCCGGTTGACGAGCGTCGCGCTCGTCGGAATCTCCTTCTTGATGGCCAGGTACTGCTCGCCGTGGAGCAGCATCATCGGGCTAAAGTTGGGCAGGAAGTCGAGCGGGATGCCGCTCGAGGCGGTAAACTGCGGGATGACGCCAAACGTGGGCACCGCCTTGAACTCGTCGTCCTGCTCAAAGATGAGGTCGAGCTCCTTTTCCGTGGCGCCGACGCCGAGGTTGTAGAGGATGACGTCGCGCTCGCCGTAGGTGAACTCGGACTCTTCGATCTTCTCGCGCTTGGCCGCCTTGACCTCCTCGGGGTCCTCGGGGTCGATGTAGCTGTCGGCGCCGCCGTCGGCCTCGTCGTCGTCCTCCTCGTCCGACTGCTGGCCAAAGTTGGACACGATGTCGCCCAGCGACTCGCTCGGGCTCGTGGGCCAGCTCGGGTTGGTCTCAAAGTCGGTGATCTTGCTCCACCTCTTGACCACCTGCTCGGGGCTCGGCGGCTTGCCGTGGCTGAAGGCGTGGCCGCCGGCGCGCTGCCAGCGGGTGGCGGCGACCCAGCCTCCGGACACCTCAAAGAGCAGCTTGCTGTGCTCGGTGTTGGCCTCGCTGGCCAGGTAGCCGACCATGGGCGCGACAAACTCGGGCTTGAACGCGTCAACCATCTCCTGGGGCCAGATGGTCGAGGTCATGGCGGTGCCGGCGTTGGGCGCGATCGTGTTGGCAAGGATGTTGTACTTGGCACCCTCGATGCCGAGCGTCTGGGTGAGGCCAATGATGCCCGACTTGGCGGTGGCGTAGTTGACCTGGCCAAAGTTGCCGTAGATGCCGACGGCCGACGTCGTGTTGACGATCCTGCCGTACTTCTGCTTCTGGAAGATGGGCCAGGCGGCCTTGCAGACGGCGTAGGTGCCGCGCAGGTGCACGTTGATGACGGCGTGCCACTGGTCGTCGGTCATGGCGGCAAACGACTTGTCGCGCAGGATGCCGGCGTTGTTGATGACGGCGTGGAGGCCGCCAAAGGCGTCGAGCGCCGCCTTGACCACCTTCTCGCCGTCCTCGACCGAGCCGACGGCGGGCGCCGCCTTGCCGCCGGCCTTCTTGATCTCGTCGACGACGGCGGCGGCGTTCTTCTCGGCAAAGTCGTTGACGACAACGTTGGCGCCGAGCTTGCCAAACATGAGGGCATAGGCTCGGCCGAGACCGGCGCCGGCGCCCGTGACGATGACCGTCTTGCCGTCAAAGCGGACGGGGCCCTCGCCCTGGTCGTTGGGCTTGGCCGCCTGGGCGCGCTCAAGGAACTCCATGTGGTTGGCGTCGGTGACCTTCTCGGGGTACGTGGCGCCCTCGTCAAAGTCGAGGATCTCGTCAATCTTGGCGCGGACGGCGGCGGGGGTGAAGGTGTCGTCGGTCTTGAAGACGACGCCGCGGCTGCGCTCGCGTCGGACCATGGCAAAGAAGCCGGCGCCGCACTCAAACACCTGGCCGTTGATGTCCTTGTTCTCGGACGAAACGAGGTAGGTGACGATGGGGACGACGTAGTCGGGCGTGAGGTTCTCGAGCATCTCCGGCGGCATGATGGTCTGGGTGAGCTGGCTGGCGGCGACGGGGGCGAGGGTGTTTGCGAGGATGTTGTACTTTGCGCCCTCGATGCCGAGCGACTTGGAGAAGCTGACCATGGCCATCTTGGCGGCCGAGTAGTTTGCCTGTCCAAAGTTGCCGTAGAGGCCGGCGGCCGAGGCCGTGTTGAGGATCCTGCCGTACTTTTGCTTGCGCATGTGGGGCCAGGCGGCCTTTGCGCAGGCGTACGAGCCGGTGATGTGGACGTCGGTGATCTGGTCCCACTCCTTGTCCGTCATGCCCTTGAACGACTTGTCGCGCAGGATGCCCGCATTGTTGATGAGGATGTCGATGCGGCCCCACTTGTCGACGGCCTGCTGGACAATCTTTGCGCCCTCGACGTTGGAGTCGTAGTTGGCGATGGCCTCTCCGCCGTTGGACTTGATCTGCTCGACGACGAGGTCGGCGGCCTTCTTGCTCTTGTCGTTTGCCGCCGGGCCCAGGTCGTTGACCAGGACCTTTGCGCCGCGCGAGGCAAAGAAGAGGGCGTACCTGGCGGAGGGGGGGAGAGCCACAGCGGCAGTTCGAGACAAGGCGGCCGGGTCAGCATGCCGATCCAGCGCAGCACGCCGCTGCACAGAGGCACAGCGGCAGAAGAGGTGCGAGCTAGTAGTACTCACGCCTTGCCAAGACCGTTTCCGGCACCGGTGACGATGACGACGCGGTTCTTGAGCGAGATCTTGCCGTTCTCTGTGCTAGGGAAGTCGGACATGGTGGGCGACCGTGTATGCGTGTGCCAAGGGGGATTGTGGTGGGAAAATGGACCGAGCCGGGTGGAGGTGTCGAGCGAGGTGGACAGGGGAAGCTCGAGACGAGGGAGGGAGGCGGGATGGTGCGCTGTACGACTTCTCCGGGGACTAGAGGAGACGGAGCTACGTTTGGCTGGATGGAGACGCGGAAAGCAAACGAGGAGCGCAGAGACGGGAGGGGTGTGGTGGATGTAGAGAGGGGGGGTCGGGGGCTGGCGTGGATGCGGGGCAGCAGCAGGAGGGGGGCCCGCTATATACCAGACGCACTGCGGGGTGGCCCAGGCCAGGGCAACCAGCGAAGACGACGATCGAGAGCGAGCGAGGGCCAGGGCCCGGATGAGCCGGCCTCTGCCTGCGCCTGCGCCTGGATGCGGCCGGTAGTCGGGCTAGAATCCAGCAGCACCCGTGCGGCGCTCCCATCCGCCCCTCGGCCCCACCAACGGCAGCCCCCGGGTCTCTGACCCCGCAAAAAAGGCACAAAGGGACAACGGCAGGTCGACGTCGCTTGCTTTGCTTGCGCGCCCGTATGGTCGGCTTGGCTTTCAAGCGGAATGGCGCGAGGGCAAGCGAGGAAGATCCCAGCAAGCCAGGCAAGGCAAGGCCACGCTAAGCCAGCCAGGCAAGCCAGCCAGCCAGCAAGGGAAGGGTGCGTTGCGGGTGACTGGCGAGCGAGGTAGGTGCACCGAGACCCGCCCCCGTCGCCCAGGCATGCCCAACCGGCTTCCGCGAGGGGCCTTGAACCGGTCGGTCTGCAGGGCGGCGTTGGCTTGCGTTGCGCTGCGTTGCGTTGCGTGGATCGGACGGGGGGGCCCTACCTGCTTTCACGCACGAACGACGCCTCGCCTCGCCTCGCCGCTTGGTGCGGCCGTGAAGTCATCCCTGCCGCCCTCGCAAAATCCGACAGCGCTGCAGCCTGTCGTGCGTGAGGGCCCAGAGTCGCGACCACTCGTGCGAGAATGACTTCCCGGCCCACCTTCGGACTGCAGCTCCGAAAGAAGACGGGGGGGCCCCACATCTCTCTGCTCGACGGACGCCAGACCACGCTGGCGCACGACCGGGTTTCGGCAGGATCCTTCTTTCGAGCTCTCTTAAACGTAACTGCGTCGTGTCGTGACGGCCGATACAAAGACGCAATGACAAGGAGCGGATCGCCATCTCGGCCCGGGTCCAGGCCACGGTCAGCGAGCCCAGCAGCAAGCAAAAAGAGTGACGGTCAAGTAGGGACGAGAAGGCAAAGGAGCGACAAGGCAGGAGAGAGGGGGTGTGCGGAGCGGACGAAAGTGACGCTCAGCCGAGTTGGGCTGCGAGCGACCAAGCGCGACGGTGATCTCAGGCTGCAAAGGAATGCGAGCACGAAAATCCAGCAAAGGGGAAGAGCGGGTGCGGGAGCGGGTGCGGGAGCGGGGCAGTGCCGAGCGCCAATCGCATCCACGGCAGGCAGTCTTAGTGGATATACCATCTCATCTTGTCTAGCCGACGGTGCTGCTCTCCGACACGCCAAAGATGAAGCGCCGCGTGGTGGCCTCCTGCAACTCGCCGGGCGAGGGCAGGTCGACGAGGCTGATGCGGTTGCCCCCGTCGCGCGCAAGCCTCGACATGTCCCACTCCTCGGGCACCTCTTCGTCGGCCTCGACTGGAAGACTGTCGGTGCTCACGTCGCCTCGCCGCGCCTCGAACGATGCCGAAGAGCGCGAGACCGACGAGCGCGACGGCGACACGGATCCCTCGGTCGCCTCCTTGGCTTCGACCGGGAGGCTGCTTTGACGGCGGTCGCCGCCACGATCAGCTTCGCGTCGTGCACCACCAGCATCGAGCCTGCCGTCGTCGTCCTCGTCGTCTGCGTCGGTCACGTCGGTCACGTCGGTCGCGTCGGCGCTGGCGAGATCGCCTTCGGCGTCGGCGTCAGCATCGCTGGGCTTGCTCGACGCGAACGAATCGTCCGGACCGCCAAGTCGAGGAGCGCTCGCGAGCACCGGAGACTCGTCCGCGGGCTGCTCCGAAACCGAATTGAGGTTGGTGAGGTGCCGTTGCTGGTGGGCAGGCTTGGTGATCCGGCTGCTAGGAAGGGTGCCGTGGGAAGGCGGGGCGTTCGATCCGCCGGCGGCAGCGGCAGAGGCATCCGACGAAGGCCGTCGCTGGCTCTGGGCCAGCCTAGCCCGGCCGGCCGCCTCGATCGGCGAGGTGACCTCCGGGTCAAAGCTCCGTGTGGCGGCCGTCGGAGTCGCCACGGCCGTGCTCGTGCCCGTGCCGGAGCCCGTGGCCGTCGAAGGCGGCGACCCAAACATGTCCTCGAAGCCCGCCTGAGTCTCGGACATGCCGCTGAGCTCCAGCAGCTGCGGCGTCGCGAGCTGCGAACCGGGCGCCCTTTTGGCGTCGTTGACAAACGACGTCGAGAGCCGGAGGCTCGGCACCGCGCTCCTGGCCAGCCTCTCGCCGGCGGCCAGGTCGAGCTTGAGAATCCTTACGCGCGATTCTTCCTTGGCTAGCTCCAGGCGCAACTGCTTGATCTTCCTCGACAGCGGCAGCGCCGCAGCCTCGATCCGGTCCCGCGTCATCTTCTGGAACGGCGTCAGCACCGCAAAGTGGCGCGCCAGGCGCAGCTCCTCGTCGAGCACGTCGGTCACCTTCTTGAGCGCGACGCCCGTCTCCTCGATCTTCTGCAGCATCAGCTCGCGCCGCGCGGCCAGGCGCTTCTGCAGCAGCGGCATAATGTGCGACGACGAGGCGCGGCTCGAGGCGCGGGAGCGAGAGTCGGGCGAAAGCGACCGGTAGGCCTCGTCGCCCTGCTCGTCGAGTTCCTCGCGGTCCTCGTCCCGGTCCTCGTCGGCGCCCGGTGTCGCAGTCGTCGTCGGGCTCAGGGGTCGGGCTGCTGCGGCGGCCATGGCGGCCGAGCTCCTGGGCCGAGACAGCGTCGAGCCCGAGTCTGGACCGAGCTGCGAGTCGATGTCCGACATCGACGAAAACGTCGAAGAGTGGCTCAGCTTGAAGCCTTCGCTGGCGAAGCTCCTGGCCTCAGAGGCCGCCGACGGCCTCCGCGCCTGGCTGCGACTGTCCCTGCGTCCCAGCGACGATGACGCCGCCGCCTCGGCAAACGACGCGCGGCTCGAAAGGTCCAGGCCGCGGATCTTGAGGTCGCACGTCCGGAAGCACGCGCAGAAGTTGATCTTGTGGATCCAGTCGTTCATGTCGTCCTCGTTCTGCGCCTGGATCAGGTACTGGCGGCCCTTGGACGCCAGCAGGCGGAAGACAAAGTCGTACTTGACGTATGTGTTGTCCTTGACGGCGACCGCATCGGCCAGCGAAATGACGCCGTCGGGCCGGAAGTAGGTGATGCGGGGCGAGATGACGACGCCTCCCTCGACCGGTTCGGCGTCGTCGGGCCCAGACGGCCCGATGCCGTTGGACAGCTGCGAGTGGCCCACCTGGTCGAGGATCTGCGACTGGAGCGCCGTCGTCCACACAATGTCCTTGAACAGCAGCAGCTGCGAGCCGGTGAGAAGCAGTCCGCACGTCTTCCACTTGCGCGAGGCCGCCTTGCGCCCGCCGTCGCCCACGTCGTCCTTGCGGCTGACGACGCCGACCTTGGTGACCTTGAGGCTCACGACCTCGTCCGGCTGCTGCGTCGGCGGCGGCGGCGGCTGGTGCAACTGCATGTGCGCTGCAGCCTCGAGACCGATCCAGTGCGATGGAGGCGGCGCGGCCGGGGCCGCCGCTGTCGCTGCCGACCGCCCAGTGGCGATCTCGATGCTGGGAGCATGTAGGAAGGCGGCGTTGAGGCGGTCGATGTCAAAGCCGGCGAGGGTGCCCGTGTACGAAAACGGCGTGTCCTCGGGGATCAGATGGTCGATGTCGGCGCGCAGCTCTCCGAGCTTGCCCTGCGCGATCAGGTAGTACGGGTCGATCCGGGCGCGGGCCACCTGGCTGGCCGTGGCGCCGGCCGAGTACAGCGACGGTCCGCCGATGCCCGCGCCGTTGCCGCCGCCTGATCCGCCGGGGAAGGCGCTGAGGCCCAGCGCTGCCTCGTTGGCGCGTCGCTGCAGGTCGTCCTTGTCCTCGACGTAGATGAACTGGGTGAAGGTGAGATTGTCGTAGAGGTACTCGAGGATCTCGGTGGGCACGCCGCTCGGCCCGGTGTTGCGGAGATAGTCGGCCTTGGTCATCTTGTGCTTGGCGTTCTTGTTGAAGGCGTCGGTGTGGAGCATCATGAGCGAAAACGACAGGATGTAGGGCTGGTCGTCGGAGGCAAACAGGCCGTCGTTGCACTCGTTGTACCGCTTGGCGAAGGCCTCCATCACACGGTCGATCTGCTGCGTCTCCTTGGGCAGGTGCAGGTCCATGAGCAGCTTGCGCAGCGCAATGTCGAGCGCGTTTCCGTTGAACCAGAAGATGGTCATGTGGTGGCGGAGCGCGGCCGTGTAGAAGGGGTCGGCGCTCGAAGCGAGGACCGCGGCGATCTCGGTCTTGGGCACGGTGTCGGCGATGCGCTCGGCGTACTCTTCCGGACTCTCGTCGCTCAGCGGCGCCGTCTCCTTGGGCGGCCGCTTGGCCACCGCGTTGCCGGGCGAGTCGAGGTCCGTCGCCGAGTCGTGGTTGCGGCTCGACGGCCGACGCTGGAACGACGTGCGCGACGAGCTCGACCTTCGCGTCGAGGATATGCTGGCGCGCCCCGCCGATCGGCTCTCGTCGCCCGAGTCGCGACTGGTTCGAGGCACGTACTCCTCCGGATGCAGGCTCGTGCTGTTGTTCCGAGCCTTGAACTCGCCGCCGGGGCCCGAGGCGGACCCCTTGCGGCTGCCGGTCAAGGCGCGGAAGCTGCTCTTGCGACGCATCCCACCGCCACCTTGGGCTAAAGACTCGCCCGCTGCGATGCCGGCGAGAGCAGCCGCAAACGACTTTGGACCGCTCTCGTGGGCCGGCAGGCCGGCCACCGAGCTCGAGCCATCGTGGCCGAATTCGGGGCTTCGGGCGCCGCTCCGGCCGCCGCCCGGCGTTGCGCTGCCCGCCCCGGCGTTGGAGGATGTGCGGGTCCGACCAAAGCCAAAGGTGGGCAGGAGGGACGATGTCCTCTGTCGCGGAGCCCCTCCGCCGCCAAAGAGGTTGGCCGCTCCACCGCTCGACTCGAGCCTCGAGGGCGAAAAGCCGCGCCGGTCCACGGCGTCACCAGACGCTCGATCTGCGCCGTAAGCATCTGACGAGGCCCGCCCGTAGTTCGAGCCGCCGCGGCCGCCAACGTTGCGCACGTCGATCGATGCGATCGAGTTGCTCCGTCCACGAGGTTCGCGATCGCCGCTCGCGGTCAGCTCGTTGGGCGCACGGGGGACGTCGTGGGAGAGCCTGCCGACGTCTCCGATGCTGTTGCCCCGCTGGGGCCTCGACACGTCGAGGGTCTTGGCGCTGGTGTCGAGCATCTCGAATTCGATCGAGTCGGTCGGCGAGGCGAGCAGGTCGTAGGAAGCGGCCCGCTGACTCGGCTCGGCCGCCTGAGGGTCCTGCAGGCTCGGGACCGGATGCGCACTCATGTCGCCACCGGCGGTGCGTGGTCGCCGGAAGAGGCGCTGCCCGAACATCGACGAACTCGAGGCGCTGCGCGAGCGATTCTGCGAGGGCGAGACCGGAGCGGCGGCTGCGGCCGTCAGCGATGCGCCGCTCGCCTTGGAAGGGGCAGGTATGCCGAGCGATGGGCGGCGCGCCTGCAAGGCCGAAGACGAAGTGGCAGCCTCTTCGGGTTCAGGCGGGCGGTCGGCGGCTGTGCGTCCATGGCTAGGTTCCGTCCCCTCGGCCTCTTTTGCCGCTGCCTTGAGGTTGGTGTGTGACTTTGTGCGCCGCGCTGCCGACTCCAGATCCTGGCTTGCGGCGTCGACGTCCCCGGGTGCTTTCTTGGAGGTCTTGGACGAGCCTGCCCTCTGTGAACCTTTGCGGCTGGCCTGCGGGCCGGAACCGGACCAGGCGCTCTTGACACTCTTGGACTCATCGCTCGCAATCGACCGCGAGCTGGCGCTGGCCCGCCTGCCGGTCGGGCGGCTGCTGCGCGATCCGATGCCACCATCGACCGAGGTCAGCGGGGCGACGTAGAAGGGCGACACGTAGCCGCCCATGCTCGGGCCTGCGGGCGCTGCCGAAAACGTGCCTTTGACCGCGGCCCGAGAGGCTTTTGGCGAGACACTCAGCGCGCTCCTCTTGGCCTCTGAGCTTCCGGCGGTGGATCGGCCCGACTCGGCGCGCGAAAGGTTCGACATACCGCTCCGGTGGTCGGCAGAGCCGCGGCGACCTGAGGGCGCCTTGCCCTTGTGCCGTGCCACGGCGTGCTCGGTGTCCTCCTCCTTGCCTTTCCTCTTTGGCGCCGAGCGGTCTGGCTGCCGCGATGCGGGCTTCTGAATGTCCGGGCCGTCTTCATCAGACGACGAGCGGTAAGCGTCCGCGTACATGGCGGCGGCCGTTTTGTGGACCTTGGCACGGCCGTTGCCGCCGGGGGTGGCGGCGTCCATCTTGAGGAACTCTGTCAATGCCGACGGGACAGCGTCCTCGCGCGTCGCACCCTTGGCAACCAGCCTCGGCCGGTTGGGGTTTCTCATGGGGCTCGGTCTGGCGTCCTCGGTGGGGCTCTCGACGGTGGGCAGCCCCGACGACAGCGGTTTATGCAGCGGTTCGCCTATAGGTGGGGCCAAGCCCGGCTTTGACTCGGAGCTCGCGCCCGCCACGGCCGGCGACACGGTGCCGATGGCGGTGCTGGGCCGGTGCAGGTCGAGGCTGCTCGACGAGAGGTTGCGCGGGGACGCGCGGTCGTCGCCGGCGGCTTGTTGGTCTGCGATCGAGCCCATGGTGATGGCCGAGGCGAGAAAGGCCAGCGACCTTCGACGCGCGCTAGACGACGACGAATCGATCGAGGACTGCTTCATGTGGCGGTGAACGCTGGATCGCGATAGCGGCGTCGATGGAGATGGCTGGTTGCGGCCGGGGATCGGCGTCGTATCCACACGCAGGCCGCCGGCCTCGGAGGGCGAGGTGGCATAGGCCGGTTGCGGCTCCGGGAGGGATGGGATGGGTCTCTCTCGTTCGTCCGAAGGCAGAGCGGGCAGCGCTGCTCCTTCTGGGCCGAGCTTGGCGCCGGCAGCTGCGGGTCGGGGGTGGCCGATCCAGGCTCGTCGAACGACGCTTCTTCGCGCCTGTGCACTTGCGATGGCCGGCTGCCGTCATCTGCAGTCCGGCGTGCGTCGAGGGCGACCGCGGCGGCGGAAGGCGGGGGGGGAGGCGGCAGCGGTGGTGGCGGCGGTGGCGGGCCCATCTTTGGCGATACGACCATGAGCGGAGCATCGTCAATCGATGCGGCCCGCTGCTGCTGCAGCACATTCTGGCTGGCAGTCCGCCTGATTTGTCGAATAGCGGGCGAGACGTTGCGAGCCGTCGAGGCGCTCGAGCCATCCACTGGGCTCGCGGGCTTCCCGTCGCCGCTCTGCTTGCCCTTGCGGCGGAACAGCTTTGCAAAGGCCGAGGTCCGCGGCGCCGACGACGCGTCGCTGTCCATTGCCTGCTCCTGTTCAATGCTCATGGCGACGACGTCCTGCGAAGGCCGACCGACGTCCGGATGCAAGCGCTGCGAGCCAGACGAGGCCGTCCGCGAAGACCGCGCTAGGTCGACTTCGGAGTTCGCCAGGCCAGAGCGTCCCAAGGGGGCGAGGCTGCCCTTCCTGCTCATCGCCTCGCGCCGATCGTCGCGAAGGCCGTCCTTGCCGCTCCGCGAGCGCTCGCGCTCAGGGTTCCAGCCGTAGCCGCGACCCTGTTCGAACTCGGAAACGTCGGACGAGCTCGGTGGATCCCCGAGTCCGAGTCCGATCAGACGGCCCTCACGGCCGTCGTCGGGGCCCAGGCCGCCGTGTGGCTCCGCGATGCGCTGTCCGTTGACCGCAGAGGTGCGCGGACGAAGTGCTGCGCTCGGCGCGGTCCTCGACACGCCGCTTGCGGAGTCTCGCCGCGGTCCCAGGTCGGCAAACGTCAACGACTGCTCCGAGCTCTTTCGGCTCGGGCCGAAAGTAGACGAAGGCTGACCGGACCAGCTGGCCTGCTTCGTCACTTCTCCGGACGAGAACGACGCGGGACCGACAAACGCGTCCGATGCGCCTGGGCCCGTCGGGCTGCCGCCGGACTGTCCGAGGCCGACGAGGCGCTTGACCGAGCTCTGCTTTGGCCGATGACCGATGATGGCTCCGCTGCTCGACGCCGGCGTCAGGGGCGACGACGGGACCGGAGAGTTGGACTGCGACTGCTGCGAACGGGCCTGCGGCGAAGAGGCGGGCAGGTGCGGGAGCGAAGGTCGCTGCGACAGCGACGATCGCGAGGCAGCCGCGGCGGCGAAAAACGTGCTGTAGACCTTGGGGCCCCGGTCCTGCGCGTCCGCCCAGATCTCCTCGGTGCCCTCGTCGTCCGTCAGGAAGCGGTTCGACGTGCCCTCGGTGCTGAACGATGACCTCGGCAGGTCGACGTAGTTTGTGCCGCTGCTCGAATGCTTCCGGGAGCGCACCGAGCCCGAACGTCCGTCGGCCGACGCCCTGCCGTAAAAGTTGGCTATCGACTCGGCGCCGCGTGCGCTTCCCGAGGCTTCAGCCTTGTCGTGCCGCGCCATGACTGTCTCTGAGTGCGACGATGCAGTGCAGGAGGGACAATGAAGGCGAGGTTTTGTTTTCAGCCCGACGGCTCGTGTCCACATATCCGCAGACGTACCACCTGCCGCTCCAGCAGCACCGGGTGCGTCCGAGGTGATCGAGGCTGATTCAAACACTCACGGCGACGTGATCACGGTGGGCCTGCCAAGTACAGGTGACGGAACCGGCTACGAGGCGCAGTCCGGTTCCTCGACTTGATGCGCGGAAGCAGGCAGATGGGCTGCTGCGGGGCTCTGCCGAGGTATTTGAGCGGCGATGCTGAGAGCCAATGGGTTTGAAAGGAGGATCGAAGGCAGGACGAAGGCCATGGGTGACAGCCAGCGAAGATGGCGGGGCGGACCGCCAAGCAATACGCGCCCAGGCCAGTGACCGGGGAAGGGGTGCAGGCCCTCAGAGGGGGCGGTAGCCGTGCGGAATCGCTCGCGGCTTGGTCGACTGTTGACCGAAGTCGGGGCTCCACGAGATCCTCGAGGCCACTAGAAGCGTGCTGGGGCAGGATCGAGCCCGCGAGTTTCGGTCGAGGGACGCAAGACTGTTTCCGCACTCTGCTGAGCGGGCCCCTTGACTGGTGCCGAGTCCTTTCAGGGGAGCGATGGAGGGGTCGATGCTGGCGGTCCGTGATGCGAGCGTCCGAGCTGGTCCGCGTCCAGTCGAGGTCCTGGTCGTGCGAGCGAGACTGGGTCGCAGAGAGCTGCACGGGTCGGGTGCAGATCAGCAGCGCTGGAGAAGGATGCCGCCGTCCGACGATTGCCGTGGCTGGTGGGTCAGCAGCTGGGATTGCTAGCAGGTCCGATGCGGTGACGGTTGGGGAGTCGAGGACAAGGTCAGGGACGATATGAGCCGGCGACAGTGGGAGAGACAGGGATCGAGTGCATCGAGCGTCGATGCGAAGGACCGAATGGAATGGACAGGCGGCGCAAAGTGTCGAAGGTGGAAGCCGCACGGGCTGCGCCAACCCTGTCAGGAGAGAGAGAGAGCCAGGTATCCGGGTGAGACGAGAGCAGAGCGACGGTTCGATGCCTATGGGCGGGAGGTAGGAGGGGCGAAAGATGGTGGTGGAGAAGCGTCGACGTTCGGACCAGATGCAGGAGGCAGAGGGAGGAGGAAGGGCCGCCAAAGACGAGCAAGAGCAGGTAGGCTGAGACCAGTAGGGAGGGAGAGCGAGGTGCAACACCGCACCAACGCACGCACACGCACACACACGCACGCACGCACCGCCGGCCAGCCCTCCAGCCCTCCAGCCCTCCAGCCAGCCAGCCAGCCAGCCAGCCAGCCCCCAGCCAGCACAACGGCCGGGCCCGACCCGCTTGGGCAAGGCCAGGCCAGGCCAGGCCTGTCCCTCGCCCTCGCCCGCGGCCCCTGCTGGACAGGCCTGCCTGGCCTCGCCCACGCTTCGCCCGACTTCGGATTTTTTGGCCGTGCGCTGTCTTGATTTTTTGGCACAAAGCCCTCGGCCTCACCTCTTTCCCCACACACGCATCTTGTCGCGTTCTCCGATTGCTCAAGTCAAGCATGCATCAGCGATTCCCGGTCATCGCAAGGCAACCGGCAGCCCGGTGCGGTGCGGTGCGCTACGGCGGCCACCTCGACACACCTGCGAGGCGCGAGGCAAGGCGTATGAAGGTAGGCGGCGTGGCTTCACGAGGGCGAGCTCTCGGTCCATCGAAGATCCGATTCGTGTTTCTTCTCTCGCAGCGCAGCAAGCAGGGCTTAGAGGCTCAAGCCGCCCATGTAGCCACATGAGGCGCGGTCCCAGCCGGCGCGCGCTTCCGGCGGCGGACGAGTAGACCTGGGTCACCATGCCCGGCAGCGTTCGGAGGAGCAGGGTCGAGGTGGCCTCGAGGACCTCCATCGAGTCCGCTTTGTCGTGGCGACCAGGCCGCACGGTGGGGGTTAGCGACGGCCGTTGTCGTTTGTCGTCGAAGTTGGGATTTTCACCTCGATTTCCGTGCCCGTTTTCTTCGCTGGGCGCGCTGTCCCGCGGGCTGGCCAGTCCAGGCCACGTTGGGACGAGGCAAACCTACCTAGCCTGCTGCCGAACGTACGCCTCTTCTCGGCAGGCTGGAAAGGGAGATATGCCTGACCTGGCCTGGCCTGGCCTCGCAACGGCTACACGCGGCCGGGCCCGTCTGCGATCGTAGGCAGGCAGGGCCGCTGGCGCCAGCTTTTAGCCTGGCGGGCCAAGTTGCCGAGATCAGCTGCCATTCCAACGTAACGTGCACGCCGACGGCATGGCATGGCATGGCGTGGCATGGCATGGCATGGCAGAGGTCGAGCTGCACAAGTCCAGCCTATCCTATCGCCAAGCAGGAAGCCAGAGAGCGATGGAAGCGAAGGCAGGCGGGCACGCTGGGCGTTTGCAGATTGACCGATCCAGGCAGCACGGACCACCACCCCGGCCTCTTCGGCTGCCATCGACCCAGGCCCCCAAGGCTGTCCCCGCATCTCTCTGTTCTGTGCAGTCGGCCAGGCAGCGGGCGGCAGCAGCACGAGTCCCTACGCCTCGCTCGCTCTTTCCCTTGCGTTGGCAGATTTGTCGGGCACCGTACGGGTCCGGGGCAGCGGACGGGGAAGGGGGGAGGGGAAGGGGAGGGGGGGGCATGCATTCAAACAGGGCAATAAAGGCAGAGGCGGAAGGGCAATGGGGACGGGGATGAAAAGCACGACGGGGCGCGCGTGCAAAGTGCGGAGCGGCATCAGGGTGAGAGAGGCCATCCGGGGTATAACGGACCTGCAGAGCGAGAAAGGACGCAACAGTGGCGGGCAGAAAGGGGACGACGACGAGACGAGACGAGGAACAAGGGGCAGATCGGCAGGCAAGCTGGACCCGGCCTAGCCCCGTGGCAGGGCAGACAGCCCGGTCAGGTCGTAGCGGCCTGCTGCGTCCTCGGCGGCGACAGCGGCTGCTGCTGCTGCTGACCCTGGGACGGCGCCCTCTCTCGGCCCGTCCTCGCAGCGGCGAAGAAACCTCCTCCCTCGCCGCCCGCCGCAGCACCGGCAGCAGCAGCATCACCGGCCCCCGGCGTCGCCGCAAAGGGTGTCGTCGCAGCTGCTCCGCCCGCCGCGCCGGGAGAGCCCATCGCCTGCTGCGTGCCCGAGGCGACAGCACCGTTCTGCTGAGCCGAGATGGTGGCGGAGCTGGCCGTGCTGGGGTTCTTGGTCAACGAGGGCGGCGCGGCTGCCGCAGGTGCGGCACCACTGCTGCTGCCTCCGATGCCGCCGGACGTCGTGCCGCTCGGCGTGGCCGCCTGCCCCTGCGGCTGGGAATGAGACTGGGTCGACCCGGCATTGGCGCCGGCGCTTGCGTTACGCTGGCGGTTGATGAGCGTCTTGAGGGCGCTCAGCCACTTGATCTCCTCTTCCTCGCTCGGCGCGCAGAGCAGGTAGGTCCGCTTCGGGCTGATGACCTTGAAGCAGTTCTCCTTCTTCTTCTTGGACCCGCCCATGCCCATGCCCATGCCCACGTTGGCGCCGACGTTGCTCGCCACGCCGGCCGCCGCCGCCACCATGCTCGGACGGCGCTCCGGCATCATCCTCTCCGGCTGCTGAGGTTGCGCGCCCGCAGCGCCCACCAGACCCGTGGCGGCCGTGCCCTCCGGCCCGCTGCCACCTTCTTGCCCGGGCGTGGGGCCGCCGCCGCCGCCCGCCGCAAACGAGCCGAGCCCGAAGGGCATCGTCGCCGACGAGCCAAGGCTTGGACTCGACGGGCTGGCCACGGGCAGCTTCTTGGACTCGTACTCGATGGCGTCGAGCATCGACGAGATCGGGATCCGCCGGTGCGCCTTGGCATCCATGTGGCTGCGCGTGTACATCAGGCTCGAGCCCGTCAGGATGAACCAGCGCTTCCGCCAGACCTTGCGCCGGCTGCTCTGCTTCATGAGGTAGCCCTGGGTGATGACCTTGTTCGGGTCGCGCAGAAAGTCGCTGTTGACGGGCGAAGCCACGCCGCCGGCCGCTGGCTGCTGTTGCTGCTGCTGCGTCTGGGACGGCTGAGGCGGATACGCCGCCTGCTGGCCGGTTCCGGCGATGCCGCCATCGTTGTGGCCCGGCAGGGGCATCGCGCGATCTCCGGCCTCGTCCTCGTCCCAGTCGTCCTCCTCCTCTGAGCTGCTGAGCACGTTGGCCTGTCCCTGTCCCTGGCCGTGACCCTGACCCTGACTCTGGCCCTGCGAAGATGGGCCGGGGCTCGCTGGGGGTTCCTTGCTGCGGCCGGCACTGATGCTCCTCTGACGAGGGAAGCTGCCAAAGCCGTGGGATCCGCGCCCCTGAAAGTGACCTTGCTCGCTGGCATCGCTGCCCGAGTAGTGGCCGCCGGGCGAGTGGCCGCCGGAGAGGAAGCCGGGCGCAGGGTGGTCGAACCTGCCAGGGCTGCCCGCCATCGACTGGCCCGTCGAGCTCGTGTAGCTCAGCCCGAAGCGCTCAGCGCCAATGTCGCTCTCGCTCGTCACCGTCAGCGGGCTGAAGGCGTTGCTGCCCGGGATGGGTCGCGGCTGGGCCGGCGCGACATAAGAGCCTTTGCCAGGGATGTGGATGCTGATTGGCCTGGCTCCACTGCCGCCGGCCGTCTTGCTGCGGTCCTGCGACTCGGAGCGCTGCGGCGAGACGGCCGACGTCGCCGTCGCCGTCGCTGTCGGCGTCGATGCGTCCTGACCCAGGTCGACGGCCGCTATTTCGGAGGTCAGGGTGTTGCGCTGGGCATATTGCACCTTGACATCGTTGAGCGCCGCGATCCAGGCCTCCATCTCGTGGCGCGAGCTCGCCTTGACGTAGAAGGTGCGCTTGGGCGTGACGATGCCAAAGGTGTTTTCATTCTTCTTGAGCTCGACCGAGGCGACAGTCTTGATGTCGCCGACGTCGATGAAGCGGAGCAGCTGGTACTCTTTGTCGTTCTTGTAGTAAGCCAGCTTCGAAGAGCGCAGCACAAACCACCGCTTCTTCCACGTCTGCGGCCACGGCGAGGGAGGGAGAGGTCGATGTGCTCAACACCTACATCTGCGAGAAACGCCAGCACTGCCTTCACAGTCGTAGCGACATCAACGACCGGCGAGGCGCACGCTACCCACCTTTCGCTTCTCTCCGCGCTTGGCGAGGTAGCCGGACTTGACGGTGGTCTCATTGAGCAGCTCGTTGCCGGTGTCGTGTCCCTCGATCGTCTCGCCGTCGTCGTCGTCGTCGTCGCCGTCACCCTCGCCGTCGCCCTCGTGCTCGTCGCCTTCATCGTCCCGGTAGCCCTGGGCGAGCGGGCGGGACTCGGCGGAGGGACCACCATCGGTCCATGGCTGCGAGCTCGGATGCGGCTGCGGAGGCGCCGCGGTGAAGCCGGTCGTGACCATGCCGGAACGGAGATGGAGGTGTCACCGCTGCTCACCGACCGCCAAGCCGGGCAGAGAAGGGCAGGGAGGGGATGATGACGAGCGCTGATTGCCGGTTCGAGAAAGGAGGCGGGAGACGTAGCGCCACCGCACCGACGACCGTATAAGGCCTGGACCGAACGACCAGATCGGCAAGCCCCTGAGGCAGGAGAGAGTCGTTGAGAGCAGACACGACGAGCGGGTATCTGCGGCTTGCTCTCGACCAGAAGGTTGGCGCTTCGGATGTGGGCTGCTGTGAGCCGGCCTCCGCTCGAGATGGCCGCAGATTGGGCGTGGGTGCGTGGGCGCGTGCGTGGTCGAGAGCAGATGGAGCGGGCGTCGTGGAGGACCGTCGGGGTGGCCGTTCGTCCTAGTTGTGAGGAGATGCTGGTGGAATCGAGAGAAAGGTGCAGCGAGCGGTGGCGACAAGGGCGTTGGTCGGAACGAGGCGGGGGTAAATTAGGTGGAGTGCGGCCGGTTGGGAGCGAGCAGCCACGACGACGACGTCCCGACTCTGCCAGACAGACCGACAGACGGACGGAAAGCAGCGCCGAGGCCAGGCCAGGCCAGGGCAGGCCAGCCTCGCCCATGCCTTTTGCCCTGCCGCACGGCACGGCACGGCACGCAGCTTCCTGCTCCGCCGCCGGGTGGGCCAGGCCACGCCAGGCCAACGCCAGGCCACGCCAAATCGCCCGCTGGCTCCCTCGCCTCGCCTTTCGTCACCGCGCGTGGCCGACGGGCCTGGCGTGGCCTGGCGTGGCCTGGCCTGGGCTTGACGCACGCGGCACACGGATCCGAAAAAGGAAAACAGACGGGGCGCCCCTCGGGACGATCCTCGACGGGCGAGCGAAGCAACATACGGGTGCGCATTACGGCTGCTCGACGCACCAGCGCGACTGGCAGAGAAGACAAGGTGTAGTCAGGAAGTGGCGTGGACGTGGTACCTAGAATAGTTGAAACAGGGGCAGACTGGTAGAGAGGTAGAGTAGCGGTAGTGGTACAGTTAGCGAGAAAGAGAGGGACAAGGGAAAGAGAGAGGACGAGGAGGGGCAGCAGGGGCAGGGGCAGGGGCAGGGACAGGCCAGGGGCAGGCCAGGCCCAGGGGCAGCGCCGCCTTTGACCACCTACGTGGCAGCACCACGTCCCGGTGCGGGCCAGCCTGGCAGCACCCGCAAACAAAGGGTATACGGACAGAGCGTGCGCGCTCAGGGCCGACGGCAGGCGCTCCTGCGACCAGCATCGACGCCCTCAGGAACGGCTGGTGGCTGGTTCCGGCGTCGCCTCAACTGCCGTTGCCGCGGTTGTCGTCGTCGTTGTCGTCGTCGTCGTCGTGGTGGTGGCCCTGCTCCGCCGGCCGGCGCTGGAGGAGGGGCTGATTGCCAAACGACGAGCTGCGGCCCGAGTGGCTCGGCCTGCGCGGCGCAGCAAACGTCCCGCCGTCAAAGCGCGTGACGCCACCGCCGGCCGATGTCGACGGACGGCGAGCCAGGCCGGCTCGCAGCGAGGCGGCGGGGCCCTGCAGTCCAGAGTCGCCGATGTCGAGGTCGTGGTCGTCGGCCGAAGTCAGGCGGCGATCCTCCTCGCCGTACTCGTACGCGCTGGCATTTTGGGCCCTCCGCCACCTTTCGATGCCCATCCTCTGCTCCTCTTCCCGGTCATGGTTAAACCGCGTGCCAAGGCTTTCGGACCGCCGCCCAGACGCTTCGGCGCCGCCAGTGACTGGCCGCGACCAAGACGGGGTTCGGCGTTCCAGCGCATCCATCAGGCTCGGCCTTCGCGCGTCGCCGTCGGCCCGCTGCATGATGCCCCCGCGCCCAGCCGATGGCCCGGTCGGCGCACCGGTCAGCGTGCTCTTCAGCCGGGGCAGCATGGCTTCGCCCGACGAAGCCACGCCGGTACCTTCGCCGTCCCGCAGGGCACCGCCTCGCGATAGCGGCCGCAGACCGCCGCCAAAGGCTTCGGCTGCCCCGCCGCTGGAGCCGAGGCGCGTGAGCACATCGTGGGAGCTCGAGCCGGGGCGTCTCCTCGCCAGACCGGCGACACTGCCGGGGCGCTCGCTCCCCCGCCTGCCCAGCGGGCCAGGCTGAAGAGGGCCGCTCTCCTTCGGAAGCGGCGGCGGCTGAAACATAAAGGGCGAGGCGTTGCTCGGCGGGCTGGTCCGCAGGTCCGAGCCCACCGTGTTGAGTCGGCCCGAGAGGCCCGTCAGGCCAGGACCCCCGGCCGACTTTGGTCTGCTGGTGCTGACACGTGACAGCGTCATTTGCAGCTCGGGCGAAGGGCGGCCAGAGCTTGGGCGGGCACCCCCTTCTCGCGGAATCGCCGATCCTCTGCGACTCTCAAGACCGGCTAGCGTGGTCGACAGGGGCGGCAGCGCTGCAGCGGACGGCCCGCCGCGCGACAGCGGCCGCAGTTTTGGCCCGAGCGAGGCGCCCGACGTCGTCGGCCGCCGCTCGCCGGATATGTTGAACTCGGCCAAGCCGGCAGACGAGCCGAGTCGCGCCGGCGGACCCGACGGTGGCGCATCGGGTCCGATGGGCCCGCCTTCGAGACCATAACTCGTGCGCGAGCCCGCTCGGAGCGAAGAGAGGGCAAGCTGCGGCTTGGCGAGCGACGAAGAGGCAGTCCCCGGCCTCCCGAGCCCACCTGGGCCGGTGGCTGGGCTGCTGGAAGGGCGTCGGAAATCGCTTGGCCGGCCTTCGCCGTCCGAAAGGTTGGCAGAGGCATTCAAGAGGTGCTGATCGATGCTGGGAAGCTGCGACGGAGGAGCGACAGCCAGCGAGCCGGATCGGCTCGGCGGTGGCAGCAGCCCAGAGATGCCTCCGGCCGCAGTGCCCGGCCGGCTGGCCGACGGCGTCAGGGAAGAGAGCGGAGGCAGGACGGGCCGGTCGTGGGGCGTGATGGGTCGGTTGCCATGCGAGCTGATGGGCCGGATGCCGTGGGAGCTGCCCGACGGAGGAAGCGCCGGGAAGGATCCCACATCCGTCGAGCCACGCGGGCCTTGCCTCGACGGAGGTCCCTGGCTCGGACTGACGGGACGCAGCGACGTCGAGGTGCGCTTGGAGAGCGTGGGCGTCCGCATGTGCAGGTGGGCTGACAGCGTGCTCTCGAAGCTGGACTTTGGCAGCTCGTGGCGGCGGAGGTGGTGGTGGCCGTCGGACGTAGATGCGTAGAACGGGCCGCCGAAGGGTGTCGAGTCGTCGCCGCCAAAGGCGTCCAGCCCGCTGCTGCTGCGCCTCCAGAATGGGTTGGTGAAGGACGGCGTGAGCGCCGCCGGATCCCTCGACTCCAGGCCATAGCCGAGGTCCTGGCCGTACTGGCCTGCTCCCAGCATCCTGGCCTCGAGCGCCGACGCATCCAAGCCTGGCTCTTCGGTCCGGGATCTGCGTCGCCAGCTCCTGCCTCCCTGGAAACCGTTGCTGACGTCGACGCCGCCGCCCAAGCCGTCGAGCCCGGCCGTCCCGAACAGCGACCCTTCCTCCTGCTTCAGCGCCGCTGGATGCACGCCCTCGCCGTAGCCCGGCTGCTGGTCCTGATAGAGCGAAGCGGCCTGCGGCCCGGCAAGCGCGCCGGCGCCGTAGAGGTTGCCCCTGGCATACTGGACGTCTGAGTCTGCATTTTGGCGATGGTCGACCCCAACCGCATCGGGGCCAGCCTGCGGAAGATAGCCGCCGGGCCGATTCGTGCCATCGAGCATGTGGGTCCCGGAGTCGTCTGGCTGGTCGAGCTGCGAACGCCGCGCAAAGGCCGAGGCCGAATTGGGGTCGTGATCGATCGAAGCGACAGAAGGGTCGGGCGCGCTGCCGGCCCGATGGCGGTCACCGTCGCCCGCCAGCTGGTCGTAGCCATAGTAGCCCGGCTGCGTCGCGAAGTTGTCGCCGGCGACGTTGACGTTCGATGTTGGGGGAGCCGAGAGCTGGCCATGGCCGAGGCTCGACATTGCGCCGGTGGGCGCCGCAGCCAGCTGGCTCGGGAAAGCCGCGGCCGTCGTACCCGCGGCGCCCGAGTACTCAAAGTAGCTCCCGCCGCCACTGTAGCGCTGACCGTCGACGGAGTCGGAGCGGCGTGGCTGGAGCGCAGCATAGTGCGAGTGCGATTGCTCCACGAACGAGGGCGAGTCGGCCGGCAGCGAGGCTGCATGCGGGGTCTCGAAACCGGGAGATGGATAGGCGGCCATGCCGGGCCCGAGGCCGCTGTTTGGGACGATGCCGCCACCGAATTGCATTGCGGCGTTGCCGTAGCCCGCCGGATACGGTATCCCGCCTGGCGCCAGCTGCTTCGGGTCAGACGGGACCGCAGTGCCATCCGCGTGGGCGGGACCTCCGCTGGACGGTTCCTCTGACCGATCGCCGTCCCGGCCCGCGCCCTTGCCGGCGGCGCGGGCGCTCGGAGCGGACTTGGCGCTGTTCTTCGCCTTTCTGCCGCTCTGATTGTGGGTGGCGATCAGGGCGCCAGGCGAGCTGCTCTTGCCCAGCACCTGCGCCTTGGCGTGCTGCATCTGGGCCGCCGACTGCGCCAGCGACGTGTGCAGCGCGGTCAGCTCTTGCATCATGGTCTCGTTCCGGTCCGGCGTGTCGGCATGGACGGTCTGCGCGTGCTGTCGGAGGTTATCGAGGCGCGAGAAGGCCTTGCCGCAGTGGCATCGGAACGGACGTTCTCCCGTGTGCTTCCTGCGAACGACGAAGAGAACATGGGCGCAGCGCGCACGGAGCGTCAGAGTGAGCGATAGGGGCCAGGGCAGCGAAGTCAGCAAGGCTTGTCGTGCCACGTGCAGAGGTGTGCCCTCCAGTGCACCTCTCGACATCGGCTGTCGCATTGAGGCGCCTGAACACCAAAATCGCAGGCGGCAGCGCTTCGCAGAAACTCACCTGACATGACGAGCGAGGTGCTCGCTGCGCGTAAAGACCATCTTGCAGTCGCCAAAGCCGCGACACTGGAACATGGTCACGTTGCCGCTGCCGTTGCCGCTGTCCGACTTTCCGCTGCCGCCGTGGTCTGGCGACTCGCCCTCTTTGGTGCCATTGGCGCCGTCCGCCTGCTCCGACGTCGAGTCTGCCGCACGCCGCGGGCGCTTGCCCTTGGGCTGTTGGGCCCCGCCGTCGTCTTCGATAGGCCTCCTGCTGCCGGCCTGAAACTGCGAGACGGCCTGCTCGCTGCTGTAGCTCCGATCATAGGCTGGCTTGGCGTACCTTGCCGCGTCCAGCGTCGACGGCGGCGGGTGCGGAACCTGCGAGGCGATGCTGCCGTGCGCCGACGGAAAGGCCGCCTGTTGCATCGCGGGGGCGTCGGAGAATGACGACACGGCACGCTGTTGCGGCTGCGCGTGCTGCGGTGACCGTTGCTGCTGTTGTTGAAAGTGCTGCATTTGCTGCATCTGCTGCTGCTGCTGCTGATGATGATGATGGTGCTGATGGCCCTGCTGACCATAGTGATTGCCGAAATGCTGAATGGGCGGGTGCAGATCCGCAGGCGAGTGCAGCGGCGCGTGTCCAGCTTGTCCGTACTGCAACGCCTGCGACGACATGCCACCCGCCTGCGGATATGGACCGAGGCCCTGGTGCGACGTAGGGTACCCTCCATTGGACCTAGGCTCCATCTGGTGCTGGCCATTGTGTAGATAGTCACCCCGGCCGTCGCCTCCGATGCCGTTGTGCGACGTTTCAGAGGGCAGTAGATCGCCATGCGTCGGCAGATGCTGTCCAGACTGGATGCCACTGCCGTCGACATAGCCCTGTGCGCCAGCCCGCTGATGGTGTGCGAGCGATGGCGGGTAGCCGCCTTTGCCGTCGGTGGTCGCCGGGTGGCCGTAGATGAAGGGAGACGCTTGCGGAGACATGCCACCGTCTACGTACGGGACTGGAGCGTGTATGGGGGGTGGGCCGCCCCGGGCATGGTCGCCGGTGTGGACTCGCGCGCGCTGCGCCATCGACCGCGCTCGAGGGCCCGCCGGACTGCGCGCTCAGCGGCCGATGCGTTCGGGACAGCGCGATTGCGGACACCGTTGGAAGCTTTTGGCGCCGTCAGTCGACCCGAGCTGGTCGCACGGCATACGTTTCTGGGGCGAGCAAGGTCAAGGCGAGGGAGACGCCTCCAAGCTGGACGGGCGCGAGGGAATCCTGCCTGAAATAGTGGCCGAAGATGTTGAGCTTCGAGGTTCCAGCGGGAGGCTCCGGCGAGTGGCGTCGAAGCACCGGATGAGCACTGCGACAGCGCAGCGCGACTGAGCCGAATGCGATTGTTGGCGGCGAAAGTGCAAAGGGCGTGCCGACGGCTCCGAGTTCGGAGCGCAGCTGAGCTTCAGCGTCTCGCCAGCCTTGTCAGGGTGGGGAGGAGCGGGTGCCGTGGCGGTCGATCGGAGCCCGTGGTGGCTGCTGACGTGCGCGACGGCGTTTCGTCGGGCAGTCAAATCAGGAGCAGCAGCCTGGCGTGAAGTATGTCGGCGTGACGATGGGCGGTCGGAGGCCACAGAGTGAGCCGTTGAGACGAGGAAGCAGTTCGAGGGTCACGCCGGCTAGGGTCTCGGGCGACTTGTCACGGAGCAAGCTCCAAAGTGTCGAGAAACTAGCAAGAGCAGGCGGCAGGCGTGGCGAAGGACGGCATAAACGAAGTCGTGTGTGAGCACGGAGCAGGCGGGCAGCGAAGGCCAAGGGGCGAAGAGCAGCCGCTCAAGGTGAATGCGGACTGGATGGTCGGGCACCGGGCCAGCTGAAAGTCAAAGGCTTGGGTGAAGCACAGAAGGAGCGGACGTAGGGCAAGAAGACGAGGATAAGACGGGATGACTCGCTTCGGAGATGCTGGTGGCGGCCACGATGACGGCAGGGACGACGATGGGGCGTGGGCGGACTGCGAAGGTGCCGACGATTGGTGGTTGTGGGGTTGGAGGCGAGTCGAGGAGCGTGCCGGCTGGGGAAGCGCTGCGTGGCCTGCAGGTAGGCTGCTGCCCAGTGGTCGTTGTGGTTGTGGCGTCGGTGGCTGCGACGATGGTGGTAGTGTTGGTGGTGGTGGTGGTGGTGGTGGTGGTGGTGGTGGTGGTGCTGGTGCTGGTGGCGGTGGTGATGGGAGGTGGTGGGCGGTGGTGGGCGGTGATGGTGGCCTTGGCTGCAGAGCCGGTGCTGCCCCAGGCACCGACAGGCTGGGGTCGCCTGCCTGTGCTGCCGGCCTTTTTCGCTTCCTCTGTGTGTCGGTGGCTCGCCCGCGGTGGGTGGTACGGATCTGTATGCGCGTGCGTGCGTGCCGCCTGCTGAGCACCTGAGCTCCCTCTTCTGTCTGCGCGCCATTTCTGCCGCCGTGGATTTGATGGCCTGCCTTGCTTCGCTTGTGCTCTCTCTGTCTCCTGTTGGCTCTGCACCTGCTTCACTTTGCCTGCCTGTTGGCTTCCATGCTGGCCCCGCGAAGAAGCAACCGCGCTTTGCCCTGCGGATTGCGCCGAGAGAGGACGACGACAGAGAGCATATCCATGTGTCGGTCAGGTCGGGCCAGGCTGCAACGGCTCGGACCATCCAAGCTTTGGCTGGCTGGCTGGCTGGCTGGCCGGCGAGCTGGCTGTCGCCGCCTTTCGTTAAACCCTGTCGCTGTGGCCGTCGCTGTGGCCGTCGCCGTCGCCGTCGCCGAACCTCGGTTGGCTTGCTGGCCTCGCCTAGGCCTGGCTGGCTGGCTCCTCGCTTGGCCTCAACTCTGTGGCCTGTGGCCTGCCTCGTCGCTGGCCTCTGCACCGACTGGCCTACCTCACCCGTAACTGCTTCGGGCCTACGGCTCCGGATCCCCCCCTCTTCCTTCTGTGCGTCGACGCCCACGTCGTCCCTTTTGTCTCTGGCCTGCTAGGCAACGCCTGCCAGCAAACGGGCCCGGCCAGGCCCACCCATCTTGGCCTTGCTTAGCCTGGTCTGGCCTGTGTGGCCCCACGCGTGCTAGCCAGGCACAAGCGCCAGGGCCAGGGCAGAGCAGGGGCAGGCCAGGCCAGTGCAGGCCGGCCGACCGACCGACCGACCGACCGACCCACATCGTCGGAAAGCGGGGGCGGTGGCCATCCATGCTAAGAGGACCTGTCATGTTTCGCTACACCCGCCCGCTCCTTCTGGCAAGCCCCCGGCCTCCTCAACGACCGCCTCGTTACCGGTGCCACACGATCACTGCAGCAGGACGAGGTCAGCCACCTGCCCGCGCAAGGGCCGCCAGGTTGCTGATGTCCACCATCGTCGTTGCACGACCACACCCGTCGCGCCCACCTGCGGCCTGATCCCTGCCACACAGGCCAGCCAGGCCTGGCTTGTCTTGGACCCTCTGCCCCTGCGTCTTCTTTGTCCATGCTCCCCCTCTCGCAGCGTTGGCCATTGGAACTCCCGTTGTGGGTTGCCTCATCGAGCCCAATCTCATGGCCGGCATCCGTGGATCGATGACCAGCACTACCTACCCGGCCTACCACACGGCCTGCTCGGCATCGGCAGGTCCAAAGCAACGCTGCGCAGTTCCGCCTCTTCCGCCGCGATAGCAGCGCTTCGGTGGTACCTCCAGGCTGCGCAGCTGCTTCGCAAGAGGGTAGGAGGTGCTACAGTCGCATCTAGGTTTTCGCTCCGCGTCCGCGCATGGCCCAGGTAGGAGGACCTGCAGGGATCCCCTGGCCTGCAAAGCAAGCACGCGCCTGGTGCACAGGGGTGACACGGGCGAGACTACTACCGTCTCCTGGGGCTCGCCCGTTGGATGTCCCGTAGCCTCGGGCGCGTCCCTGACGTTGGTTTCCACCACGCTCGACGGCATCCTCCTCATAGGATGCGTGGCAGGCAGGGGTCAACGCCACAGTGAGACCGGCTTGGTCGAAATGACCAGGCCTGGCCTGGCGCTATTTGCGAGCGCGCCTGGCATGAAACTTGTCCTTGTCCTTGTTCATGCTGCCTTGCTTGCTTGCTAGCTTGCCGGCGTGCGATGATCAACTCCGCGCAGCCCAAGTCCGCAGATCAGCAGCAGGCATATAAGTCTGTATGGCGATAGGCAGGGTTGAGCCTGCATGTCGCAAAACACCGGACGGCCGGCCATTGGATGGCCATCGCCGCATCAATGGAGAAATAAGACGCTCGTCGAGCGGCCGACATCGCCATGTCTGCGGCAACGCTGCCGGCGTCATGATGCGCGCGTGGTGGATGGACGACGAGGGCGAACGGCGCCTTGGGGCCCGGATGGCCGCACGGCTTGCTGTCAGCAAGGATAATGATCGAAGTCGACCGCGACTGCTAGTTGGGGTGATGCTCGCCAGCATCGGTCGACGGATCGCTCTCGCCCCTCTGGCGCGGGAGCAGCGAGGTGGCACTGCAACGTCTTGTCTGGGTGCAGCGTACCGGTACGTCTCGGTGCCGATGACTGGCCTTGCATGGCTCCTACAGCCGGCCCTGATGGCGGTCGACGAGGCTGGCCAGACCGGTATCTCTGCGTGTGTGTGGTTTGCAACTCGAGGCCGAGATGCTCGAAGGGCGGGCGCATCACGGGGCGCCGTAGGGTGCGACGACGGCCAGGGCGGCGACGATCAAGGTCGCGACGGCCTGCTTGGACAGCATCAGCCTGCTGCTGGCCGCGCTGGCCGCGCTGATGGCCGAAGCGCTGACGGCGTCCGGGTGAAAGGGATCGGCGTCGCCGCTGCAAAACGTCTTTGAGCTGTTGCGGAAGTCTGGCTGCTGCGAGAGGCAGCTGGTGAATTCGGTGAGCGAGAGGTCGGTGATGCAGTAGGTGAGGCAGCCCGTCGATGGCGGTGCCGCCTGCTGGTCGGCGGCGGGCGCCTCGCTGCCGTCGTAGATGGCGCCGGAACAGCACGCGCTGAACATGTCGGGCTGCTTGCTCCCCACAAAGCCGCAGACGCGCGCGCCGGCGAGCTGAGGCAGGTCCGCGGGTAGGCCCGTGACGCCGCGGCAGTCGAGTGAGCTCATGTTTGTCGTCAGAGAAGGAGCGAAGGGAAGGCCGAGGGCGAGGGCGCTGGCCAGAAGATAGAAGAGAGGGTGGTGGCTGGTGTGAATGAAGGAGCGTGGCGAAAGTGCGAGTCAAGCACCGGCAAGAGCGACGACGGCGGTGGCACAGCGATAGCGACACCAGATGAAAGTGAAGAAGGTGGGGACGGGACGGGAAGGGGCCAAGGGGCCAGGCGAAGATGAAGCTCACGGCGCGCCATCTTCGCCTTCTTTCAGCCTCGACTTGCGCTGGGAGATCAACAAGGTTCGGCTGTATCCGCAGGTGAGGGCCAGAGCTCGAGCTGGGCCGAACGCATCCCCGCCCCGGCCCCCTCGCTGGCCTCTTGCTTCCGACGTGCACAGGCATGGCGGGCAGGGGAGCGGAGTGCCAATAGCGACCAGAGGATCAGCGGAGCGTCGTGCAACTCTGCGTGGGGAGGCCAGATCAGACCCGCAGGCCCACTCCACGCGGTCCCCCGTACAGGCAGCGAGGACGGGCGGCGCGGGTGCTTGCGTGCGTGCGTGTGTTTTCCCCCCTCTCGGACTTTGGTGAGCCCCTCGCTCCGACAAGAAGCCTGCCTGGTGATTCGGCGGGGCGGCAGGGTGGGACGCGGGCGGGCCAAGCAACGAGACCCGGATGGAAAGAAGGAAGGATCGGAAGGAACGATGCAACAGCAGACCGGCAGCATGCTAGCTTTTTGGTCGTCGATCCGAGGTGGCAGACAAAGCTGGCTATAGGCAGGCCGGCCAGGGTACCGGTAGGCTGTGGGTCGGGATGGGCTGCCGAACGACAAGCAAGCAAGGCGCGCCTGCCTTGGACTCTCTGATCTGTCTACTGAACTGGCCGAGTAGTGTGCCTGCCCTGCGGTGGGCCAAAGCGGACGCAGGGGTCGGCCCGTCCGTCCACATGGCTTGCAGGTCCGGCAAGCCATGCATGCAGGCCAGTCTGCTTGAATCCAACGGAAGCGTCCAAAGTCGGCACCGAGGCACGGCGCATCCCGGGCCATGGTAGGGCCAGCCGGATGCTAACCGACGACTGAGCTCGATGTCAGACAACCAGGGGCAAAGCGACGACCAACGGTTCGCTTCGATAGCAAGGCACGAGCGAGAAAACGAAACAAGGGTACAATTACATGGTGCGGCCAGAGCGATGGCTGCCGTCAGTCGTAACGGGTGCGATCCCGTAGCCGCATCTGCCGCAGACCCCCTCTCCAGAACCAGCTCGACGCTGCCCCGCCATCGTCGCCGTTTTCGTCGTCGTCGTCGTCTTCATCATCAATCTGGCCATGGCCGCCGTCTGGACGGCGCCTGATCGGCGACACAGCCCGGCGGCCGGTCCGCGGCGCTGGCGCCGGCCGCTCGTCGTCATCGACCCACTCGTCGTCGGCGGCAGTTTCTGCGCCTCCGACATGATGCAACAACGGATGCTGGCGAGGCCGATCGCTCGGATCGGCGCCCACGGCAGCCTGGAGCGAGCTGCCGCTGCCTGACGGCGTGGTCGGCGGGCTGTGCCGCGTCGTCGACGTGTCGTTGCTGGCCGTATAAGGCCCGTCGGATGCGATGCGCGTCAGGCGCAGTCGCGCCTCTTCGGGGGAAACTGCGCCGCCGACGTTGGCGCTCCTGTCGCCGCCCGGTCGGCTGCCGCCGCGAGAGGTGCGACGGCTCGGCGGACTGCGCTCTCCAACATCCGGCGCCTCGCCCGTCGACGGGGATCGCACAATGTTCGAGTTTCGCCTGCTGACGTCGGCGCTGCCCGCTCGCGCAGCACCGGCGCTCGCATCGATGCCACCACGCACCGAGTCGGCCCGATCAAACATCATGTGACGCAGGCCCGGTCCGACGTTTCGAGAGCTGTTGAGCACCTGCTCGCGCAGCACACTCTGCTCGGTCGCGGCGCGCCTGGCGGCCGCCACGTGCGCCAGTCGGAGACGGCGGAAGCGCGCCTTGATAAAGTTGGGCTGCTTGTCCATCAGCTTCTGCGCCGCCAGGCCAAACCAGCCGGGCGGCGCCGAAGACGCCGCCGTCGTCGGGTTGGTGTCGCTCGATCCGCTGCCCGTGCCTGCCGTGGTGCGCGAGTCTTCAGCGGCGTCGTCGGCCCGATCGCCGGCGGTGCTGCCTGCGCCATCCTCGTCGATGGCGACCCGCTCGAGATCGGAGGCGCCCTCGGCGTGGTGACCGCCGGCGTTGGCCAGGTCCGGCGAACGCTCGTCGACATCCGAGGCGATGCGGACCTGGCGCAGCTCAATGTGCTCGAGGTCCTGACCGCCATCCGCACCGGGCTGGGCGGTGGAGCGGCGAGGCCGGCGCACGGCACTGGAGCCATTCCCGTCGCCGATCATCCGGTCCTTGAGGCGGCGGATACCGTTGAAGCCCGGTATCGACGATGCGCCATCGCCGTTGGAGCCCTCGTGCGCCTCGTTGGCGGCCGCGCCTCCGCTGCGGCCGGTGCGCCCGCCACGGCCGCCGTCGCCGTCTTCGTCGTCGATCAACATTCCGGCCGCCTTCCTCCTCTGGCGTTCCGCCTTGCGACGGCGCCTCAGTTCGCGCTTGCGTTTCTTCTCGAGCCTTTCCTGGCGGTCCTCGACCTCGCCGATGCCCATGCCGCTGCTGACCCACCACCAGAAGCCGAGCCAGCTCTGCCAGATGGTCAGCGTCCAGCAGACGTTGGGCAGCCACCAGAGGCGGTCGTACTTGATCTCGATGAAGCTGATGACGGTGTTGATCACGGCGAGGCCGACCGAGCCGCCACCAAACGCGGCCGTGCCGCCGCCTGCGCGCCACGCGCGCCGCCGGTTGACGAGGGTGCCCCAGATCAGCAGAGCCGAAGTGTAGAGCAGCGTCAAGGTGCTGTTGCAGATGTTGCGGATGGCGTCTCCGAGGTCCGATGTCTTGAAGTCGTCGTCCGACGACAACGCGGTGAACTCCATGCCAGAGTTGACGATGGCGAGCGGCCCGAGCATCCAGAGGATCAGGCGGGCTTCGAGTGCCGAGGGGAACAGCAGGGTCAGGAACTGAATGTGTGTGACCTGCAGGGCGTGGTGGGATCCGCAGGCGAGGCACGACGAGACGCCAGTTAGCACGGCTGCATCCCAACGGCTGGAGCGATACGAGGCCGATCATGAGGGGCCGCCTTCGCCAACCCTCCGACACAGGGCGGCCGGAACCGCAGACACCCACATGGATCAGGAGCGTGGTGATGGCGCGCATGAGCAGGTAAAAGACCTCTTGCACCGTCGTCCAGGACTCGTCGCCGGGAGGCACCTGGACGCCGATGTAGGGAAACATGAAAGGCCAGTCCTGACTCTTTGCCTCGAGCTGGGAGAGGATGATGTGGAGGGTGACGCTGAGGCTGACAAGCAGCATGATGGAGCTGGATATCTGGAGGAAAAAGTTCCTCCGGCTGAGCGGAAAGTGGTACTGGACGGTGAAGAGGAGATGGGTGACCAGGACGGCGACCAGGGCGAGGTTGATGCCGTTGACGGTGATCTGGGCGGGCATGCTGAAGGCAAAGTCGGGCATGAGGGCGAGCAGCGGGTCATGGCCGTACGCCGAGGTGGGCGAGGGCTGGCCATCGACAGAGATGGCGGCGGTGGGCAGCTCGAAGGTCGTGGTCGCCATCTCCGTCTCGGTACCCTGGCGGCGCTGGAGAGGAAGCGTCGGCGTCGGGCCTGGCGAGCGCGGCTGCAGCTGGACCTGCTGAGCGCTGGCGGCGACGAAGGCGCATGACGCAAGCAAGAGCAGGACGATGCCGCGGCCGACTGCGCGCCCAAAAGAGTGTCTTGTGGCCGTGCGGGGCTGCGAGCCTAGGCCCGCGGCGCGCATCGTGTGAGAAGACGAAGCCGAAGCGCCCGGTCAGGGGCCGATGCGAGTGGACGGTGACGGGAGCTGTGTTGCTCGCGGTGTTGCTCGCGGTGTTGCTCGCGGTGTTGCTCGCGGTGTTGCTCGCGGTGTTGCTCGAAAGTGTCTAGGGTGTGGCAAGATGGTCGCGGACCTCGCATGTCGGATCGAGAGAGCCAGATAAGGGGGCGCTGACTTCGAGGGTCAAAGACAGAGGCCGCGAGGAGGTTGCTGGAGCGGAAGGCCGTCTCAAGAGCCCATGACTGGCAAAGCGGCAGGGGTGGCGCGGTTGTGGTTGTGGTCGCGGCTGCGATTGCGACGAGGGCCAAGGCGATAGGAGAGGATGAGAGAGGATGTTATGGTGAGAACGAAGGGGTGCCAAGGGCAACGCGGGCATGGTCAGGTCAGGTCAGGTCAGGTCAGGCTGCAGGGACAATAATGAGCCTCGCCTGCACATCCCCACGTCCAGCGACCAGACAGGCAGGCCAGGCCCAGGCAGCCCAGCTGACGGTGGCACCGCGGTTGGTTCTCGTGCGGATGGGCGGGCCCCGCCAGGCCAGGCCTCTGCCAGCAAAGGGTCAGCAGCGTACGCGTGCGTTCGGTCTTGGCTGGCTGGCCTCGAGCGAGAAAAAAAAATCGCGGGAATCGGTGCGGGCCAAGCAAGGCTGGCCTGGCCGCGCGGGCGCCAGGGCAGGCGGGCCAGGCCATCCCGGTCAGCCAGCGAGCGAGCGAGGGGCCAAGCCAAGGGAGACGGGTCAAGGGCATGGGAGACGGAGACGGGCAAAGGGACCCCAACGAGGCAGCGACCCGCGGAACTCGGGCTCTCCATCCACCTTCCCTCCATCCCTCGCCCTCCCTCGCTGCCTGCCCTCGCCCTCGCCCTGCCCTGCCCTGCCCTTCCCTTCCACGCCTTCGCGTTTGCTATCCGGAGCACTTCCGTCTCGAAAGCAGCCAGCCATGTCGTCTACGCCGCCGCATCCGCAGCAGCCGCCGCCGCCGCCGCCGCCGATGACGGACACCGAGATGACCGCGAAACCGGAGCCCATGGACGAGAAGGACGATTACATCCATCACGATGCCAACGACGCGTCCCAGCACGGCGGCCACCAGCTTTTTGGACAGCAGGAGCAGACCGCCGAGCAGCAGCAGCAGCAGCAGCAGCAGCAGCAGCAGCAGCAGCAGCGACCAACATGACCAGCAACAGCCACCGCCACCCTTCGAACAGGCCCACGATGCCATCCAGCATGACGACGCGTCCCAGCAACACTACCCCCCAGACGCGCAACAGCAGCACCAGGAGCAGCAGCAACACCAGGAACACCAGGAACACCAGGAACACCAGGAACACCAGTACACGGACGAGGATCGCGAGGCAGCCGCAGCAGCAGCCGCAGCCGCTGCTGCCGCCGCCGCCGCCGTCGCGTCGCAGCACGAGCAGCGTCACCAGCAGCAGCACGACGGCACGACCGATCCTGACCTTCCGGCCTCGTCTTCGGCCGCCTTCGCCACCCCTTCTCGCCCGACGCCCTCGTCGCACGCAGAGGCGCAGGCTGCCCTCGCTGCGGTGGCGGCCGCCGCATCCGCGGGCGGCTTCCAGCTCACTACGCCCGCGCACGAGGGGCCTAGCACCAGCTACCCTTCCATCACCACGTCGTCGTCCCTCGCCCCCTCGACGCCCACCCCCTCGCCCTTTGGCACCCACCTCGGGCGCAACAAGGCCTGCCAGAGCTGCCGCGCCCGTAAGCTCAAGTGCGACGGCGAGAAGCCCGTGTGCGGGCAGTGCGCCAAGGCCTGGGCCATCAAGTTCCGTGTCGCCCAGAACAAGAGCAAGAACAAGAAGAACAAAAACGCGCAGGACGAGCTGAGCAAGCTGCCGGACCACATCCCGCCCTGCGACTACCTGCCCATCACGCAGCGATCGTCGTCGTCATCGGCGGCGAAGGCAGGCGGCCAGCGCCTCTCGACACCCTCGCAGTCGGACGCCCACGCGGCCGCAGACGAGTCGACCGGCTCCCCCATCACGGCCGCCATGGGCAGGAAGCGCAAGCGCGGCGGCGGCGATGAGAGCAACGAGCAGGTCCTCCGGATGCAGCAGGAGATTGGTGAGTGGACGCTCCGGGCGTGGCGCGCGGACCTCGGGCGAAGGGGCTTCAGTAGCCCGTCCCGACGCGTTGACGTCTCTCCTGGCCGTCGTTGTCGTCGCGTTCCACGCTGACGATCGTCGACTCCCAACCTTCTCTCGACCGTTATCGTGCTTGTGTGAGCAGATGAGCTCAAGCGTCAGCTATCCCAGGTCAGCGAGCTTGCCAAGCTGCCTGGCGCGTCGCGTCTGCACCAGGCACAGGCGTCGCTGGCGGGCACCAGCAACGCCGGACGTGGCGGACAGCGTCATCCCTCCAAGGACGAGCTCGCTATCGCCCACTTGCTCGCCACCAGCATGCCGACCGGCGAGAACCACTCTGAAGGGCAGGTATCGTCGCAGCCGCAGCCGACTCAGCCCTACACCGCCAACATGACGTCGGCTCCCGGTGACCTCCCGCAGCAGCACTTCGCCATCCAGAACGGAGGCGACGGCTCCTTGGGCATCGATGTCCTGGATCCGGCGCTCGATCCGGCGTTTTTCGCTCAGCAGGACCCGCATTCGGGCGCGTTCGTGCCCTCCGCCACCACCGAAGGCCCTGCCCATTCGCGCGAAGTTCATGGCTCCAGCAACTTCCTCAACTCTACGACCGGCCGAAGCTCGTATGCCGATGATGGAGCCTCGAACATCGGGCACGGCGGCGGCGCCGAGTACGCCACGCCGCTGATGGAGCTGATGATGTCGAGCTGGCCCGCCGATTTCCCACCGCCGACCATGGTCACCCTGCTGTAAGTCGGCTTCATGATGATCCGGCCGACACGGGTAGCATCTGAGCAGGCGACTGACGGCCTCTGACGTGGCGCCCACACCTTCCTTTCCCCTCTTCGCAGCGTCAACGCCTACTTCCACCCGAGCTCGTCCCAGGGCTATTCCGTCCACCCGGCCAAGTTCATGCAGCGGCTCTCGCTGGGTCCGCAGCACCCTCTTTTCCCCAACCGGGGCGTGCTGCACTGCATCTTTGCCCTGGTCTACCCGAAGGTCGCCGAGCGAGCGACGCAGCTGCCTGGCTCGAGCTTCGCCGCCTCAGTGGGCGCCAACCTGTCCGGCTCGAGCTCGGCCGAGAAGCTGAGCAACGCCAAGGCGGCCGCCGCCTTCCACGCCGAGAGAGCCAAGGTGCTCTTCAAAAAGGCCTGCAGCGACGCCAACTTCCTCGACGCCGCCCTCATCAAGATGATGTTGTGCAGCTACCACTACGTCACTGACGAGTCGTTTGATGCGTGGATGACGGCGGGCGCCCTGACGTCGCTGGTCAAGGCCATGGAGCTCAACCGGCTGCCCCCGGCCCGCTCGCTGGCCCAGGACGGCGGCGACCGGCAGGCGCACAAGCGGGGCGGCAAGCCGCAGATCTACCGCGCCATGTGCCTGCGTGCCACCACGGACGCCGTCGAGCACGAGGAGCGCGTGCGCCTCTTCTGGAACTCGTTCTACACCGACCGCATGGCCTGCGCCTCGACCTACTGGGCCACCAACCTGGACGAGGCCGAGGTCTATACCGAGCTGCCGGCGCCGTTTGAGGACTGGCTGCACCAGGTGAGTCGCGTGTCTTTCGGAAAGCGCCTTGACGGCCGTCCCGTTCGGTTTCCGTCGCGTCCGATGCGGCTCGCTGAGACCCCGGCTCCCTGCCCTCCTTCCCCTCGCCGTCTGCGTCGTTGTCTCCGGCCGCAGTCTCCGCAACTCATCTACCGAGAGAGGCAGACGCTCCAGTCGCCTGACCTGTTCACCTCCAAGCACTGGGACCCTCTCGTCCTGCACGTCAAGGCGATGATCCTCCACTCCAAGTGGTGGGTATCGAATCGCTTGCCGCGTGCCCGCTGCCCCTTTGACCTCTGCCCCTTGGCCAGCCGTCGCCCTCGATGACGACGAAGCTGACCTCGCTTGCGCCCCTCGTGCCCTTCTTTGCCGCAACAGCATCACCTACATTTCGCGGCTGCCGCTGGATGCGACGGTTGAAGACACCATGACGCCCGAGTTCCATCGCCTCGACGCCCTCTGCAGCGCCTTCCTCGGCAGCTTCCCGGAGCAGTGGACGAGCCTGCAGCACTTTGACCCGGCGCTGCTGCCGGTGGACTCCGGCGAGCCTGACTTCCTCACCGACGGCATCAACAACAAGGGCAGCGCCAAGGAGCTGCGGCCATCGACGCCCAACCTCATCGTGGCCCACATGATGAGCTACGGCGCCATCGTCGCACTCCACGAGCCCGTCGCCGCGTTTTCTGAGGACTCGGCGATCAAGTCGGCCATGGCCGCCGACAACATCATGAACGTCGTCAAGGTGAGTCGGGAATGCACGCATGCACCAGTCTGTCTGCCGTTTCGGCCGGTGACAGAAGCGAGCGACGAGGTGCTGACCTTTGACGCGCCGCGTCGCCTTGCAATCTCTGCCCACCCCTGGCTCCGTCTGTGCCCCCCCTCCACAGATCCTCAAAGCAGCCCGGATCGAACCCGGCCATGTCGGCAGCGCAGTGACGCTGGTGCTGGTCGAATCTGCACGTTGCCAGGCGCGCCGCTACAAGGAGGCGCGCGCGCGGGCGCTGACCACCTACCTCCAGATCCGTCGCAGCCGCCAGCAAGACTGGATGCCGTCGTCGTCGGCCGCCAAGGAGCTCGAAGAGGAGATGGAGGCCGAGATGGAGTACGACCCGCTCTTGCAGTCGCAGCTCGACCCGGACGGCACGTTTGCCTCGCTGCGTGACGATCTCGAGCTGGCCTTCTACTTCCTCGTCAAGTACGGCGAGGTGCTGGCACTCGGAGGTGAGTCCGTCTGCGGCTACCGTGCCGCCCATCTGGGAATACCGTCTCCGGTCCGCCGCGCGCGGCATTGGCTAACCCTCTTTCCGCTCCATACCCACCCATTTCGTCTGCTCGCTCGACGGCCGCAGTGGGCCAGGCGCGCATCGTCGCCAAGCTGCTGGGCAAGGACTTTTCGCCGGCGATGGAGAAGCAGGGTCTCTTTTCGTCGCGCTCCGATACCACGTCGCAGTCGGGCCGATCCTCGACCTCTGGATACAGCATCTACCACGGCAGCGGCCTGGCGGGTCCCGTCGATGCGCCCGGGCCAGAGATGCCCAGCGTCGACAGGCGCGCCAGCGTCGGCGGCATTGCCAACGGCTCGACCGCCTCGGCGAGGGACACCAACCACGCCTTTTCTATCGCCTCGTTCCATCCGGCCAACCTCGGAGCGGACATCGAGGCCGGCGGTGGCGGTTCCGGCCGCGAGCGAAGGGCCTAGGCAGTAGTGAGCCACCGTGTTGAGGATTTTGAGATTCCTCGGCCTCTGTCGCGGAAGGCTAGCCCGTTGGTCGAGGGCGCAACTTGCTGTTGACCTTCCCCTTGTGGGCTGCAGCTGCACTCCATCGTGCCTCTCTGCCGTTGCCCTGCGTTGATCACCGCGTGTATTGTTACCGTGCCCCGTTCGGACCAGGCAGCGCCTGCCGCTTGCCACCTGCCACCGCCCCTGCCTCTACCTCGACTCTGCCCGTCTCGTCTGTAGCTCTACTTCTGCCTCCACCTTCAATGCAACGCGCGTTGCAGCCACATGGCCTACGGAGGGTTGGGCGGGTAGCCACGCACGGTGCCTAGGGGTTGGCAAAGAGGACCTCGGCAGGGAGCCGGAAGCTGACGCAGTACATCTGCTTGTTGGGCGCGACGTCGCGGACGTAGTGCACCTCGAGGTCGGGCGATGCCTCGAGCCCGGCGCGCCGGAACTCGTCCTCGAGGAAGTGCATCAGCTCCTCTGTACTCTTAAAGTGGGCGATGCGATCCAGATCCTCCTTTGTCGTCTGTACCGTCGTCGTCGTCGTCGTCGTCGTCGTCGTCGTCGTTGTGCCGTTTGCGCCCTCTCCGTTGTCGTCGTCGTCGTCGGTGCCGGGCCGCGTAGGGAGGAAACGATTCGACCTTCGCGACGCCGTCGATGTCTGCGGCGGTAGGATGGGCGCGCTGACGAGGGCGTGCGGCGTCCCCTCGATCCCGAGCGCCCGGTTGGCGCGTGTAAGCACATCGAGGGCGGGTCGCAGTGGGTCCTTGGAGAAACAGTGGACGTGCACCCACGGCAACGGCTCCTCGCTGTCGTCCCTCTCTCGTCCCCCCGCCGAAGCAGCAGCAGCACCAGCACCATGTACGTCAGAGTGCAGAGCCCCACGACGACGTGCCAGCTCGGCCTGGAGCGCTTCCATACCCACCTCGGCGGCCAGGTACGTGTACAGGCCCCGGAAGGCGTCGAGGAACTCGAGCGCCGAGGCTGGCAGGTTCATGACAAAGTGGTCGATGAGCTTGCGCGGAGCGTGGCGCTCGATCTCGTCGGCAGGCGGCGGCGGCGGCGGTGGTGGTGCTGGCCCGGTTGCTGGGGTCGACGCTTCGACTGCCTTGTCGTCGACGCCGGCACGCGCCAGCTTCTGCTCGTGCCGCTTGGCGTGCTCGGCCCGTTTGGCCTTCTGCCGAGCCTTGATCGCCTTCCTGGCATGCTCCCGCAGCGCCTCGTCTCCCCTCTCGCCCATGCCGAAGCCGACGGGCCGACCGCGGAACGACCTCTCCCACGCCATCTTGGCGCTCTCCCGGATAAACTCGCGGCCATCCTGGCAGTAGGCGAGGAGGCCGCCGTCGAGGTTGTTGTTGTCCCGCGCCCCGTCGGCGTCGTCCTGGGTCGACTCGAGCACGTGGTTGGCCTTGCCGTTGGCGCAGAGCGACTCGTACGACTTGGGGTTGAGGTCGTTGGCCAGCACCCACACGCCCTTTTTCGCTGCGGGGACGGCAAACGGCCCGACGCCCGCCATGACGTCGGCCACGACCTGGTTGGGGCGGAAGCGCCGGATGAGCCTGGCGTGTTCGCCGTGCAAGCGGCTGTTCCAGTAGACGGTGCGGAAGTCAAAGGTGAAGCTGCAGTCGCTCTCGGACACGTGGGCGGTGTAGTCGTCGTCGCCGGCCAGCAGCTCCATCTTGAAGAAGCGGAACTGGGTGTCGATCGAGTCGAGCTTGTTGACGACGGTGCGGATCGAGGTGGCGTTCTTCTCGAGGATGACGGCGCCGACGAGGTAGCGGAAGGGGAGGTAGAGCTCTATGAGGTTGAGGTGGGCAATGTGGCCGACGATGGTGAAGCCGGTGGGGACGCCCTCGGATGCGACAATGTCGGCCGGCAGCATGGCCTCGAGCACCGCATCCGACGAGAGGTTCTCCCAGCCCAGCTCGACGTCAAAGGGGATGCGCTCGAAGCCGAGGCTCTGTACCTGCTCCTCGAGGTCTGCAGGGAAGGGCTGGCCCTGCTGGACGTTGAGCACGACGATCCGGCGGCTGGCGTCGCCGCCCGGGTGAGGGCGCACGTGGCGATATCCGACGGCGTTGAAAAAGTGCGGAACGACGGCCCGGTTGTTGAGCACGCTACCGAGCTGGCGCGCCTCGAGGACGATGGCCTGCAGCTTGAGCGGAGTGGCAAAGAGCGGGCGGTACTGGTCGAGGAGCTCTGGCACCTTGTCCTTGGCCAGCAGCGGATGGTCTGCCGAGAGCCTGGGGATGCCGCCGGGAGTGGCGAGGACGAGCTTGTCGGGACGAAGCCGCTGCTGGCTGCCCGAGGCGAGAGCGGACGACATGATGGTGCGATGCGAGGACGGTGCGAGCTGCCGAGGGGCGAGAGAAGCGGCGAGTCGGGGCGCAGCGGACGAGATCAGGGTGATGGAGCGAGCGGTGCGAATCGCCGGGCCGAGTGTGAGGCGGGTGCGGAGTGGTGAAGCGAGGTGGTGTAGCAGGTGGTGCGAGAGGGCCTTGGATGCTCTAGCGACTCCTGCTGGCATACGGGCGGGGTCGCGCTGATGACGCCGTGGCCTTTGTAGGATGCGAGGTGGTGGTGGTGGAGCAGCAGGGAGCGGCAGCGGCAGCGGGATCAACCAACGTCGAAGGTCTTCGCAGCCGAGCTCAAAATTCTCGGAGGCGTCGGGGCCCAAGGTCGAAGCCTGCCCCCGACTTCCGGGTCGGGCCTCGGCAGTCGGGAAGCAGCCAGGCGAGCCACAGAGGCGAGGCCGGGCGCAGGCGGGTCCAAGCGGGCGCGCACGGGGCTCATCCCCCACGGCAGACGGCAGACGGCAACCGCCAGTTGCCGGCTTCCTTCCTCCTCCATCATCTGCCCGTCCCATCCTCGTCTCAACTGGCTCCCGGTCTAACCCTAACCTGCTCGTCGTACACCGCTCGACTCCAACATAACATAAAAATCAGCCTGTCGACGACCGCCCTCTCTGCCCGCCCACGCCACAGGCTACTTTGCCCCCTTCCGCCATGAGGACCAACTCGTCATCCTCGCTCCGCACTGCCTTTCAGGCGACCCGCAGCTTCACTTCGAGCGCCGTTCCACGCTCAGCAGCAGCGGCGCCGACACAGCTCGCACACTTCACCTCCAACCTCCGACCGAGAGGCCAAAAGGGGCGGCTATGCGACAACTTCTTCATCTCCCACCGGCCCCTCGTCCGACCACGATGCAACGCCTACTCCACCGCCGCACCGGCCCCTAGCGCAGTGGGAGGGCAAGAAGGGGACACGCAGATGCGCATGCTCCTCGTGGGCTGTCCAGGGTCCGGCAAGGGGACGCAGTCGACGCGCCTGCTCAACGAGTACGACATCACCGTCATCGCGGCCGGCGACGTGCTGCGCTCCCACATCCGCCGCGGCACCGAGATTGGCAAGCGCGCCGACGAAGTCATCAAGGCCGGCGGGCTGATGCCGGACGAGGTCATGATGGAGCTCATCGGCACCGAGGTCGAGGCGCTCGGAGACCGCGACTGGCTCCTTGACGGCTTCCCGAGGACGTCGGGCCAGGCAAAGATGCTCGACGCCCTGCTCGAGACAAAGGGAAAGCAGCTCAAGGCCGTCGTCAACCTCGACGTCCCCGAGGAGGTCATCCTCGACCGCATTCTGCGTGAGTGCCACGCGTGTCTGCCGCGCATGCCGTACGCGTTGCCAGGCGCCTCTTGCTGACACTTCGTTGCCCTGCCTCGCCTCTCTTGTCCCGCCACGTGGTCCGCCTCCTATTGCCCCCCTCTCCCTTTGGACAGAACGATGGACGCACGTCCCCTCGGGTCGCGTCTACAACCTCTCCTTCAACCCGCCCAAGGTGGCTGGCAAGGACGACGTGACGGGCGAGGCGCTGGTGCAGCGCGAGGACGACAATGCCGAGACGTTTGGCAAGCGGCTGGCGTCGTTCCACAAGCAGACGGAGCCCATGCTGCACCACTACCGCACAAAGGCCGAGGCCTCGACCGGCGTGCTCGACATTGATGCCAAAAACACCAAGGCCTCGGCCTCGACGCTGGGCAGGGGCGACGAGCTCTACGTCAACCTCCGCGGCGACGAGTCCAAGCAGATCTGGCCCCATCTCTTCCAGATCGTCAGCCACCGCTTCCCCAACCTGCCCAAGGCCAAGGTCAAGGCCGCGTAGAGGTCGTCCGCGCCTTAGAGAGGGTGGCATACCGGCAGAGGTCTGGCCGTTACTAGAGCAGTACCAGCAGGTTGCCGTACATGAGCTGAGACAGGACAATGTAGACGTAACGGAACCACACCAGCTGCGAGGCGTGCCTGCGCATCGCCTCGAGGCTCTGCCGGTATTGTGACGGCGAGGAGAGCGCCCGTATTGTCTGGGGTAGAATGGCCTTGTCGATCGGTGGTTGGACGTGCGCCGCAACAGCCCGCTGGCTCAAAGGCAGCGAGAGGAGCGTTCCAAGCAGTGAGGACGGCAGCGAGAGGTATTTTGTCGCCAGCCGCGGCGAGTGCAGCGCGTAGACGGCGTCGAAGGTGCCCTGGTCGCGCAGGAGGAGCGATGCTTGGTGGCAGGCGATGTGGTTGGCGTGCGACGAGACGCCCATCGAGTCGAAGGTGATGAGCTGGAGAGGCGCTGGCAGACGGTCAGCGCAGGTGTGGAGGAGAAAGCGAGGGCGATGGCATCGTGACCGGCTCGCTCGACTCACCGCATCGATCTGGAGCCCAAGACTGTCGAGGTACCGCTGAACCCTCCCCGCAACGTGGGTTGGGTCCCATACGGTGCGCATGCCGTCCTGGAGCTTGCGATCGTCGAGCCATCCGACCCTGTCTTCGGGAACACCAAGAGCGTTGTAGGCCTGGACGAGTTCGCGGTGGCGCACGCTTCCGAGGCCGTCGGCGTTGCCCGTCGAGAGGCAGAGGGCAAAGACGTGCACGCCCGCGCCGACGAGGGCGAGGATGGTGGGCGCAAAGAACATGACTTCGTCGTCCGGATGCGCCGTGAGCACCAGCGCGGTGCGCGGAAGGGTCTCTGTCGTCGCTGAATCCGAAGACGTCAGCCAGAGGCCCGAGAGGAGCGATTGAAGCGAGAGTAGAGCCAGGACGACGACCGGCAGGGCTACCAGCCACGACCGACGGTGGGTAAAGGCCCGACGCGCGGCTCGCCGTGTGCGCTGTGTCTGCTGCATCGGCGCATTGCTGGCGAAGCGTGGTGCCATGGCGCTGCTACCGTCTCGTGGCGAGGAAGTCGAGCTGCCCGATCGAGCTGGACGAGGAGATTGAGGTGGTGGTTGGGTCGTGGCTGGTGTTGGTCTTTTTGGCGCCCGACCTGGGCTTGGCTTGGCGTGGCTTCCAACTCATGTGGAGGCTCAGTCTCGTACGAGAGTGAGGGTGCGGGCGCTCGCCGCCACTCTGCTCATTGCCCTCCGCTCGCATCTCTTCCTGCCGGATCCCGCCCCTCATTTCGTCCCTGGTCGCAAAGATCTTTGGGTACCCACTCTGACATTGGCAGCGCTGTATCCGTCGCAGCCAGGTGACAGCGTCTGAAGGCTGGGCTGCTGGCTGACTTCGAAGGCGGAGCAGCGATTGCTGATCTCGGACTTGGCGGGACGGAGTCGACGACTGGTCGGCTCGCCTGCCACCGGTGCTGCTATACCGCAGCGAGCCCTTCCTCTCGCTGCCGTCGATGAGCAAGGCTGAGGCTGTTCCTGATCTCGACGAGACACCGGCTTTTGGGGCAGCAACTTTGCCCCGCTCGAAACGCAAGTAGGCGGGCGCACCTTCCAAGCTCCGCTCCCGGGCTCCGACGAGAGGCCCGCTGTACGTGCGCCTGGACATCGGCGTGCCTGATCCACCAATGCTAGCATCAGGGCCAGACCAGATCGCGGCCTCGAGGCCTGTCGAAGCGTGTCAGAGGCCCGTCAGAGCGCGCCTGTGACCCCGCGCTCGCCCTTGTCGGTAAGTCAGCCAGCTTCTAGGTGGGTGGCCAGCTGAACTCACGAAACAACGAGAGGAGATCAAAGATGGCGATACGCCACGGGGACGACACAGCGTGGCAGCTCAGGCCCCCGCCACGTTGAGCTGGATCCGGGACGGAGGATGGCGCACGGTGAGATTCCATGCTCACTTCCCATCGGATGACCTGCCGCGATCTCGTCGACGGCGGACTCCGGCGGCAGACAGAGTCAGGGTGGAAGCGAATACCTGCCTGGAGGTCGGCCGGTCGGCGAACCGTCCCGTACTGCACAGTATGTACTGTACATACCTCCCGTGCTCATGGCCAGGCGAATTCTTTGTTGCCAGGTTGCCACACGGACCATCGCTACCGTTCCGAAGTGACGTACTGCGGTACCGATCCTCTGCTTTGTGTACGATGGGTCCCCACTCGGTTGGACTCGTCAAGCAGCAGGGTATGCCGCGAGTAGCTGTAGCGCCGCCGACTTGGCCCAGCCAAGTAGAGCGTGCAGCCCAGGGCGATGCTGCGGCTCAAGCAGGGTGATGCGGCTCGTAGGTCAGGCCGCAACGGCAGCCAAAATTCGGGTAGGTCGATGGCGATGTGGCCGAGGGCACCCTCATACATACATACATACATAGATGGGCCACTTTATGTCGACGCTCGACAGCCGGAGCTTGAGATGGTGCTGGTCAGGCGTGCTCGGGTTGAGGTGGTGGCCGTTCGGCTTCGGCACTGACGAGATCACGGCCAACCGAAGCTCGGTCAAGCTGCAGGCTCTGCTTGCCTTGCTCGGATCAGGCGGTGTGGGCCCTGTTTTGCGAACAGTGTGCGGCGTCGGCGTGTGACACCCTCTGTAGGAGCAGGTTTAGGTGCACCGTCGATACGAAGCGCCTGTGCGGCCGCCGTGCTGTAACTCCATAGCGTGCTTATGTGGCTCGATTGAAGGAGAGTAGTGGCGCCTGACTAGGCAGCGAGCGAAGCTAGCCCAAAAGCGAGGCCTTACGTGTGGATCCTCGCTGTGGCTGCGGCAGACAGGCAGAGGAAAAAACGGCGCAGCCACGACATGGACAGCACACGCGCACGCGCAGCTGGGATGCACGAAAGGCGCTGACCTTGGACAGGCGAAGAAGCTCGAGGCGATGTACAGGTGGATACTGCCAGAGACATGCTAGAAGGTGCGTAACTAGCGCCGTACGCCCTGTGGCGTTGCAGATTTAGGTGCGTTGGTGTCGCTCAGCGGGCTCAGCGCCGGGATCGCCTGTGAGGAGTAAGTACTTTGTGAACGGGGCGGCGGCGTTGGGTATGTACGGTGTGCGTGCGCAGAGAGCGGGGTCCTAACTAGACGATGCAAGGAAAGGCCAGGCCCGGCCAGGCAAGGGGCAAAGACGACAGCATGTCCCGGTGAGGCCGCTCGAGAGACAGAGACAGGTCTCCGTTTCGGGCCTGCTTGGGCGCTGCAGCGTGAGAGACAGCTAGGCAGTCGACACCGCCCGGACGGGGAGCCGCAGCCGCGCGGCGAAGCGCAACAAACAAACCAGGCGAAAGCCAACGACGTTTCCCCGCCCCGCCACGCCCCGCTCCGCCCTGCTCCCTTACTTCTTCCTCGTCGTCCTGTGCGGCATTTGCCACGACCGGGAGCGGGGAACGGCGGAGAGTAGACTGGTGTCGGTACATACAGCGGCGACCAAGGACCGTTTGGCACTTTGCCACTCCTACTCTTCCCTGCTGCACACTCGTTCCCGCTGCCCGTCTCGTCGGCCGTCGCTCGTCGCTCGTCCCGCCAGCCTGCCTGTCCTGGCCGGGGGCTGCACAGCGGTCCCGAAGCCGCTCCCGTTGCGACTCGCACGACGCCCAGCCTGTCTGCAGGTCAGACAGAGGTGTAGGCAAGATCATTGAGGCTGCCCCAAGTTCGCGCAGCCGTCGTTCCCAGCCAACGCGCAAGCTTCATCTCGCAGCGGCCGTGCGGCGTCGAAATTGAGAGCAAAGGCGTGGGGACAGCAGCGGCGGACGGCGGAGGAGGAAGGGGCGGCAGAAGGAGCAGGCCTGGCAAGGCAGCAGTCAGACAGGTCTAAAGGTGCCGAGGCCCACCTAGGTACAGTACCGCCCGAAGTCCCCGCCCGACTCACACCTGCCTGCTGGCTTGTCGCGGGGCCCATCCAACACCGCCCGGCCTACCTGCGCGTCCCTCCTGTCTGCAAGCTAATGCTCCGGGATGTCGCCAGAAGCAACCAGCGCCTGCCTAGTCTTGAGCTTGCCTGGGCCAGGGAAGCTCAAGGCAGGCAAAGCAAGCAAGGCGGGTCCCGCTCCTGTGGGACGCCGCTCGCTTCCCGTCCATGAACACTTTAGCTTGCTTGCCTTGCTTGCCTTGCTTGCTTCTCGCAGTCCGCCTCCCCTCCCTCTGGCTGCGCGACTGCGGATTGCCCCATCCAGCTCCCTCCCTAGCCTGCCCCTCCTTGCCCGTCCGCTTGCCCGTCCCAGCGTCCACAAGCGGCTCGTGGCACCGGTACAGTACCTACCACACGGGCCAACGGGCAGCGCGGCCGTGACCACTACTGCGTGCGACGTCGTCTGCAGGGGCCGGTGCCCATATAACTTGCCAACGCCTGGTGGTGACCTACAAAGGTCGCCAGCTCCTTCTGGTTCGCTCAACCCGCTCTCGTTCCCGCTTTGGTCTCCTCCCTCCCTGGCCCCCTGGTTGATTTGGTCCTGCGTCACCCCTGCTTCTGCCGTCCGTCCCACGCCACTGCAGCAACCACCTCGTCGCACGTCTGCGCCCCGACCTCTCGACGCCCACCTCGCAACGGCCGCTCCTCCCACCAGGAGCACCGTGCGTGGCTTTGTTGCCAAGCTACATACTACCAGGCTCACACAGCATCACCTGGGAGCGCTGTCGGAGCTACACCATCATCACGACCGACGGCAACCCTGCGGAAGTTGCTCCTTGCCGCAAACTCGCCTCCCCCTGATACCAGCCGCGCCCATCACGCACGACACCCGCCGGGCCGTGCACCCCTAGCCCCTGCCTTGGCTGCCGCCTTTCCTGCCTGCGCGCGTTTCAGGAGCAAGATGACGGTCGGGATAGCAGAGCAGCAGCAGCGGCGGCAGCAGCAGCAGACGAATGGCAGCTCCAGCACCAGCCTCAACCTGCTTCCACCAATCGACCTGGTCTCGACGCCCCGCCTCAGCTCCGACTCGTTGCTGGTGGAGTTCGAGGAGAACCTTGAAACCGCGACCATCAAGACTGCGCACAAGGCCGTTGCCGCCGTGGCCATGCCGTCGCCCACACGCCCATCATCGCAGCGGTCCACGGGCCCCGCGTCTCCGCGTCAGGTGCCACCATCTTCGTCGTCGCTGCCCCCACACAAGAGGACTCTGAGCGAGGACTCGACCCACTCCTCGTCCGTACAAGAGGCCCGTCGCGGATCGAGGACCATCCCGCCACCCACGCCTCCGCCCTCGTTTGCGCTCCCGCCTACCCCCTCGATGTCGAGCCCCCTCATCAACAGCAACGGCCAGAAGGCATCTCTCGATCCCGCTGCCGTCGCCGCCGGCGCCGCGACCTCCTCTTCTGCGTCGTCCCCTTCGACGAGGGCGGGTGCGACCTCACCCGTCGTCGGTCTGGGCCTGGGCGTGCACGGTATCCGTTCGTCTCCTCTGGCGGAAAAGTCGGTCCACCCGCCTCCCAAGTTTACGGGCGAGTGGAGCCAGCGTCGACGCCACCAGCGCTCCTACACCCGCCTTTCGACGTTTACCGAGCGCGACGAGGCCAACGAGGCCAGCCCGCCCTCGACGCCCGGATCGCCCACCTCGTCCAGCGACGACCCCAGCGACTCGTCCAACCCGCACACCGACCGCTGGTCCGCCTCTTCGGCACGATCCGTGTCATCGATGCACAGCAAGGAAGCCATCGAGCACCTCGCCGCCGGCGGGGACAAGGACAAGGGCAAGGCCATCGACGCATCCCGCTCTCGCAGCGGCAGCGAATCATCCGTCGTTGCTCCTGCAGCGGCTGCGACTGCGACTGCTGTCCCGTCGTTGCCCTCTTCTTCGGAGAGAGCCTCGACGTCTTCATCGACGCTACTCGGCCACGGCATCACCGAGGGTCAGGGCGAGAGGCTCTCGCAGCCGCTGCAGGACGGCGCAAGTCGACCGCGGGAAACCTCGTCGGCCTCGTCGACGCCGCGTCGTCAGCCGCACCTTGCTTCCAAGATTAGCTCGCCGCTGGCCGCCGCCATCCCGCTACCATCTTCACCCACGCCGTCCCAGACGCGCCTGCGCAACCTCTCCGGCACCCGCAGCGGAGCCCGAGACCGCGCCATCGAGACGCTCCTCATCTCTGGCCGGCTCGGCGACGCGTCTCAGACCCTCTACGGCCAGACTGGCTCTCCCATCCGCACCGCCGCCGACCTGTCGCGCCAGGGTTCCGCCGCATCGAGCCGGTCGTCGCCGCGTGCTGCGTCTGACCCGGGCGTCTCCACCGCTGCTGCCGCTAGCGATGCCAACGCCAAGTCGAGCCGTCCCAGCAGCCCCAGGTCGGTTGGCCCCAAGGCCGCCACTCTGGCCGAGGCCATCCGGGTGCTGGCCTACCTGCCCCACAGCGAGGCTTCATCAGAAGACGTCCGCGAAGCCGGCGACGACCGCAGCCGCGACGAGGAGCACGCGCTGCGCTATGCGCTCCGCTTCGCCCTCGAGGCCGCCGACCGCACCGCCCGGCTGCTGGCCCGCTCGCAAAAGGAAAAGGAGCACCTCGAGCGTCACTACCGCACGCTCCAGTCCAACCTGCTCCTCACCGAGGCCCAGCTGAGCCTGCTGCAGGAGGAGGCCTCGCTTGTTCGCAGCAGCGCCAACAGGTCGCCGAATGCTGGCCGCGTGCAGCGAAAGCCCGTGGCCCCGCTCTCTGCGCAGCCGCGCTCGTCGACCAGCAGCCCCCGATCGGCCAGCACCTCGGTGACGGTCCTGCCTGCCGTGCCTCCGAAGGACGCCGATAGCGTTGATGCCGAGTCCGACGCCAAGGCCGACTCCGAGGCGATTGCTCCCGAAGCGGAAGCCACCTCTCCCACCAGCCCCGCTATTGCCCCCGCCGTCGCATCTGCCTCCGTCTCCGCCGCTACTGCTGCCTCGCCGCGCCTGGCAGGCGGAGTCAGCATCGCAAGCCTTCGTCGACTGCGTCAGCAGCAGCAGCAAGAGGAGAAGCCCGTAGACCAACGCTACTCGCCCCGCCAGGCGGCGGCGTCGGTTTCCGAAGAACCTGAGCAGGACGACGAGCCGGATTCGGACGACGAGCGGCTCGGCATTGTCCGCCGTCCGCCGCCCAAGGAGGTCTCGCTGGCCGACTTCCTCGACGCCTCGCGCATGTCGCGCGACGAGATCACGCAGCTCTCGCACCGCGCTGCGCTCGAGGCCGTCCCGTTCGAGGGCAAAGGAGGGCGTATGGCCAACGATGCTGCGACGGCGACGACGTCGCACCACCAGAGCGAGCTCAAGAAGAAGACGAGCAAGTTCCTCCGAAGCCTCAGCTCTATGAACCGCAAGGGTGCCAGCGGAGGCTCGCTCGGTCGGTCCAGCCGATCGGCGGCGGCAGGAGCGGCTGGATTCGGCGGCGCGGCGGACGTCAAGTCGGCTCGCCAGCCGCCCCGCCTCGAGATGGTGCTGGCCTCGGGCCGCCAGCA